TTACTTTTTTACCTGGTGTTGTCGCATTTTCAAAGGAGTATCAAGAGCGGAAAGAAACGGGTAATAGGATTCGATAGAAAAGAAGCCCCATGCCATTATTTTCAAGAAATAACCTCAACGCCTATATATGGATGTTGGTCCCCTTTCCCTACTTCTCTTTCCCGTTCAACCTGCCAGAGTGAACATCTGACAAGTCAAGTGTGTTGTACAAACCAAGCAAGGTTCAACTGACTCTGGGTTGTGTTGTCAAAGTTGAAGCTCGGCCCGTCTCTCCCCCGTTCGCATAGTGATATGTGTCTCTCACTCATTTCTTGCCCTTCTTCTTGCCGCTCTTGGTCGGGGTATCGACTAGCACAGCGTCCTCCTCGCTGGCTGTCTTGGCTGAAGAGCTCTGCTCGGAGCCGTCAAGCTCCTTCATAAAGTCGGACTGGATCTGGCTGCGGCGCTTCTCCCACCACTCCTTCTCCGAGTCGGCCTGGGAGAGGAGCTCGTCCAGTTGGGTGCGGATCGCGGCGTTGGCGGCCATTTCGTGGGCGGACTGGAAGATTGACTGACCCCAGTTGGGCGCAAGGGCATTGGCCTAGTAGTTGTTAGCAAGAGTTGCCTAATATGTGTAACGAGGGCCGCGCAGTACCTCTGTGACAACATCCCTCAGCTCCTCCTCCATCTCCTTCTCGGCGCGCTGGAAGCGCTGCCACAGGTCATCACCAACGCTGCCGCGCTGCAGCAGAGAGCTGCAGGCCTGCTTGGCAGACTTGATCTGGATCAGGCGGCGAATATCCTCAACGGCGCGACGCAGCAGCGCAGCGCGGAGGACACTATCGGGGATCTTGGGACCCTTCTCGGAGCCGTCCTCGGGCGTGAGGTGCAGTAGGGACAGGTAGACGTTGCGCTGGAGGTGAGGGCCGAACCACGGGGCGAGGTTAGCGTTCTGGGCTGTGAATAACAGTGTTAGCCAGGTTTCCAACTCGAAATTGAAGCGGTATAGACTTGCCGGCCTTTCGTTTTCGGTAAATGGTCGAGAATGTCATGAGAGCGCTGCCGAGGACGAGGACATAGGCAAAGGGGAGGGCAAGGCCCTTCCAGTCAATGTCAATCATGATGGGCGAAAAGGTAAATAATCAAGGACGAAAAAAATAGCCGTGTATAGTAGAAAAAAGAGCGTAGAGAAGATCTTAGCCGACCGCGAGGGACACGCAAAAGGGTCGAGTACTCGGGCGTCGGGTGGATTAGTCCTTTAAAGTTGCTGCTGCCACTGCATGGATGGATGTTAATCGACACGACACGACTACCACTACCTCTTGGTGGTTGTGGCGCATCAAGATTTCCTTTAGGCCAGATGTCTCTTCCTTTGACTGTCTGTGGCTGGTGGAACCTCAAAGATCCTGTGGCGCAGTCACCTTTAATTGAGGTGCGACGTCACTGAACGTTAGGTAAGCCAGGCACCGCAGGATGACGCTCCATTAACGCGGATGCCGTGGGTAGGCAGGTACGTACCTGCTGCCTTGTCGACGCTGGCGGGAGCTCCATCCATTCCTCTCTCCATTGATTGATTGATTCAATGAGCTTCAACTCCACGCCACGTCTTGAGCTCTTGTTCCTCTTCACTCTTGCACAAACCTTTTTTCCCTTTTCTTCTTCAACCTCGTTCGGATCCTACATCGTCCACTACGTCCCGTCCCCGAAGTAACAACCATCGCGAGAGCCTGAATAAAGAGGCGGAGAAGAATAAGAGCACGCCAGGGAAACCCCACCAAACCAAACAACCAGCGACATCAGGACCGTGGCCTCTACAGATTGCCCGTCATGTTGCTGCGTCTTCGGGGCCCTGACGGCATGGCCCGCCTGACCGTCGAGCCAACAACTACCTTTGGAGATCTGGGGAAGCAGGTTCGTCTCTGCTATCTTGTCATGTCGTCTCATGCTAACGCCGCCATGCAGCTTCTCGATCAGCTCCCCAAGACAGTCGACCCGACCACCATTTCTCTGTCAAACGCACCCAACGGAGGCGACTCGAAGCGGCTGGCCGACATCATCAACTTCAAGGTTGGCCAGATCGGCCTCAAGTATGTCATGTTCCATGTATGCGTCATGACTCTGGAGATCTAACACCTCCATAGGCACGGCGACCTCATCTTCCTCACCTACAAGCATGCCGATGCCACCAACGGCGACGTCTCGGCTTCCAACACCTCAGCCAGACTCAACGGAAAGCCTGTACTTCCCACCGAAGACCTACCCATCAACCCGAAACCCGAGAGAATCGCCAGGCCATGGGAGGTGGTCCGTCAATCGGCCCTCGATGACCGGTTAGATCGATTAGATGGAAAGATTCCCAGGGGTCGTGATCGCATGTGCCGTCATGGCCCCAAGGGCATGTGCGACTACTGTCAACCTCTGGATCCCTTTGACCAGGGCTACCTGGCAGAGAAGAAGATCAAGTACCTGTCCTTCCACTCATACCTCCGAAAGATCAACGCCGCCACAAACAAGCCCGAGCTGGGAGCTTCGTACATTCCTCCCCTCGTCGAACCTTACTATCGAGTCAAGCACGAATGCCCATCCGGTCATCCCGCATGGCCTGAGGGTATCTGCACCAAGTGCCAGCCCAGCGCCATCACTCTACAGCCTCAGCAATTCCGTATGGTCGACCATGTGGAGTTTTCGTCACCTGCCATCATTGACAGCTTCATTGATACTTGGCGGAAAACGGGTTCTCAGCGCTTGGGTTATCTTTATGGGAAGTACGCTGAGTACACCGAGGTTCCCCTTGGCGTCAAGGCCGTTGTGGAGGCCATCTACGAGCCCCCTCAGGTTGATGAGCTTGATGGCATAACTATGAACGCATGGGAGTCGCAGAAGGAGATTGACGCCGTGGCCAAGCACTGCGGACTGGAACCCGTCGGAGTCATCTGGACCGACCTGCTGGATGCTGGCAACGGAGATGGCTCTGTCATCTGCAGACGTCATGCTGACTCGTACTTTCTCTCGTCTCTGGAGATTACCTTTTCGTCGAGGCTACAAGCACAGTATCCCAAGTCCTCCAAGTGGAGTGACACGGGCAGTTTTGGTTCCAACTTTGTGACATGCATCATCACAGGCAACGAGGACGGTGAGATTTCCATCTCATCTTACCAGATGTCCAACGAGTCGGTCGAGATGGTACGCGCCGATATCGTCGAGCCATCCGCTGATCCCAACGTTATGCTCGTGCGAGACGAGGAGGAAGACGATGGTTCTGTCAGCCGCACTCGATACATCCCTGAAGTCTTTTACCGCAGAGTCAACGAATACGGCGCCAACGTTCAGGAGAATGCCAAACCGTCCTTCCCTGTCGAGTATCTCTTCGTCACACTAACCCATGGCTTCCCGGCCGAGCCCAAGCCCATGTTTACCCAGCAAGGATTCCCTATCGAGAACCGAGAGTACATTGGTGAGAGCCAGGAGCACTCGGCGCTGTCCAAGTTCGTCAAGTCATCGCCCGGAAAGCAGCCAACCGGACAGGAGGTGTCCAACTTTCATCTCCTGTGCTTCATTCACCAGATGAGCGTCCTCTCCAAGGTACAGTCTATGAATCATGTTGTTGGAGGCACGACTAACGCATTCCCAGGACGAAGAAGCCCTGCTCTGCCGTGTGGCGAGTCAACACGACCTCGCCGATAGTTTCCAGCTCCGTTCCACCGAAGGATGGCAGACCCTCCAGGCCATCCTGCAATCGACTGGTGAGAGAATCCCCAAACGTCAGCGGGAGTGCGACGATGATCCCCAGCCCTCCTCCTCTTCCACGTCGCCCTTCCCACTCCCTGTTCGCGACTCGGGTGAGCCCCTTGCTAAGCGATTTGCTGCCTTCAGGCTGAACGAGCGCGGTGCCACGTCCGCCCATCCGTCGCCGCCCTAGTCATTAGTCAGGTACAGTGAGGGGGAGACGTTGAGGTTGAGTGAGGGGGGCTAAAAGCAAGGACTATGGGCCGGCAGGTGTTTCGTCAGGTTTTCTCTCGAACGATAAGGATGGACATTATTATTGCCTCTATGGCTGAGGCGGCGTTAGGGATGGGAATCGGAGCATGTGGCATGCATTGGGAAGGCTTGCTTGACTTGATTTGTTCATGTGAGCGAGCTAAACTCGGCTCACGGAGGAGCAGCACGGTCTAATGGACTTATTCATATTTGGACCAGATACCAGGTCGCTCACATGGGTATTACGTAGGGCATATGGCGAGCAAGTAATGGGTAACTATAGACAAGTACGGCTCTACAACTATGAGGCTGGGTGAAGTGGGAGTGCTTAATCTACAACAACGAGCGACAGCCGTAGTCATAAAGTGAAGATCAATATTTTCAAGGTTCCGACATGGAGAAGTAGCCCCAATCAGGGGGCCTATAAAGTCCATGGATAGGGGCATTTTCGAAGGCAAGTACTGATCAAGCGTCATGAATATTGAATCTACCATTAAATGACTTGCCCATGTTCTTGATGAAACAGTCTACAGGATTTACCTAGACAACTTGGAAGTATTAGTCCCCTATTAGGTTATATCTACTTTGAGTTACCTCAAGGCTTGCTTGGTGGTGAAATGCGCCAAGCTGATAATCTCGCCAGCTCTTGTTGTTGGGGTGATCATTTTTCAATAGTGAGTGGCCTTGTTCTAATAGTTCGTCTTCAGGTAGGTGTGTAGATCAGAGCTCTGCCAAACGGTTCTGTTCTGCGCCCTCGACAGTTGAACTGGGTTCCTGGATTGGTGAAGCCATACCTAGCCTACAGGTTCAAGAAAGACACCAAAGCATACACCCCAGCTGGAGCCATCAACGCATACCTATCCAGCATTTTTTCGCCCCCCCCCCCCCCCTAGGTCTCCGGTGCCTGGTGCCTCTATGCGATCGACTACTGGATTCAAGACAATCTGGACGAGAATGTCTTACGAGCCCCGCGATCGAACCATCGTCGCTGAGTGTGACGCCATCACGACAATGAACGCTCAATTGAACTCCGTCACTCCAACATGGGCAGGTCAGTTTTGGGGATACAGCATTGATTTCAGAGCCCAACCCACGAACCAAGACTTCGTCCAGATATTCCCAGGCCTCGCCCGGGCGTACGAGGACGGCGCCTTCCGAGGCGAGGCTGCTGGCCTGGTGGAGTCTCTTCGTTCGGTGCCTTTCGAATGGGCTTTCGTGACCGGCGGCCCCGGCTCGGGAAAGACTACCGCAGCTTTGGCGATAGTCAAGGCCGTCATCTCCCAGCCAGCTCGCTCTTCGGCTCCCCCGGTGGCCATCGACCAGGCTGATACCCCCAAGGCTGAGGGCGACAATGTCAATGATGCTGAGGCTGAGAATTTGGGAGGCCACACGGAAAGCGACGCTCATGGTCAGATTGACGACGGCCTCGAGCACACCAGCCCCGACATTCCGCCCCCTCCTGCTTTGCGTTGGACTGACAACAAGTCTGACAACAAGGCTGACGGTGCCGACTGCGCTGAGGAAGAGACCGCTGGTGACGTCCCATCAACCCGTCCACGTCGACCCCTGACACTCTTTACATGCTTAGGAGAAGCATCTTCCTAAATTTAGATTGCATATATTACTCGTGCTGTCTAATTCTTAGGATGAGTATCGACTAAATTGGCAAGGGGACATGCTCCATGAATGCTTCGTCTTATTCAAGTCGTACATGATGAGATCTGCCTCCCTCTCTGCCCAAGCCTGGTGAACTCTCTCCCAGCCGACCGGGTCCTGAACTGCCATAGCTCGGGCGAACTGTGACAGGGAGCCGAAAACTTGAGACGGGGACTTTTCCTCAAACGATGCCATGCGGAGCGCGTCGGAATAGCGTGCCAAAGCGAGACTGGCAGGAGCAGCAGTCGGTGACGTCGACGTGTCAGTCATGCGCGGAGCGACCTCTCCAGCTCGCTTGACATTGATCATCTCAATGTTCCAAGGCAGGACGCGGACGACTACCTTGTCCGGGCATAGAGCCGTCGCCCGACGAACAGCATCGTCCACAAGTTTGTTCTGGGGAGCCGTCCAAGCCACCCGAGCGCAACGCTGCTCCGAGATGTCCTTCGGGGCCTCATCAAAATGAAGACCTCCGGGTGTCTCGAAGTTCAACTCTTCTTCCGCGTCATCTTTGTCGAATGGGTTATCCGGTCGTGGCTCGTAGAATTCGTCCTGCTCGAGGCGGGATGCTTGGGCGTGCGGCGGTTTGACATTGACTACCACGGGCTCAGGTTGATCCCAGCTGTTGTCGACGGGCTTCATAGATGCCTCCCAGCTGTTGTCGATGGGCTTCGTAGATGCCTCCTAGGCATTGTAGACAGGCTCGGTGGATGCGTCCCGACTGTTGTTCTCAATCGCAGTGGGCTCGTCTTGAATCTGGTCAAGCATCATGAATATTGAATCTACCATCAAATCATTTGCTCATGTTCTTGATGAAATAGTCTAAAACATTCATCTTGACAGCCTAGAAACATCAGTCACCCCTTTTTAGGTTGTATATGCTTTGAGTTGCCTCAAGGTTTGCTCGCGATGGTAGTTCCGCCATCTCTTGTTCTTTGAGTAGTTATTTTTCAATAGTCCGTAGCTTTATTTCGATGATTCATCTTCATCTAGAGGTATAGATCAGAGCTCTACCACATGGTTCTCTTCTATGCCCTCGTCGCTGTGATCAAGTGTCTAATAGGCACAGTCATCTTTATAAAAGGATGTGGATTCCACGACATCCGGGTTCTGCGCAACATCGTCTTCGACTGGGTTTACGCCAAGTACGAGGGCAAGCAAGGTAACGAGCAGCCGGCCACGTCCGTCTTTGGGTCCGGAATCAAGAACACCGCCAAGTCCAACCGTGTTTCCCGTAACTTCAACGATACGCCCATCCCTTTCGACACGCAGCGCGGCCAGAACGGGGCAAGCGGTAATAAGAGAGGTCAAGATGATACTTGCGATAGTGACGAGGACGACGACTTCTCCCGCCTGATCAAGGTTCGGGCGGTCGCTAACGAAGCAGCAGCCGCAGCCCGTGAGCGGAGGTTCCCCGAGGGAACTGTGATCATCGAGGATAGCGTCGAGGAGGACGGCAAGGTATACCAGGTCTTCTGGCTTATCTCTGCGGACCAAGCTATCCTTTTCGGAGACGAGACCTGCGCCGCCGCACTCAGCATTGGACTCAAGCAAGTCCGAGAGGGAGCCAGAAAGTACCTTTCCCTGTCCGACGCGGCCCGCCGCTTGTTGGTAGCTACCTTGGGTTTCGAATGAGCCTCCTCACAACCTCGCCTCCCCGCGTAAGCAAGGAGATGAACGAATCGACTGCCAGAGCGCACTCATCCCAATCATCCAAGCACTATCTAAGAATTTGTAAAGAATAACATAGGAATATGTTGATCTCTCATCTTAATTTTAGTGAGTTTAGGAAGAGACTTATCCCCGTCGCCTCCGCCCTCTTCGTTCTCGTTGCCCGCGCCTCCGTTGTTCTGGCCGACAGTTGCGGCCGCTCTGTAGCTTGGCCACGAGTGCCTTTGCTGGTAGCCGATCGAGAGCGTCTGAGCCGCTTCGACGCCATCGTTCGTGGCGTAGGGAAACCAGAACCGCCCGTTGAGCGAGGCTGCGATGGGAACTGGTATGGCCACTGTGTACAACTCGGACTCGCGCGCGACTATCATGCGGGTCCCGTCGGTGACCTTGTAATCCGCCGCCTTGGCCCGTTTGGCGGCCTTTTGGAACTGCTTCAGCGCGACGCCCGGGTTGTTGAAGATGGGTTTAGTTGCTATGGCGTTGATGAGCGATACCACGGCGGGGTCGGCCCTGAACGGCTTGTTGAGGGGAAGGTCCATGGTCAGCACAAAGTCCTTGTCGACTCCCAGTAGCTTTGAGATTCCCGTACAGGCCGAAAGACAATCGTTGTGCTACCTTTATCCTCCTTCTCCTATTAGATACCTGACTCATTGGGCAAGGCCATCCACTGTTGTAGCAGAAGATAAGGGGGCGGTTCTCGTTCAGCACCCTCTGCCAGTCCCCCAGCATAATGCAGTTAGTATTTCTAAGAGAGATACAAGTCACCACTGTTGGTTCCTGGGACGGGGTTGACGTGGACGCGCTCATGGAGCATATCCCCTTGCCAGTTTAGTCGATATTTATCCTAAGAGTTAGATAGCATAAGTAATATATATAAACTAAGATAAGGAAAATACTTCTCTTAAAGTATATAAAGAGTATTAGGGGTCGACGTAGATGGGTTAATAGGATATATTCCCTTGCTAATTTAGTTAATTATTATTGTAAGAATTAGACAGCATGACTAGTATATGTAAACTAAATTTAGGAAGATACTTCTCCTAAAGTATATAAAGAGTATTATATCGGCGTGGATGGGTTAATGGGACTTATTCCCTTGCCAATTTAGACTGTAATTATCCTAAGAGTTGGACAATATGAACAGTATATATGACTCAAGTTTAGGAAGATGCTTCTACGAAAACAGACCAAGAGTATGAAGAGTCATCATCATAATTTTAAACCATTTTTTTACTATCCTTAACTAATCCCTGACCTAGAGATTGCAAAGAGTGAGAGAAACCTCTAGCTACCTTTTTTTTCCATACCCCCAGATGCTTTTTTAAATTATCCTCGACTAATCCCTGAAATCCAGGGAATGGTATCGATAATGAAACTTCCAGAAACAAAACGCCAGTCATCTTCCCTTACATTCCAGGCGCTTCGCTTGGGGGGTTGTGTATCGTTGTTGATGTTTTTACAGAGGCTTGCCGTGGATGAAATCAGACCATCGGCGGACCTCGGCGGGGATGCCCTCAGGTCGGGGGAGCTTCTCGCTCATGCACTGAGCAAACAGGATGGCGGTCTAATGATGATGTTAGCTAGCTGTTCACGCTTGGTTATGGAGTTGAGAAAAGCGTACCTGGGGCTCCATGAACAGAGGGACGCCAAAGTCGACAGCGTTTCGGCGCATGACGTAGTCGACATCAAGAGTGGTCTTGCCACGGGCCTCGGCGAGGTTAAAGGCACCGCGGATGTCGTACTTCTTGAAGACCTCACGGAGGGCTCGCTTGTCCTCCTTGGGGAACTCAATGACCTCGACCTCGACCTTTTGCTTCGAGTTGGCCTCGATGAACTCCTTGACCTCGGGTCGGGCGGCATAGAGCTTGTAGCCTAGGGGAGCAACATAGTCGATGACCTGGGTGAGCCAGGGCTTGGAGATGGTACCACCGAAGAGGAGACCCTCACCAGGCTCAGGCATGCGGAAGTTCATGGTGGACTGGAGAGAAGTCCAGTAGGCCTCGACAAGATCCTTACCGAAGCAAGCAATCTCACCAGTAGAGGCCATCTCGACGCCGAGGAAAGGATCAGCGCCAGCGAGACGAGTCCAGGAGAACTGGGGAACCTTGGTGGCAAGGTAGTCACGCTTGACAGCCATGAGATCGGTAGGCTCAGGAACATCCTTTCCAACGAGAGCCTTGGTGGCGACGTCGATGAAGTTGGTGCCAAGGACCTTGCTGACGAAGGGGAAAGATCGAGAGGCACGGAGGTTGCACTCAATGACCTTGAGCAGAGGCTCACCACCCTCGGGGTTTTCGGCCTTGATGATCTGCATGTTGAAAGGACCGGTGATCTTCCAGGCCTCGGCAACCTTCTCGGCAATTTCCTTGACGCGCTCCATGGTGGTGCTGTCGAGGGTGGCGGGAGGAAGAACAAGGGTAGCGTCACCAGAGTGAACACCAGCCTGCTCAACATGCTCAGAAACAGCGTGGACGACAAGCTTGCCCTTGGAAGCAACACCGTCGACATCAATCTCCTGGGCACCCTCGATGAACTTGGTGATGACAACGGGGTGGTCAGGGGAAACGTTGCTGGCGGCCTCGAGCTTGTCCTTGAGGTCCTCCTGGCTTCGGATCACAGTCATGGCAGCACCAGACAGGACGTAGCTGGGACGAACCAGAACGGGGTAGCCAACCTCATCAGCAAACTCCTCAGCGGCCTTGACAGAAGTAAGCTCCTTCCAGGCGGGCTGGTCGACGCCAATGCTGTCGAGGATCTCGGAGAACTTCTGACGGTCCTCAGCCTTATCAATGTCCTTAGGGTCGGTACCCAGAACCTTAGCCCCACCTGTCTCCTGCAGTCGGAGAGCGATGTTCTGGGGTAATTGGCCGCCCACCGAAACCACCACACCAGAAGCGTTCTCGAGCTCGTAGATATCCATCACCCTCTCGTAACTCAACTCTTCGAAATAAAGCTTGTCGGCAGTGTCGAAATCAGTGCTATAGGTTTCAGGATTGTACAAATTTGGTTTTAGCTTTTAATTCATATAATAGGGGTTGGTTGAACTCACGTTGATCATCACGGTCTTCTCTCCCATCTGTCGGAGTGCCTGGGTCGCGCTCACAGCACACCAATCGAACTCGACAGAGCTACCAATTCGGTAGACACCGCTTCCGAGAATGACGGTTCCGTTATCCTCAAAAGTGACATCGTGGGAAGAGCCGTTGTAAGTAGTGTAAAGGTAGTTGGTGTCAGCGGGGAACTCGGCGGCGAGTGTGTCAATCTTCTTGACCCAGGGGCGGATGTTGAGCGACAATCGGTGGGCACGGACTTCGTCCTCAGTGCTCTTGACGGCGGTAGCAATCTGTCGGTCAGAGAAACCCATCTTCTTGGCCTTGAGAACCTGATCCTTCTTCAGGTTCTGGAGGCCACCAGAGCCCTCGAGCTCTCGGGTGCAGTCGACAATGTTCTGCAACTTGTACAGGAACCACTTGTCAATCTTGGTCAGGTCATGGACCTTCTCGACAGAGTAGTTCTCGTGGAGCATGGCCTGACCGACGGCGAGCCATCGGCGGTCGGTAGGGTTCTGAAGCTCAAAGTCGAGATCCTCAAACTTGTCGCCCTGGAATCCGACAAATCGGGGGTCAACCTGGCGGATAGCCTTCTGGAAAGACTCCTCAAAGGTTCGGCCAATAGCCATAACCTCGCCAACAGACTTCATGGCACTGCCAATGTCGCGCTTGACGTGCTGGAACTTGGAAAGATCCCATCGAGGAATCTTGGTAACAATGTAGTCCAAAGAGGGCTCAAAGTTGGCGGTAGTGGTCTTGGTGACTGCGTTGGGCAGCTCGGGGAGGGTGTGTCCGAGACCAATCTTGGCGGCGGTGTAAGCCAAGGGGTATCCGGTAGCCTTGGAGGCCAGAGCAGAAGATCGCGAAAGACGGGCGTTGACCTCAATGACTCGGTAGTCAAGACCATCAGGCTGGAGAGCATACTGGACGTTACACTCGCCAACAACACCAAGATGTCGGACAATCTTGATGGCAGCGCTTCGGAGCATGTGGTACTCCTCATCGCTCAGGGTCTGACTGGGGGCAACGACAATCGAGTCACCAGTGTGGATACCAAGAGGATCAAAGTTCTCCATGTTGCACACGGTGATACAGTTGTTGTTGGCATCGCGGACCACCTCGTATTCAACCTCCTTCCAGCCCTTGAGCGACTTCTCGACAAGGATCTGAGGGGAGAGGGTCAGGGATCGAGCGGCCATGTTTCGGAGCTCTTCCTCGTTGTTGGCGAAACCAGAGCCGAGACCTCCCAGAGCATAGGCAGCTCGGACAATAATGGGGTATCCGACCTTTTCGGCAGCGTCGAGAGCCTCCTCGATGGTACCGACAGCGATGGACTTGGCGATAGGAATTTCAATCTCCTCCAGAGCCTTGGCGAAGAGGTCACGATCCTCAGACAGCTCGAGGGTCCTGACACTAGTGCCGAGGACCTTGACTCCGTACTTCTCAAAGAGACCGAGTCGCTGCATCTCGACACCCAAGTTGAGGGCGGTCTGTCCACCAAAGGACAGGAAAATGCCATCGGGCTTCTCCTTCTCGATGACATAGGTGACGTACTCGGGAGTAACGGGGAGGTAGTAGACCTCGTCAGCCAGACTATGGTTGGTCTGGATAGTAGCGATGTTGGGGTTGATGAGAACAGAGGCGACGCCAGCCTCCTTCAGGGCCTTGAGAGCCTGGGATCCTGTAAAGTGGTTCGATAGTTAGCCAGGATACTCATTTACAAGTGAGTCACGGGAATGTCCATGTCAATTGAGTGAGTCGCAATTGATAGTACGAACCTGAGTAGTCAAACTCGCCGGCCTGGCCAATGGCAAGACCACCACTGCCAATGACGAGGACCTTCTTGACATCAACAGCCTGGCTGGGCTTGATGACTCCACTGTCAAGATAGGCCTTGGGGTTCGGGGCGGCCTGGGTGGCAGAGCTGTAGGCGCGCATCACCTTGACGGATCCCAGGCGCTTCGACTGAGCCGGCCTCACAGAGGCCATTGAGACACGGCATGACGCCGCAAGGGTGGCCGAGGAGAAGGAGCGGACGGGCAGAGCTCGCGGGACTCGGCGTCCATGTCGGAGCAGAGCCGGAGCTCGACCGGCGAGTGTGGTTATCAGATTCGCAGGCATGGCGATGGCGATGGCGGCGGTGTCGCAGGCGGATCAATGCGTATATGGCACCGTCCCGCTGGCAAGCTTGCCCTTCTGAGTCCCGGATCCTAAGGTCGTCTGGGAATTTGCGACGTGAAGGAGGTGAGCGCCGGTGACTCTTTTGTGTAGGTTTCTGGCGGGGGGGATGAGAAAGCAGCTGCTGTGGAGGGCGGCTTCGTGAAGAAAAAGGCGGTACTGATAAGATAAGGAGGGGGGCCCTGGGCTGAAAATTATTCTGGTGTGTGACTCCCAGTCTCGGTGACGCATCGCAGGCATCTCGGACGCAGAGTCCTCAGTGGTCGGATATCTGTCGGCGCCCCAACATTTTGGCGTCGGATCGGGTGGCCTTGGTCTTTGCTTGGTCTTTGCTTGGTCTTGCTTTGGCCTCCTCTCTCGAGGGCGGGATGGATGGGGATGAGAGAATTATCCAAAAGCGAAAGGGATCGGCCGTCACTAGTAGCGGCGGTAGGTCCATGTTGGTGCGTAGATAAGTTAGATACACCAGCCAGTGCAGATTCTTCTCCCCTCGGGCAGCTTCGCAATTTGTTTGTGTGCATTTCTTTCATGTCCATTGACTGCTGTGATATCTCCCATGTTTGTTTGGTACTTGGTACCTGCAGCCAGATACCGAATCAGGTATGAGGTGGGAGTTACATTTGCCCTGCAGCTCTCCATTGCTGAGCTCCCCAGATAAAGCTAGCAAGCAGATGGGGCCTGACGATGGCCGATGGTCGGACACAAGCCGGATCCCTGTCTAACGAAGGTCAAATTTTGTTCGCGGCACAACGTCAATGGCTCTGCCGAAGGTAATATGTAATCTTGCTTGTTGTCTACCGAGTCAATGGGGCTTTCTCGACCATCGCACTGGTCCAAACTGGTGTGGTAGCTCCAAGCTTGACTAGCTAGGGCCCGCTGCGAGATCGCAGCTTGCGCAAGCAAACAAGATCCAATGTCCGATTAATCGGCAAGCGGTTGAGCAAAAAGAATGGCTGTCCCACGAGGCAAAAAGCCCACTGAAGGGGAAAGCAGACGCCCGAGGCGAGTCTCGATCTCGCAACCCTTCGATGGTACAGCAACTTCCAGATTAGGAGAGTTGCTTACGTAAAAGTCGAAAGCTCTAACCAATTGAGCTACCCGGGCTTTTTTGTTGCGGAAACTTCTCTAACTGAAACCTATAGACCTAGAGTTTTTTTCTCTGTCAAAGCTCGAAGAAGCACGGGGATAGCTTCCGATCGAACCAACAATAACCGCATCCCGCCCGGAGAAGTCCCCCGAAACTGGAGGCGGCGGGGACAAAACGCCCAGCCCCGCCGCTGCTCGGACCCGTGACGGCCTTGAAAACCCTGCAAGAAGGAATTGAGTCATGTTCAAATGTCCGATTCGGATTTGATGAGTTTTCCATTGACTCAACTAGGTGTATCAAATTTCATTGGGCGCGATAACGGTGTTGTATAAATCGTGCGCAGTCCTTACGTGTCTTCATGCATGTGAAGCCCTTGCTCCTAAGAACAACAATGCTGTGTTACCGCGGCATTAGATTAGCAGCGTAGCATCAACGGCAACATGAATGCCTGTGCGACTAGAAAACTATACTAGGTGAAATCATGGATGCCACCTTTCCACTTCATACCACTGTATCAATTGGATATCAATATCCATACAATTACCCATCTCAAAACAAACTCCTGCACCAGGGTTACCCTACATGATTTATTTATACGCCATTGGCCAATTTTCAAGCCCGGTCCATATTAGTGCGGGTAGCCGCCCAAGAGCCGAAGCCATCGGGAAGGGATTCGGTCCCGGTGATTTCATCACACAGGCACGCGTTCGCAGAAAAACATGAGATACTGAGTCAATGATCTCTATTTTCTGAGGTAAATAAAAGTCCCGAAATATAATAAATAAAATACTTAAAGACTTATGATATTATTACTTATTTTTATCTCTTATTTAGTATATAATTAGGTTATTATGTGAGTACTCTTTGCTGAGTATAAATGCTCTAGTGTCTCAAGTTTTCTTGCGTCCAGGTGGCAGGCAATCTCTCACACGAACTCTCTCCACTGAGATTTTCGTTCACCTGCCCTTGTCGAAAACACAGTGCTGCATGTGATCTCAGCGTTGAAACAACCGCTCCTGCTGTTTCCAAGTGTATGGGTTGGCCAGGTGTCGGCAAATAGTTGATCCCATCTCCGACTACTCTCCCTGCCTACCTACTTAGGAAGGACTTGCTCATTCAACTTCACCCGCATTCCTCGGCCAATACAGAGTCTCCCGCGTTCCAACTACGAGCCGTCCCAAGGGCATCTCTCTCCTTCAGAAACCGTACCCACAAAGCAGCAGAACGACCCCAACATGGATATCATCATCACGAGAAACAAAGCTGTTAGAAGGCTAGGCGCAAGCGCTGCTACCTGTCCGTTCCGAAGCCATCAGCTCACGCGTGCTTGGTCACGGATGATCTCAATTCCGTTCAAGTGAAGGATGGATACCAAGCGGTGTCTGATAGTCGTTTTAGAAACCAGGCCGTTTCTGCTTGGCATTCAAAAGGCAGGACGATCACCGAGAACTTCATGAATGTCCGTAGTCGGCATTCCGTCCTTGATGTCGTTGCAAGGCATACTCCCTCGAAGCTCGCAGAGTAGCCTCTCCCAGGACTAGTCGTGACAGCACCAAACAACGTCCATTACTCTAACCCTGCCGCCCTGGGAAATCCCCCTCCATACCCGCATCCAAAATGTCGCAGACCTTACACCTTCGGTCAATATCGATAGAGCTCTCATTGCTCTCCACCGCTACCCCGTGGTTCATGGCACCGAGAACACACCGAGACAACGGTCTATACTAATTGATTGATGGCCGGATATCTCGAAAGCTGCAGCTATAAGATGACAGCATGCTCGCCTTGAAGACTGAACTTATCATCACTATCACGATCACAACCACTTCAACTACCCTCATCACTACTTCACCTAAAGAGCTTTGGCATTTGCTTCCAAAGTTTCCAGTCTCTCCTTCAATCAACTCATTAGCCTTCTGATCATATCACTCCCTTTTACATCGACACTTTTCAGCAAAATGAAGTCCATCTCTTTCGTCCTCACCCTACTCCTCAGCAGCGCTCTGGCTGCTCCCTTCGAGTCTACCTACTCTAGCCTATCCGCCCGCGAGGAGGCCGGCCTCTTCGACGACTTGAAGGGTGGTAGCCTCGGCCCACGGGCTAGCGATGACACCGTTGCGCGTGCTACGGATGACCTGGACAAGTTCCTTGCATCACTCGGCGGTCAAGGAAAGGGCGACAGCAAGGCGCCTTCCAAGCGTGAGGAAGCCCTCCTCGGTGAGCTCCTAGCTGGTCTTATCCCTGGCCTGACTGGCGGCTCCGGAGCCGTTGGAGGACTCACCAAGGGCGCCACTGACGCTGTGGACGGCGTGACCGGTGGCCTTACCAAGGAGCTCAAGGAAAAGCTTGGTGATGTTACCGGTAGCGCTGGAGGTCTTACCAAGGACGTTACCGACAAGCTTGATGGTCTCACTGGTAAGGGATCTGATAAGCAGAAGCGTGAGGAAGCCCTTCTCGGTGAGCTCCTAGCTGGTTTCATCCCCGGCCTGACTGGCGGCTCCGGAGCTGTTGGAGACCTCACCAAGGGGCTCACCGACACAGTGGGCGGCGCGACTGGTGGCCTTACCAAGGAGCTCAAGGAAAAGCTTGGTGATGTTACCGGCAGCACTGGAGGCCTTACCAAGGACGTTACCGACAAGCTGGATGGTCTCACTGGTAAGGGATCCGACAAGCAGAAGCGTGAGGAGGCCTTTGTTGTCGGCGACCTTCTAGGTTTGATTAGCGGTCTTACCGGCGGCCTGACTGGCGGCGCTGGTGGCAGTGCAGCCGCTGGAGGACTCACCGAGGGGCTCAAGGACAAGCTTGGTGATGTTACCGGTAGCGCTGGAGATCTTCCCAAAGACCTTACCGAAAAGCTGGGTGCCCTGGCTGGCGGAAAGTCTGGCGAAGACGGTGCCGACAAGAAGGGATCCGACAAGCAGAAGCGCGAGGAGGCTCTTGCCGGGCTACCCCTTGAGAAGATTCTTCCTCTTCTGAAGGCGCTCGGGCTCGGAAAGCGTGAAGAGGCTCTTGGTGGACTCCCCGATTCCATCGAAGATCTCCTCAAGCTCCTAGGACTTGACAAGCGAGACGAAGCACTCTCTAAGCGTGAGGAGGCTATTCTGCCCATCCCCCTTGATGACCTCCTTAAGCTTCTAGGCGGACTCACCAAGAGTGGCAAGCAGGGCCTTGGCAAGCGCGAGGAGGCCATTGCTGGACTTCCCATCTCTATCAAAGATCTCCTCAGCATCCTAGGGCTTGGCAAGGGTAGCGAAGAGGGCCTCTCCAAGCGTGAGGAGGCCATTGCTGGACTCCCTTCGCTCGATGATCTCCTTAAAATCCTAGGACTTGACAAGCGTGGCGAAGAGGGTCTCTCCAAGCGTGAGGAGGCTATTCTGCCCATCCCCCTTGGTAACCTCCTTAAGCTTCTAGGTGGACTCACCAAGAGTGGCAAGCAGGGCCTTGGAAAGCGCGAGGAGGCCATTGCCGGACTCCCCGTCGGTGCCATCCTTGACCTCCTTAAGAGTCTTGGACTCAGCAAGAGAGATGGACAGGAGCTATCTGAGCGCGAGGTCGCTGGTATTGGGAGAATTCTCAGCCTCAACCTCCTGCCGCTCACCAAGGGATCAGGAAAGCGAGATGTCGCTGAAGGATCATCCATTGATCGCCGAGACCCCATCGTTCTCACTCCTGAGATCATCGAGTCTCTTATTCGCCAGAAGCTCGAGGCTGCCAAGAAGGGCAAGGGTGAGATCAAGGACAAGGCCAGTGGCAAGGACAAGCGCGAGGTGGCAAACCACCAAGCCGCTGGCGATATCACCGATGAGCTCAAGGAAATTCTTGAGGCTCTCCTGGGTGGTGCCGACAAGCTCCCTGCCGTCGACTCGATCAAGCAGGCCGTGGAGGACAAGGCTGGCGATGCCAAGGATGTGGCTAAGGATGCCTCGGGAAAGACCAAGGAGGCTGTTGCCGCTGTTGACCCTGTCTCTGCTTAGGGACTCGGTTTGTGATGCCTGATGAGGCGATTGGATGTGAGAGGAGGACTTGGACAGAAAAACAATGGCCAGAAAGGGGAGAGAAGGATTCATTCACTATTCTTAGCAAACTTTATTTTCATTCTTAGCCCGCTTGGTAGTCAGTCAGGGTTTATTTCATCAAAATCTCTTATCAGTTGCTTATTCCATTCACTTTGTCTTGGCTGCCTCGTGAGTATTTTTGATAGATGTCTTCACTTGTCATTCGGCATGCGCTTTGGTAGCTCTGGTAGTCCCACCCCAAAGGAACAATTTTGTTGTGCTATATTTATTCACAAGCTTCTTTGTTCTAATGTCATTGGCGAAGAATGATCTACAGCACGCTAGGTGTTCTGTTCATTACCACGGCTTTTTTGGTACTCAAACAAAGGCTTCAGTGTTCCATCAGCCTCCACATCTACATGATGGCATAGCCTCCCGCCACGGTGCATATTAGAGAAGCCCCTTCGGCCTCCGAGAGACCCTTTCATCCTGTCTTCAACTTTTAATATCTGTAGACCTGCATCGGTATCGCCATCTGCTTATTCTACAATAACACAGCAACAAGACAGCACACGTTTGGAACACAGGAGCTCCAAAATGTGCTATCAGATGTCATTATACCATTGTCGTCACATGGGTCGTGAGCGCATACCATGTCAACGGGAACCACCGCGAAGAAACTACTACTGTCTGAGGTTTTTGGTAGATTGGTTATGGCCGCCTGGCTATTGCGACGACTTGCCTAACCCCCTACAGCGGGTGAATAGAGCCTGTGAGAGCTGCAGGGCCAAGCCCATCGAGGACTGGCCGTTACGGAACAAGTTAATCATTCGGCGTCGGGGACGTGTGAAGTAGACTATGGCATAAATAGATAGATAGATGGTGCTTTCTTAAATGCTAACTCGATTATCAAGATCAACTCCGTACACTCCAGGCGGCATTCAAGGTGCCAGCCAACATGACCCCGTCCATTGTACAGGTAGATAGATTCCTTCCCTAAACTGTGCATGCTGAATTTGATTGATAATGTGTGGCTCTCAAAGCAACCTAACAGCCGTGTAAGCAAATGAAAACTGCTATAGTAAACATGAAGCGTGTGAAAAGATGATACGGGTGAGGTCACTAAAACCACCTTGCACTCCAATAGTGGCCTAAAGACCGTCGCAGACTTTTTCCATCCTTAAGATGTGACACTAAAGTCGGCATTTTCATGTGTCGATGGCGGTTCGGCCAAGCTCGTGGGCTCGAATCGCGGTTCGTCTTGGCACTCGAACTGGCATGCATGGCATCCTTGGGTAATTGACCGCATGCCAAGACATGGGGTTCAAAGACGACATTACAAGCCATATCCAGGCATCACCCTTTATTGGGCCTTGCCGTTCTTAGACTTGGCCTTGAACTTCTCAATCTCGACCTGAACCTTCTTGTTCACACGAGCCTGCAGTTCGGGCCTGTAACCAAGCTTGAAGAGCATCTCGAGCCACACAAACATGGGGGCAAGGAAGATGGCTTGGATGAGGTTGTCGAGCAGGGCAGGGGCCCGGCCCTCAAAGGTGCCGTGGCCGATGAACTGAAAGATCCAGCAGACGATGTGGAGGGCCAAGGCGCCCTGGAAGGTCGTCTCAGGACTCTGCTGGCGCAGGTAGTTACCAAAAGCGGCACCACCCATGCAGAAAGCGGCCAGAAGGAATCCGGCAAACGGCTCAAGGAGCAAATACAGCAGGGAGTAGAGGCTGGCGGCGATGGTACCAAGGTTGAGTTCCAGATAGGGGATGGTGAGCCAGGATGGTGTGGGGATGAGAGTGCCAGTATATGTGGCCTGCAAGTACCGGTGAGCATATGTTCGCGGTAAATGAGTGATCAGCAATGAGAGATCAAGGGATAAGACGAACCATGCAAAAGGCCGAGATGAGGATGAGAGGAACGCAGACCATGTGAATGGCGATGTTGATCGAGTTATGGTGGTAAGCACCATACTGGACAGAGCATGGTTAGCGGATTCAAGATATGACATCGATGTGGACTCAAGTGGAATAAAGCTTGTGCTGGGAAGACCGTGTGAGGGACTTACAAAGGTCAAATGCTGCTCCAGGTCTAGAGACATGATGGGCGATGGCTTGGCAGAGAAGACGGCGGCAGTTGAGATAAACCGAAAGGACAGACGCAGGCAGAAAAGGACAAGATCCAACAACTGAGCAATAGAATAGGGATACAGTCAGTTGAGTCGAGTTGAGTCGAGACCTTGGCTGGGACCTAAGCTGGCTGCGGTTGTGGATCTGGCGGTATTAGGAAATTCCGGGGCGGGATAAGGCGGAGGGAGAGGAGACGAAGGAAGGCCTGGTCGATGATGCGATGTTGATATCGTCACAGCCCAGGTTATTAGGAGAAGGTACGGATACGTGAATAAAGACAGCGCAGCGCAGTGCAGTGCAGCCAGGTGACAGACTCTCTTTGAGAATGAGCCGAGGCCTATTGGATGGCACAGTACGGGTGGCGCGTTACGGACAGAGTGAAAAAGGAGAGAGCAGAAGCGAACAAGCCAAAGATGCAGACAGACGAAAGCCAAAAAGAGGAGGGGGAGGGGGAAGATGGAAGAGAAGGGGGTGAAGGAGGTGGAAGAGGCCGAGGTGGAGGTTAGAAGTGAATGGAGTGAGACTGGAGCGTCTGTCGCAGCAGGCAATGAGAGTGAGTGAATGAATGAATGGTTGAATTACTTGCTGTGTTGTCCTGGCGGGCATGTGTTAGGTTTTTTCCCTCTCTCACTCAGTGTCCACTAGCAATGGGACACTTCCAGGTTTGGGGGGCACCTGCGCCTGCACCCGCACCTTCCACAGCGCGCACCTCACCTCACATCTGCACCTTCCCATGTGGGGCAGGGTCGGTGTCCGTGCCTCGGATCAAATGGACCTTCTTTCCTTCCATCCCATGTATTCATCCATGCTCATGCCCATGTTGGACAACAGCCGTAATGGTCGTGTGCCCATTCTCCAAACCCTTCATTTGACTAGAGCAAAGTCGTCAAGGGCACCTGGAATCGTGCCTACTGGTTGCTCACTGCCATTGTTCCTTGTCCCCTTCCCCGGGTTTTTTGGGGTTTCTCTTTGCAAGGGGACAAGGTTTTGGGGAGCGTCGCTTAAAGTCCATCGTACCACTACCGGTCTGCTAGCACCGGGGACTTGATGGGTGCGAGCACTTCGGGGCCTCCACTGACAGCGACAGCTCCCTCGTATTATCCATCCCTCCGTAATGATGAGACGGAGACAGTACCGCCGAACCTCAGATCCCTTCCCTTCATTATTGTAGGTTCTCCGCTCTTTTGCCGTCCACTTCAAACCACCAATTGATTGATACCCACGTTGGAGACCACCATACCTCCCGGTTGTTGATGTCGTCTGTCACTCACTGCCGGCTTACATTCTGCAGCAACTGAATGGTCAGTTTGGGGGGCCTCTTCCGACTTGCATTGCCTGATTCCGGGCCGTCACTATCAAGGCCCGGCCGGCCGTGGTGGAGTAGGGAATTGCCGCACCTGCAGTCCTTCCCGCTCCGCTCGCTGTGCATGCCAGAGCCAAAAAGAAGCATGCGCCACATTTCTTTGTCTGCCACTCCTGTGGCTGATGAATAGTCTCCACAAAGGTGAGGCGCGACAAGCTCGGCCTCTGACTGGGTAAATATTTCTGCTGCGCCAGCAACACATCTCAGCCTCGCCGCCGAATGTCTCCAAACCTTTGCATCTCACCAGGCATCCTTTATCACCTGGCCACTCTTTGCGCCCGTGTCGTTTAGGCTTGCGGCCCTATTTTGACGCGACGACGTGAAGTCTATCTCTGAATTTGTTCCGCCTTCTCCTCCTCCCTCTCCATCTCCCGAAAACCGCGAGCCGTCGTCGCGCGTTATCCGGTTTCCGTTGCTGTTCCTCTACGCCTTTCAACGACGCGCGCGCGCACCTGTCGCTGCCTCTCGAGCGATCGTATAACCGCTTCCAACGATAAATTTCGGCTAGATCTTGTGCTTCTCAATCGTCCCATCTTTGTTGCTTCCATCTCGACTCTCGACTGAGCGCCCTTTGTCGCAAAACTCGTCCCCGATACGATACGATACCACTCTATACCATTCATCATGTTCTTTCTCTACAATCTGGAACGTAGGGTCACCCTGCACCCATCGTTCTTTGGTCGCAACATGCACGATCTCGTGACACACAAGCTCCTGACCGACGTCGAGGGCACATGCGCCGGCAGCTACTTCATCATTTCCATCATGGACACCTTTGACATCTCCGAGGGACGTATTCTCCCTGGAAACGGCCTCGCAGAGTTCACAGTTGGCTATCGCGCCGTCGTATGGCGACCCTTCAAGGGCGAGACGGTAAGGCTGCAGTTGCCGGCTCTTGACGATACCGGAGTCTGACACGACCCAGGTCGATGCAGTCGTGTACTCGATCAACCCACAAGGGTTCTTTGCTCGAGCAGGACCACTGCAACTGTTTGTATCAGCGCATGTATGTTGAGTCTCTCACCGAGGTGAAGCTCCTTCTGACAACAAGCACAGTTGATCCCCAGCGACATCAAGTGGGATCCCAACGCGACACCACCCCAATTCACCAACAATGAGGACACAGTCATTGAGCCCGATACCCACGTTCGCGTAAAAATCATTGGTACCAGAACCGAGGTCGGAGAGATGTGGGCTATTGGCAGCATCAAGGAGGACTACTTGGGGTACGCAAACGACATAGCCTCGGCTCTCTCACTGCTAACTTTGCTCGCAGTTGCCTCCAGGATTAATACCCGAACGTGATGATGAATGAATTCACACAAATACTAGGATGATTGAAGCTTCTGCTGGCTAGTGGACCGCCTTGCACGGCACAACTGACACTGCCAGAACCATCCGCCATATGGACAGCTGCCCTCGACAGATTGTTGGCTAGCTGTACAGAACTCTCGGGCAATTGAATTGGCGCAAGACAGGTTGGGCGCTGGCATTGGATTTCTGACAAAATATGATATTGGTTGAGGGGGCAATGAAAGCAGAGCGTCATACTCACTGATGTTACTAAACGTCAAGATGGCTACAGCAGTAGCAGCAGATGCTTAGTTAGAGATGCCAGACATAGAGCCTGCTGTGAAGGGATTGGCGGCAGTTGTTGCTAATGGATCTATCTGTCTGTCTAGATCTGGCGGCAAGTGGCTAACTAGACGCACTACACGCAAGTTGACGCAGTTACAAATTGAAAAGCAGATACCCCAAGTCATTGACGCCCTATGACAAGCCTTGACAAGCGTTGACACACGAGTCCCACGGCTTTGAAAGCCGAGATGCAGTGTTGGCTGCCGTCTTTGATCGGCTGACAACTCCCCCATAACCCCACACTGATAGCACCCCCCACGCTGTGTGCCTGGGATCTACATCCATGGATACGTATATTATACAGGACTCAAAGGGTTGAATGTTTAACGATTGGAAACCCTACACTTTCTATATTCTTCTGTCGCCTTTACCTCTTGGCGTGTTTGAAATTGCACTCTAATCCTACTGCAAAGAAGAGGTCCAACATGAAGCTCCTGTCATCGACAGCTCTACGAATGAGACCAGCTCTCACTGCTGGCAACTCACTACGGTTGCGGGGGGCAGCTCGACATCTGACCACGATGCAAGCATCGAACCGGTTGCGTACGGCGCTCAAAGAGGGTAGAAAGTCTATGGGCGCCTGGCAGATGCTCCCCGGCGCAAACATATCGCGAGTATTGGCGCGGTCTGGAGTTGACTGGGTCCTGGTTGACTGCGAGCATGGAAACTTGGATGGTGGGGATTCTTGGTCAAGATGATGAAGCAGCACCGCTGATGAACCTTTAGATGGCGCTATGCATGATGCTGTCCCGGCCATTGCAGCATTGGGGGTGTCACCTATTGTGAGATTGCCTGACATCCAAGGCTGGATGGTGAAGCGTAAGACCTCAGAAGATACACTACACTACTTGAATATGAGGCTAACCTTTCTCAGGTGCTCTCGACAGCGGAGCCCATGGTGTAGGTGCCTAACCTGAAGGTATGGCATTCAGGCTGTTGACTTGATCTAGATCGTCGTGCCGTTGCTACGAACTCCCGAAGAGGCTCGACAGCTTGTCCAGTCGTCCAAGTTTCCACCCTTGGGCCAACGAGGCTTCGGCTCCCCAATTGCCCCGGAACGTTTTAAACCTGTCCCTAGCTTCACCGATTACCTCCAGCAGGCCAACGACTCTCTTTTGACCATTGTCCAAATTGAGACCAAGGAGGCGCTTGAGTCCATTGACGAGATTGCCGCTGTCGAGGGTATCGATGTCTTGTTTGTTGGGCCATTCGATCTAGGTCAGTTTCTTTTGAACATTTGCCAGCTTCTTCAAAACATATTGACTCGTAATAGGAAACAACATTGGTCATCCTATTATAAACGGCGTCATGACACAGGAGCTGAAAGACGCCATCGCCAAGGTTCTCTCTGCAGGTCAGAAAGCCGGCAAAAAGACGGGAGTTTACTGCACAGGAGGTGAGCAGGCGAAGCTGTTCGCGGACCAGGGTTTTGATATGATGAATGTCGTGACGGATTACACGGCGTTGGGCGTTGTGGCCAAGGAGCAGCTCAGCCTCGCCGAGGGGAGGCCCTAGATTTGGTTAGAGATGCATAGTATGTGCGATGTTGATAGATAGCATTGCAGTATGAGCGCTCAGTAAACAGGGCGAAACAAGAGCGCAGTCATACCCTCGAGCTCGTTCGGAATAGTTCTGTGATGGTTTATGCCCGGGTAGCGTCCACGCTTGGAGCTTTTCAACTTACATCCTGAAAACCGCGATTGCTAACTACCCTAGATCGAAATTGAAGTGATTCAGGAGACAGGCGTATGTACGTTTCTATCGTCTATCAATGATACTAGCTAGCTCTTCTCGGCCTTGTCCATCTGTGCCTCGACCTGATCAACTGTGAATCTATGCATCAACTTGATGGCCTTCCCGACCTTTGCAGGATCTTCCTCTGGTGCTGTTGCTTTGCTGATATGTATCTGTTGCGGGTGTGAACGGATTGCGTGGCTGTGATTACACTTTGCCTACCACAGGGACGTCAAAGTCATAGAGGTCCCTCCATTTCTTCGACTCGGGCTTTGGAAGGTCAATGTTGACTTCTGTGTAGGCGAATGGCCGCTTGTCCCAGACATCCGAGAGGACGCTTTTTGCCTGGGTACAGAGGCCACAAGTGTCGCGGGTGAAGAAGGTGATTCTGGTGGATTGGAGGAGGCGACGAGTGGCAAACATGATGAGCCGTACTAGATAATGACAATAAAGATGTCTAAACAATAGAGTTTTATTGATTGGAATGTCAATGGCTTGAAAAAGAAATAACAACATGGGTCGATAGCTTCACCTTCAGGTGCACAAACTGCCAACCATCCAGCTCTGACCCCGCACCCAAACAGGCAGGCGGTGGACCCGAAGCTCCCTCTCCCACATCGTCATCGCTGGAATTCTAGAAGCTCCCACCCCACAGACTCGACAACTCCCAAAACCTCTGCTCTCCCCCTTATTCACGGACGGGTTTTGCAATTCATCGAGAGATCATAGAGCTATACCCACTTGAAATCTGCAAGATGGCCCAAAAGTGTGTCCATCAGGGTTGTGGAAAGGAGTTTACCGATCCTGATGAGAAGTGCGAGTACCACCCCGGTCCTCCCATCTTTCACGAGGGGCAGAAAGGTAAGCATTGGATTCATCAAGAAGTAACCTTGATGTTTTGCCCACGCACACGCTAATTCATCATGTAAAGGATGGAAGTGTTGCAAGCCTCGAGTCCTGACCTTTGATGAGTTCATGGATATTCCTCCCTGCACTACAGGGACACACTCGACGACCGACAAGCCTCCCCAGCTCGAGGAGAAGCCCCGGGAGGACGAAACTACCCTCGCACAGAAGATCGACGCCCTCAACGCTGCTGCTCCCTCCCGCACACCCATCCCGACTGCCCAGCACGCACCGACCCCGCCTCCTCCGCCGCCAGAGTCCGAAGATGACGACCCCAGCCTCGAGATCCCCGACGGCGCTGCCTGTAAGCGCAAGACTTGCGGCGCAGTCTATAAGAAGGGCAGTTCGAGAGACGGTGAGGAGTGTGTGCACCACCCCGGTGTGCCCATCTTCCACGAGGGAAGCAAGGGCTACTCCTGCTGCAAGCGCAGGGTGCTGGAGTTTGACCAGTTCATGAAGATTGAGGGCTGCAAGACCAAGACAAAGCACTTGTTCGTGGGCAGTGGAAAGAATGGTAATGGTAACGGCGGCGCTGAGGAGGTTCTAACCACTGTCCGGTAAGTGTTGGATTCTCAAGGGCTTGTCAACCATGTTGCTCACAGTGTACAGCCACGACTTCTACCAGACCCCCGCCAACGTCATCGCCTCCTTTTTCCTCAAGAAGATCAACAAGGAGACGGCCAAGGTAGAACTACAGGCCAAGCAAGTGAACCTCGACCTCACGACAACCGACCCAACCCCCAAGCGATACACAGCCGAGGTACCCCTCTTTGCGACAATTGACACCGAAAAGTCCTCCTTCAAGATCCTCGGTACAAAGCTGGAGCTGGTCCTCGCCAAGTCGGACGGAAGTTCGTGGCCAGTGCTGCGAGGGGATGAGGCGCTGACGGGCGAGATCCTACAGGTTGGCCGGGCTGGGAGGGCATGAGTGCGTGAAGAAATGGCAAGAATTGAGCATGACACGGAGTTTTAGGTGAAGGTTGAAAGGGGCGTTGATAGATGATGGCTACATCTGGCCAAGTGTGTTTACCGGGTTGGAGAGTGAAATTAGCGAGCGGGAGAAGGCCAAGTTATGGATAGGATCAAGAGATTTAGGAAGAACCAAAATGACAAGAATGCATTATGAAACTTGACTGTTGATATGTACTTATATGAGGTCTGAAGAACCTTGGTAGTTGGGTGGCATAACAAGGGAGTTGCTGAGATTTTGACTATTCATGCCTTCCATTGATAGGGTAGACAACCATTTACTCGGCATTTCGCAAGCAAATCAATTTTTATAGAGCATGATGCATGATGATCTCGTTCTAATGCTTGTATGCATCAACACTACCTCAACGAACCTTGTTCAGAACACAATGCTCCTCTTGCGGTCTATGCCCAAAGGAGGTTAGAATTGACTTTCAAGACCTCGTTTTGCAAACTTGCTCGTTATCTTGCTTGGCTATCAATACTCATTCAACAATGCTCTTGTCTCAGTTTAACCAATGTTAAAGTCCGCTGTCTAACGTATGAGTAAACTGCATTGAACGCACGTGTATCGCATGACATGACGATGAATTACTAGTCTATATTTACCTCTGACAGGACGCCCCTTTTGATCCATTGTTAAAGACCCACTGATGAACATGACAGGCGTCATTCGTCGCTTGCCTCGTAAACCCGGCGTATCCGATGGACTAATTGTTTGGTTCTGGAACCAACATATGCGAACTTCTGAAACAACTTGACCCATAAACATACAAGACCCGCAACTTACGACAAAGGCCAAGAGTGTTTCCCATTAGCCCATGTAGGTAATTACATGTACGTGCCAGAGCAGATTCCATGATCCTTGGGGCCGAATCGGCTTATCTATCCACGCGAGATCTGCAGCTCAGCCGCATCGTAGTTTAGTACTTGTTTCCATAATATCCGTCATGACCTTCTTGGGACACGTCTTGTATTGTTACCTTTTTCCATTGTGTGCTCATGTGCCATGCCAGAATGTGGCATCTTGTATGGCTTTGCGTGACCATAGCTCAAGTGATAGTATCCTCAGAGATTCGGGCCAAGCAGGAAACCTTGGTCGTTGGCACGGCCAGTGGCAACTTTTCACATTACGATGTTCTCAACTACACTGCCACTGAGCCAGGCCGGCCGGTGAAGCCGGGGACGAAGCTGCGTATCCTCTGCGCTGGTGACTCCATCACTTCCGGGTGGAAGAGCGAACAGGACGGTGGGGATGGTGATGGCTATCGGCGTCAACTCCAGAAGGACTTGTCGGGTAGGTTGGAGCTTGCCTTTGGTCACGCGTGAATACTGACTCGGTGCCGATAGAGGATGAAGTTGTCTTTGCGGGCAATGTTGAAGGGGGTACAATGAAGGACGGCTACTTTGTAAGTGCTCCTCTTCACGACTGAGACGTTGCGCTCACCCAACTCCATAGGCAGCCTGGCCGGGGAAGACGATACAAGTCATAAGTGACAGGATCGGCCCTTCTCTTGAGCAGAGACCCAACATTATCCTCCTCCACGCCGGGACAAACGACATGAACGCGAGATCTCGGCTCACGCAGGCAGAAACCCCAGCAGACGCGGCAGAGCGCCTGGGCAAGCTCATCGACAAGATGATAAAGGCGTGCCCGGATGCAGTAATCCTGGTCGCAGTCATCATCGGCACATGCGACACAACCAAGATTGCAAAAACACCAGAGTACCAGGCCCTGATCCCGGGTGTCGTTCAGGAGCGGCGACAGGCAGGCCACCATGTGCTGGCGGTCGACTTTTCCACGTTTCCTATCCAAGACCTGCGAGATTGCGTGCACCCGACGAACGAGGGATATCAGTTGTTCGGCGACTACTGGTACGACTTTGTCACGCAGATACCGAGCAACTGGATCAAGGAGCCTGTTGGGGATGATCCGCAGCGCAGCGTTGCAGATGGGACTCGGCGAATTAGCAAGAATGGTGTGCTGCGAACTGGGTTATTCTGGGTATTTTGCTGGGGTGTAACAGACATGTTTCCATGATTGGATTGCTGTTGGATATGTAGGTATTTATATTTATGATGAATGCAGTTTCCCCATAACGGAGTTATGAGTGCTGCCTGAGTGAGTTGAGACATCCTTTGTGCATCATGTATGAGTGGTGTCACTTGAATGTGGAATTGCTCGACAAGAGATAATGAAGCTTGACTTACAATCTCATCACCAACCTCATGTCTGCGACGAAGCAATGAAGCGAAGTGAGCGAGGCACACGCAATTATCCTCCCCGAAACTGCCCGCTCGACTATCTGGGCGCTTGGCCGCCGTAACCGATGAGCAGCTGGCCAAATCAGCGTCAACCTTGAGACGGCCGAGAATGCTGAGCTGGACGTCTAAACGGCAGGGTTCGGAGAAAAGACTGAAGGGGCCCCTGTATTAGCTCATTGCTTGCTTGACCTTGATGGAATTGTTAGCGGTTGCATGGAAATGGGAGAGATTCAGACGCACGTCTGGGGCACTTTAACCTGTCCATTGCTGCCTACATGAGGCCGGAACAAATTGGATGCGTTGAAATACGAAGTAGTCGAGTAAACCATGTAGAAGGACATCTTACATGAATCCTGGACATTGATTAGCGCGTCTCGTGGAATTCGAGTTGCTGTGAGTGATAGCTGTGAGTGATACTTACTACCTCGTCGTGTTCTTATGCCCCCTTGTCATGCTGTATATATATCAACTGCATTCAATTCCTCAAGTGTCGGACTTGGACGTCCGTCACTTGGTGAAGATGCTCAGATGAAATCGTACGGGAAACCATCTCCTTTGCATGCTCGTATTGTTTCGGTAGCGACGCTCGAACAGGGGTCACTCACCTTCTCCCCCAAACTCCACGGACCAACCAACAAGCTCGTGCAACAACTTACGTAGTCCAGGCCAAAAGATCCGAGACGGCACAGACCAGAAGATTGACAGGCTCATCTCCATCTTGCACTGCAAAGTCCCCCCCATGCCTTGCCAGGCAAACTGGGGAATCCCACTTTTCTCCGCCCAATGTCAAAAATGCAAGGTTCCTGATAAGCCCGGAACCCAAGGCCAAGCCAAGACAAGGAGGACGACTCGTGGCCGTGGAGATGGAGATGAGCAGTCCGTCTCACACCCGATATGGGGGTCGAGCTCCATTGAACTCACCAAATTCGGATACGTAACCAGAGACCCAAGCGCGGCCTCTTACTGGCTGCCTCCGACTTCATCACTGCCACACCCTTCTCATCTCTCATGGCTCCTTGCTTGGCGCCTAGCCTCCAGGGCCTCGCACGCGCTGGACCATCCCGCATCTAGTGGCTCCCACTGGGCTCTTAGTGGCTTCAGCCTCTTTGGTGGCAGTCCGGGGGTGCTTGTGACGACTGATAAGAGATAGTGATATCGTTCCGAAGCTGATAGATAACGGGTTTGGTTGTTGCCATGATGCCATGGTTCATCCAATACCAGCCCTTATCAGAGGTTGTACCTGTTCACAGAAAACAAGCTTAACCTGATGGCTGAGCTGCCATTCCCCCGGCCTTCAGCTATAAGTTTGTCGCCATGCCCTGCGCTCGCGCAGCCGTCAACTCTCACGGCACGTCCTTGACAACAAGATATCCGGATCCGAAGCGCAATATTCAACCCATTCATTTTAGCAAATATGACAACTGAAGTCTCTCACGGCCGCGGCGGCGCAGGCAACTTCAAGCCAGACGACACCGAGTATATCGACGGCGAGGTCGTTCGCACAGGTGTCGAGGGTAGCCATGGTGACGGCGCATTCAGCTCTGGCCGAGGTGGTACGTATTGACGACTTTCCTTGGCACTCTCGATCAGAAGTCTGGTCATATGCTGGCGTCAACTCCGCTCAGGCATGGTACACCCTCTGCCTTTGCTTCCATGTTTCCGACGTGCTGTCTCTCAATTGCGCTTTTGACCAAGAAGCATTGTTTCGCGCCGCTGACACGACTAAACTTAATCATAGGCGCCGGAAACATCTCCGACGTTGGCTCCAAGCCTACCGAGCGTAGGGACAAGGACATCATCCCAGAGGCTGCTGTTCGGCCGAGCATGGAGGGCCGAGACTACCACACCGGCCGAGGCGGTGCTGGTAACGCTCAGACGGCTGCCGCTGAGAGAAAGTCGGAGGAGAAGCTAGTGACTGAGAAGCCTGCAATTGTGGCCCCAGTTGGCCTCGCCGACAAGCTCAAGGCCATGATCTTTGGAGGCAAGAAGAAGTAGGGGATCTCTCTTGGTTGGGATGAGTTGTGATTTGCGACGATGAGTACGAAGGAGACAGACTGAGTCCCCCCTGGGCAGTGTTGTGCTGGCCTCGGGCCATGTTGGACTTGAGATACCCCTGATATCATGGTTTCCCGTTGATCAATTTGATTGCCCTTGACGGCGCTGGCGAGTGCGCATAGAAAAGAACAGAACAGGACATTTGCCCTGCGTACTTGGTGTGATCAAGTGCCCAACACCGCCTGGGCCACACGCAGATCATGCGGTTCTCGTGATTCCTTGGCACTGATACCTGACAGCTGCCAACCTTGACGAAGGCATCTTTACCTCGAACATTTCCCCTCATGTCCAGTTCGTCTACAGATGTTTTGCTCGAGTTTCTTGAAGAAGGTATCTTGTCGTGATCTTTTCTTTAATCTGTCTAGCCTCTCAAAACATAACTTTTCCATAGAATGAAGCGCAATTCGTCATGTCCATCCCAAATTCCCTTACTCCGCCCTCATCCTGCACCGGGCCATCAGACCTCTAACCCAAGATAGCATGGAGTTCCTGAATCTGCTGCAGCACGGCTGATCGACTAGTACCGCCCCTGGCCGATTTCGCCTCAACACTCGACTCATATTCGAATGCCTTCACAATGTCTGGCGTGAATCGAGAATCGATGGCTTGCAGTTGCTCTAGGGTTAGCTTGTCCATCGGGGTTTCCGTGTTTTCCGATAATGCAACAACGCGTCCAGAAATGTGATGAGCTTCCCTGAAAGGACATCCGTTTTGCACCAGCCACTCCGCGACATCAGTGGCAAGCATCGTCTTATCCAGGCCAGCCAACATCCGCTCAGGCCGCACGGTCATGGTGGCGATAACCCCGTTGGCGATGCCCAGACTGTCCGAAACAGTTTGGACCGAATCCAGCATGGGTTCCCATCCCTCCTGAAGGTCCTTGTTGTAGCAAGTTGGCAAGCCTTTCACGCTCTATCAGGTATCTGTTAGTGGCTGCTCTTGATCCGCTCCTGATCACTCATGAGCTGATATGTCTGTATTCGAACTCACCATCATCAGCCCAGCCATTTGACCGAAAGCACGGCCTGACTTGCCGCGCAAGAGTTCCAAACTGTCGGCGTTCTTCTTGTTCGGCATTAAACTGGACGTGGATTAGAGTCTTGTGGGATTGTCTGGGAGTCGCGATGGATACAACGAACCTGCTGCCGGTACTATAGGAATCTGCCAAACGACAAAACCCAAACTCGGAAGTCGAGTATAATATGAGATCTTCAGCCCACCTGCTGATATGGCTGGTAAACATCGAGTTCCAGGTCAGGAACTCGATGATGAAGTCACGGTCGCCTGAAGTGTTCATGGAGTTCAGAGTGATTCCGCTGAAACCAAGCTCCGCGGCTATTGCGTCTCGATCGATGCCAAACACATTACCAGCTAATGCGCCACAACCAAGTGGGCTAAGGTTGACCCTTTCGAAGACCTGGCGCAATCGCTCGAGATCCTGCTTGAACGAAGCAGCATGTGACATTATCCACTGACTCCAGCGAACTGGCTGCGCGCGTTGCAAGTGGGTGTAGCCGGGCATGAGGTAGTCGCTGGGGATGTTACTCAGTAAGGGGCTTTGTCCGGATGCAGTACTAAGCTTACATTTCAGCCTCGGCACGTTTGGCGAGGACTTGAAGGAAAGCAACAAGTTGGCTGTCGATTTCACGGATGCGGTCACGTAGCCACATGCGCATATCACAGACGACCTGCTCGTTGCGGCTGCGACCTGTGTGCAGCTTGCCAGCGGTGTCCTTTCCGATGACCTCTCCCAATCGACGCTCGTTTGCAGTATGAATCTGATTCATTGTGTTAGCCTCGGGAGGTTAAGTGGCGTGGGCCAGCGTCTCACGTCTTCGTCATTCGGCATAATAGCAAAGGTTCCCTGCTTCCATTCTTCCATCACTTCAAGCAAACCATGCTCGATCATCTTGAATTCGTCTTCGGTGATAATGCCGACCTTTGAGTTGGCCCTGGCGAAAGCAATCGATCCAAGAATGTCCTCTCTATAGAGAGCCTTGTCGTATCCAATAGAGGCATTATACTTGTGCATAAGCGGATCAATCCCACCTGGGCATCGCAAGGTTAGTATACTGGATCCGAAGCTTGTGTCCGGGGATAATTGAACCTGTAAACCTGCCACCCCAGAGCATATTGGTTGCCGGGGCGTCCGTATTCTTTTCAGCCATGTTGGAGTATTTGTTCTCAGCGCTCGTCGCAATTGACGTTCAAATTGAGGGACGCGAGTCAATTCAAATGATGTTGCTTGATTGAAAAGGTCGAGAACGAGGGCGGGGCTGATCAAGTTCGAAAGCTTTAACGATGATCGAGCTTAAGGGCAGTCAATGGGAAAACTTTGTGGGGCCGACACCGGCAGTGTTAGTCACCTTGCACGTGAGGACCCCTACACGCCCTACTAACGTCAAGTATCTCCACATTTGCCAAGAAGCTCTTATCGATAACACCGGTATAGCATCTAGGTTCACCACCTAATCTGCCCGCGCCTCGCCCTGGGTCGCGCGTCCAGCTGGATCCTGAACCATGGCGATGGTTGCATGAAGTTGATGGAGTACAGTGTAAATTCACAGTTGTGTGGATGGGAGGTGATAGCTCACTGAGCAGGGGTGATTAGACTAAAGCCTGAGCTGAGCAAGAGCGGAAGTGCTGACTAACCAGGCCGGGGCGCGGGCGTCATGGGTTTCGTGGTAGACTACCCGTGACTACCCAAGTAGGTAGGTCGCCATGGCCCCGAACTTACAACCCCAACGCCCGCGTCTTCAAGACCATAGACTCTGGTCGGGTCTCTCGGCAATTTCGAAACGATCATTTAGGAGCTGCACAACATCAGCATTTGAGGCAGACGACGAACGATCTTCGACCGACGGCGACATGAGCTCTCGCAATAGCGAAGCTGACTTTCGCCGGCGGGTGATACCGAGCCACGCGGGCCATGATTCACGCCCGACAAGTCAAAAGGAGCTTCTCGGATGGTACGCATACGCGTTTGCGGCCGAGACGTACGTGATCTGTGGAATCGGTAGGTTATTCTAGAGCCTCTGGACGACGGAGGCTGTATCCCGGCTGCTAACGCGCTTGTCCAGGCTCCTTCATCCCCATCCTGCTCGAGACGCTCGCCCGAGAGAATGGCGTGCTGCTCTCTGACCGAAAGACACCATGCGGCTCAAGCTATAGCAAGGACAAGGATGACGGCCAATGCATTGTCTGGGTGCTGGGCATGGAGATCAACACTGCCAGTTTCGCCATGTACACCTTTTCCGTGAGCGTCCTGATTCAAGCACTGCTTGTCGTCAGTATCAGCTGCGCCGCCGACCATGGCAATTATCGGAAGAAGCTTCTCCTCAGTTTCGCATGGATCGGCAGCTTTGCGGTGATGGCTTACATCTTCATTACCAAGGAAAACTATATCATGGGCGCTCTCTTGACCATCATCTCCAACACATCATTCGGCGCCTCATTCGTGCTGCTCAACTCATTCCTCCCGCTCTTGGTCCGATATCATCCTGAGGTGATCGAGGCCAACGTTGCCAGTACCCCCGACCTGGGCCAATCTGACTATGAGTCTCGCCAACTGCAAGAATCTGTGGATGAATTGGAAGCTTCAATGGTGACAACAACTTCACCTTTGCTGCCGGAGGACGGCGAGCGGCTAAAGCCGACTGCAAGCCATGCAGAGATCACATCAAAAGAGCTCCAGCTCTCCACGCGCATATCGGCCATTGGAATTGGCACTGGGTATATCGCTGCTCTATTCTTGCAGTGCATAGCTATTGGGGTCCTCATCGCGCTGCACAACTCTACCTGGGGCCAGAGAGTCGTTCTGTTCATGGTTGGACTCTGGTGGACCGTCTTCACGATCCCTGCGGCCATGTGGTTGCGGCCCCGACCAGGACCGCCCTTGGCCGATGATGGCCGAAAGGGCTTCATGGCAGGATTCGCATACATCATTTATGCCTGGAAAAGTCTCTTCACCACAATCCAGCTGGCAAGGCGCCTCCTGGATATTGTGCTGTTTCTCGCTGGATGGTTTCTTTTGTCGGATGCCATCGCGACTACTTCATCTACTGCAATTCTATTTGCCAAGACTCAACTCCACATGCGGCCGTGGGCACTCGGGATGATAAATGTCATTTCAACACTGGCAGGGGTGTTCGGCGCTTTCGGGTGGTCCTGGATTTCGCGGCTCTTTAATCTTCAGGCTCATCAGACCATTCTCGTCTGCATCGCCCTGTTTGAGCTGATTCCCATATATGGACTGATGGGATATCTCCCGTTCGTCAAGAACTGGGGGGTCTTTGGCCTGCAGCAACCATGGGAGATGTATCCCCTGGCCGCCGTTTATGGATTTGTTCTCGGTGGTCTCAGCGGATACTGCCGGTCTCTGTACGGCGAACTCATCCCGCCAGGATCCGAGGCAGCATTTTATGCACTGTATGCCATCACGGATAAGGGCTCCAGCGTGTTCGGACCAACGATTGTCGGTGCCATTATCGACAAGACTGGCACAATTCGACCTGCGTTCTGGTTTCTTGCAGCCCTGGTCGGATTGCCGGCGCCACTCATCTGGTTCATCAACGTTGAGCGAGGCAAGCGAGAGGGTGCCAAGCTGGCCGAAACCATCGAAGGCTTTCCAAGTCAGGAAGATGATGGAGTCGACCCTGAGCCTGAGGGCCGGGGAATGCTGGCAGAGTATGAGAGGGAACAAGAGGAGGGAGCTGTTAATGGACGAGCAGCAAACTAACTGGGAAATGACATAGCGGCGGCGTTTTGTGTAGGTCTTCTCTGCTCTTTGGGCAATGATATGGGCTTTAGACGACATGGACGGAAGTTCTTAATGGGTTCGGATATAAATAAAGGATACATAATTGTTTTTGGCCCCTTCTTGATGCTCTGCGATGATGGATAGAGGAAGGATTTGTCGCGAGTTTGCCGGTCTCGCTTCTTGTTTCGAATGCGTGCAACACTCACTGCAATTCCTGTTTTTGGACTCGGTCGTGTTTACAACATTGTCGCAATTTGTACAACTTTTTACCGTCATGAAAGAGTCAGTGTAACTCGGCTTCGCAGCAATTGACCCCAAGAGGGGACAAGACGCGTCGGTTTTCATCTGAGATGAGGTTGGGTGGCCCCGGCCATGTCACGTGACTCAGAGTTTTTGGGCTTTTGGGTCAGTTCTCCCGCGGATTGCGACGTTGCTCCCAGTTAATAAATCGAATACCTCTTGCGCACAGGACATCGCAGGCCGCGGCTTGTCGCTTCAAGACAGCTTGGGCAAGGCTCGGGTCAGACGCGATTATCGCTTTTTGGTATATACCACATTTTTCTATCTTAGGTACTCACAGGTTCCTTTTCTTCTTCCTCTAGGTACCTTGCTCTTTTCCTCGCCCTTGCCGCGACTCGCTCGCTGTTTGTCCTAAACCCCTCCCTCTCTCTCCACTCTCCTCGACGCGGTCATACCCAACCGCCTCAAACTCGCCACCACAATGAGCAATCGAAAGCGATCGCGCTCCATCGCGGAGGAGAATCGCGCAGAATGCCCCTTTACCATCGGGTACGCGAACGGCCCGTCACGCGCCGAGCAGGAGCGACATAAGAATAAGAAGCGGAAGCGCGGCGAAGGTCAAGATGACGACAAGCGGGTTCAAATTCAGATCTCGCCCTTCTCGCCTACCGGCAGCTTCAAGACCCACGACACCATGGATCTCTACTACACCGTCGAGCCTTCGAAGCGATGGCAAGACATGACGCGCTACAATAGTTTCGTCCGTAAGTATCCGAACCGAGGGAATCTGTCCTCAAAAAATGAGGGGCTGACGAATGACTCTTGGCAGTAAATGGCATCAAATACTATAGCGAGGGCTTCGTCTTTGTAGCCAACGAGGCCACTATCGAGCGACAGCGTGCCGCCGGTACCCTGGGAAGCGTCGGTCCTCTCAAGAAATCTGACGATGACTGGGTGGCGCGCATCCTTGAGATCCGAGCTGCCGACGAACACCATGTTTACGCGCGCGTTTACTGGATGTATTGGCCCGACGAGCTTCCTTCCGGGACTCTAGATGGCAAGAAGACGGTCCAAGGTCGCCAGCCCTATCATGGCCAGAACGAACTGATCGCATCAAACCACAGTAAGTGATTAAAGCTTCACGCAACAGACAGCGCGACTGACATACCACCACCAGTGGACGTAATCAATGTTGTTAGTGTTACACAACCCGCAACGGTCAACCAATGGATCGAGTCGGATGATGAGGAGATCCAAGACGCGTTATATTGGCGTCAAGCATACGACTGCCGCAACTCGCAACTCTCGGTACGTCGCGCCATATCCACCTTGCTGAAACTCGCAATGGTCTAACTGTGTCTAGTCTGTTGATCTTATGTGCAAATGCCAAACACCCGCGAACCCCGACAAGACCTTGATAGGATGCACGAGCTCTGAATGTGGAAAGTGGATGCATCGCGAGTGTCTGAGCCATGATGTCCTCATGCAGGTTTTCGAACGCCTGGGTACAACTAAGCCTCACCGAACCGAAGGAACGATTGTCAAGGAAGAAAAGTCTAGCGAGGAGGCCACGCGCCCGCTGTCGCCGACCGACGCCGAAGAGAAAGAGACCCAACCAACAATCGATGTTCGCTCTGGGGAGACTCAAGACAACGTCCACGTGAAAAAGGGGACCCGAGAAACCCCTCGAAACACGGATACACCAACCCCCGGGCCGACGCCATCGAGAACGGTCACTGCATCGGCCAAGGGATCTGCCAAGAAGGGCCGCAAGAAGAAGACCATGGACCTCAAGCCCTACCAAGGACTTTTCGAGGCGACGCTCAAGATGAACGAGGGACCTACAGTCTGGGAAATCCGTGATCTTCGCGAGAACGTCACGGGCGGCGAAAAGTCGTGGACTGAGAAGGCCCACTGTCTCATGTGCGGTGTAGTCATTGACTGAGTCCGCCGCCCAAGAGACGTGAGCGTATGTCGGAGAAGTCCTCCTGCTAGGGCTTATTGGCCTTTCGGGGAGCGATGCAACGTTGAGTAGGTTGGTCGAGATTGTTCTGTTCGGAAGAGCCGGCATGGCATGGCATCCAATGTTGATGCCATCAGCAATCAACACAGACGACCAAGCCGAATTACCTGATCTACAGGGGCTTATTTGAACGGCCGACGTGTTCGATTTCTTTTGTTGTACCGAGGTCAAATTCTTGGCGATTCGCCCACTGATGGATATTCCGGGCGCGGCGTTGGAGGCGAAACAATTGGATGTACTGCGATTTGTTTGGTATAGGGTCTGGCTGTGGGTCTTGTGAGAAGGAGAAGGAATATGTGTGCTTTGGTGTTTTTTATTTTATTTCTCTCTTATCTTTATACACGGGACAGGAGGCAGGGGATGACTGCAAAAGAAGAGGATGTGGGAAGTGAAAATCTTTCGCTGAAACCTTTCGTTGGAAAGCTAGGTTTGGATGGACAGAGAGAGGTGGTCAAGTATTTATCGGGGTTTGGAGAGGTTGAGCATGTTACTAGCTGTCCTGCCTTTGTGATTTGGCCAGTAGTTTTGTCTCGCTATTATTAAGGTTTTCTGCAAGAATGTATCTTTGCCTGTTTTATTTATAATGGATTTCCTTGTTCCCTTCTCGAAGCTGTTTTCATGTATGTAGTTTGATAGTTGATGGCCTATGACGCTTGTTAAACTTGATTTCCCACGGTGTCTATTCCCTACAGCATTCGAGACTACGATCAGATGTAAAATATTTTATACCTGGAATTCAATTTGATATTTCTTAACAACCTCACATGGCCTTTTCTTGACTGAGCGCTAATATTGACACTCAGGACTGAACACAAGGACTTGAGCTTAGACCGGAGGTACGTACTCCACAAGGTGAGGTGAGCTCCGTCCAGCCAACCAACCCCGCTACTCCGTAACGTCCAAGAGCTTCACCTCCAGGACCCAGACATCCATCTATACATCCCCGAGCACCTAATCAACAACCTCTCCCCCCTCTACCCTGCGCAAATTTTCAACTTCAAAGGCCAAGTAACGTCGCAACCATGGCCGTCGATCCCTTTGACTCGGCTCTGTGAGTATCATCCCTTCCCCCCCCCTGCGCAATGACGCAGGCTGATGCGTCCATCTCTCCTCAGCGACCTCCTACGCCGTCTCAATCCCAAGCAGACGACCGACCACCTCAACGCCATCATCTCGCTCGCCCCGGACTTGACCGAAGACCTCCTCTCGTCGGTTGATCAACCCCTCACCATCCGCCGCTGCAAGCAGACCGGCCGCGATTACCTGCTCTGCGACTACAACCGCGATGGCGACAGCTACCGCTCCCCCTGGTCCAACCAGTTCGACCCGCCCCTTGACGAGAGCGGTGCGGGCGGCGTAGGCGCTGGGGGCAGCGAGGGCGCCGGTGAGGGTGCCATCCCGAGTGAGCGCGTCCGCAAGATGGAGGTCAAGGCCAACGAGGCATTCGACCTTTACCGCGAGTTGTACTACGAAGGTGGTGTAAGCAGCGTCTACTTCTGGAACCTCGATGATGGATTCGCAGGTGTGGTGCTTCTGAAGAAAGGTAGGATCCCCCACCGACTGAATAGCCTGTCTTGGTCTGCACTTCTGTTGCATCATCCCTGAACTGGAGCGCGCCCAGGCTAATCCACGTCTTTGTTTCTAGCTTCACCGCAGGGCGGCAGCACCGAGGGAGTCTGGGACTCTATCCACGTTTTCGAGGCCATTGAGCGAGGCCGAAGCACCCACTACAAGCTCACGTCGACCGTGATCCTGACGCTGGCGACCGCGGGCGGAAACCTCGGTGAGATGGATCTGAGCGGCAACATGACACGCCAGGTGGAGCAGGACCTCCCCGTTGAGAACGACGACAGCCACATTGCCAACGTGGGGCGGTTGGTAGAGGACATGGAGCTCAAGATGCGAAATCTCTTGCAGGAGGTGTACTTTGGCAAGGCCAAGGATGTGGTCGGTGACCTGAGGAGCATCGGAAGTCTGAGCGAGGGCGCACGGGATCGCGAGGCACAGCGGGAGCTCATTGGAAGCATGAGGAAATGATGCCTCGGACGTGATATGCTATATTTGGTAAGAGCAAGATGCGTTTGATAGACAGCCCTGGTAGAACAGGTCGATCGCATAACGATCAGACAAGCACGGTCCGGTAGACCGCCACGCAGAGAGACTAGATTAGGCGTGGTGGATGACCGTTGTACAAACCTGGTTCTATCGAGATATTTTCCGAGCATGCCTGCAAACACTCCCCAGTTCAGACGCCTTGCTAATTGCGACATGCCCGGGATCCGCAGCCATGGTCAGCAACCTAGAGAGGGATTCCTGATAACAGTCAGCAAGACGACATCCCAACGCCACTGTCAGTCCGACACTAAAGACGAAACTCGGGTGGGTGAAATCGTAGTCAGGGACATGACTGCTGTATCGGAATCAGGTACAGAGCGCTTGGGCCGGCCCGTCCTCCCGTCGAGTGAGACATGCAAACTCGAGAAATGCCCATGTTTGAAAGCCCGAGATCGCGAGTCGAGACATCGGTCGTGCTAAAACAACGTCGTTTGGGGGCACATGCGGCACTGTTCGTACACACAGACATAGCTGACCCTTGGCGTAGATCGCGTCTTATCACCGGGCGTATTGACGTCCCGGAGTTGCGAACTGGTGGAGTAGACATGGGCCACCAGAGGCCGCCAGCAAGTCCCTTGACATTTGGTCTAAGAAATAACCAAGCGACCTGGTGCTTGGGATATTATTGCTGGAAATACATACATCCTACCCCGTCCCGGATCACATCTTGTTGAAACGGGGCATCGGGACTCTGCTGCGGTGCGGGTCGTGGCTTGTCTGCGATTTGCTGCTAAGCGCCAGGCTGCGCTAATGGATGCAGACTGCACATGTCCTGAGTCAGGCCGATCACAAGTGCTGCGGAATTGCGCGGGTATGACGCTGAGGGATTAGATGGGAGGTCGTGGTGCTGCGAAGTTCAGAGCCGGATGAAGTGCTTGGGAGGATCTTGTCATGGGGTTCCACCCCGGCATGGTGGAGGTGGGCGCGAGCTTGAGGGCGAGTTGACGGAGCTTGTACACGGAAAGGGTTGCGAGGCGCGATAGCCTGCGTCCATGGTGTAAATGTGACAGCCAACGTTGTTGAAGCCAGCGAAACCTTATACTGCAGCTGACGACAACCACCTTGAGGTTAATTATCATGTACTGTGGGTTTTGTCGATCCAGCTGGGAGGTGTGCCGTGAGGAATACTGGAAGGAGAAGAGTTGTGGTTGTCCATTCAGCCACTGACTCGATACCACATCCCAAAAGCATGGGTCACGATCCTCTCGATCACTTACCCACCTGCGAGCACGGATGGGTAGACTGGGAGGGAGGCCTATGGCCTGCAATGCACACGAGAAGCGCGCAAGCGGGTGCGGGTGCGGGTGCAGGCCCCCTTGGCCTTGTTGTCCAGTACCTAGGTAGCTTGAGCGAGGGCTTGATCATTGGCATGGGCGGCCAGCGGCAGGCTTGCAAACAGTCTGCATACAAGTCTGAATAGCTCCAAGCGCGTGCTGTAACGCGCCGCGTGCGCATGCTGCAATGCATCGATAGACGCTCGGACGATGTGGTGGTGTTGGCTCTGGCGATGGCGTCGATATCGCCGGGACTGCCCTGGATTGGTTGGATATCGAAGTGTTTTGGGATCAGATGCATTGGCATGAATGACAAGAAAAGTTGGGAGTTGTTCGTGAATGCCTCGATGGGGGTTCAAGACTGATGATTATCGGAAGGCGCGGCGTTTAGTCGACCCTGCCTGACCCTACCTACCTGCCTTAGTGCTCAGTCGAGACGATATCATGGCAGGCCCAACGTGTTGGGCGGAAAGTGCAGTCCTGACATTGGCATCCATCTACCACGAAGTAGAACAAGGCTGCTGGGCACTCCCCATCATCAACACCTCTCCCATCTAAGCCTTTTCATCATTCAATCATGGCCATTCTTTTGCTTTCCTTTGCTTCTCTCTCATTGGGGGAGCTACATGAGATGGAAGACTTCTAGAAGAGAGCCCCGCACGCGTGCCGTTCCTGTTCCTGTTCCTGCCACCTGCCAAACGCGTGCCGTGCCCCTGAATTCCAGCCCTCTCAGGTACGGAACCCCGTTATCACCAAGTGTGCGCGTGGTGTGGTGTGGCTTCACCACTGAGGCGGAGCGAAATGCTACGGCGGTAGAGTGCTCGCATGAATCACGAGACCGGCAGCAGGTGAGCATGCCAATGTGCAATGCATAGAATGACTGCTTGGCTTACACAGTATTACTCCGTAATTTCAAGGAAATGGAGAGAAACGGAAATGGAAAAGGCCCTGTTGGTGCTGGCGGCCCGGACGGGATCGTTGATCGACGCGCATGCCGGCTTCCAGCGCTAAGCTCGAGGCTCTACCCCTCAAAGCATGCTCCCTGGGTCCCTCCATGTTGCGTTGCGAGTTGGGACAAAGAGCCCTTGTCCATGCCCGACATACATGCTGCAGATATTCCTCCCCCGAACCATAATATAGATGCAGGATTCCTCGACTCTCTTTTCCGAACTGGGCGCTGTGCAGCACGTCAGATTTCGCGGGAGGTCAACGTGACACTCTCCGTGTTGCAGGTGACAGATGAGACGAATAAACGCCTCGCTGGCTTGCTCCCGGACATGCGTTCCGTTTTTGGGGGTGTAATACACGATCTCGGACGCTAGAGTCGGATTGGCGGAGAGACGCCATCACCAATGACCAGTTCCCTTTGGTCACTCTCTTGTCGTATGCCTCTACTAGTTGCTGTTAACAGGGGATGCTCATGTCTTTACAGCACATGGCGGCGTGGGTCTCGGGCCAAGTGAGGCCTCATCTACCTAGCTTGGAGCCATGCCGACACCAACGACTTGCAACACGGAAGAAGGCTCAATAAACTTGAACCCGGCCCGAGAGTATAGAGGGTCTATAACAGCCACAGTCGAAGGCCTCAGAAGTTGGGCTGATGATGCTCGAGCTTCCGAGAGAGCCAGCTGTCGATCCTTCAGTTCTGGTAACCGGTGATGATGAGAGGCACTCAACACCGGACATGCCAAGACGAGTTAGGGCCATACCAGGCCTGGGCGATGATTGTCATCCTCCATGGGCGGGTCGCCTGCCCCCGGTCCCCTGTCGGCATGTCCCTTGTCTTCAATGACAATGACGAACATGGAGGTCCACTGCAGGCTCGGTAGCTAGGTGCTAGTCTGGCGACTAGGCGATATGATGAACGGGGGCATTCTGCAAATCCAACCTGCAGCTCTTGGACCAGCCGCATGGCCCAACCCGCCCCAGATGCCCCTGGCGCCCCTTTGATGATGGTCATGGGCCATCGTCATTAAGAGGCAGACAGATGTTGACGGATGCGCCTGGTCTCGAGCTTGCAGCCATCGGCTCTGACTCGGTCGCTATCGGTTCTCCAACCAGACACCTGGCGTCGAGAGCTATAAGCGTTGCCGGGCGCAAAGAGACAACAAGAGGCCAGTGCTCATCGATTGATGAAGACATCAACCCACCGAGAGGACCGCCATCAAGAACCGGCAGGGGAAGAGAAGCAAGCTCAGGCCAGGATGGAGCGGTCGGGAGCGGACTCCCTTCAGACTTGGTAGTCGTACTTGGTACATGGGAGTTGGAAGAACCCCTCCACAGCCCACACTTGTGCATTCTTAACTCACCTTTCAGGCTCTCTCGCTCCCTTCGGTTCGCTCAGTCATTTCATGGCGACATGGATACGCATCGTTGAGCCCCCCGCTGCTTCGCTATTCTTACGCAGAACGGTGCTTGGTCAAGTCGCTAGACCAGAACAGAGTAGCCCTGAAACCAAGAGTTTCAGAAGTGGCTAAGACATGAACGAGGCATATGAGCGCCTACAACCTACAGTACCTTAGGTTTGGTGCCTGAATGCTTGAAATAGGGCGCAAAGTAAACTTCATGGCACCTAGGTAGGGAAATTTCACACCCACAGAGCTATGTACCTACCCACAGCACACCCCTCATTTCAACCGGCATCAAAGACTCGGACCCCTTTTGCTGGGAGGAGCAGCAGAGTCCACATTGCATCCCACGCACTCTAACACTGGCTCACTGGGCTCCTCTCGCCCCCCCTTCTTGGACCTCCCCAACAGCTGATCCACTCACCTACTCTGTCATTACTGCGCATTAGCTATCAAAATCCACCCCTCACCAAGGCAGCTTGGAAAGGGCCCAAGGGTCTTGTTTCTGCTGGGCTCGTCTTCGGGTCCCCGCCGCCGTGGCCGTGGTGGTAGCCGTGGCCATCGTGTGCTTGCTTGGTCTCTTGGTCTTGCTTGGGTCTTGATTCTTGGTCCTGAGCTGTCTCTCTGGTTGGCTGGCTGCGCTTCTACTCCTGCTTCTGCGTCTGCTTCTGCTTCTACTTCTGCAGCCCACCTGGTCCCAAAGTTCCCATCTCCATCCATTCCCATCAGCCCCCCAGTCCCTCCTCCATCGCTCGTCCCAGAAAGCGGCTGGTGCGCCGCCTCGTGCCTCGCAAGTTCAAATTGGGGCGCCTGTTGATCGTCTTTCCCTCCACTCCCTCCCACCTCCCGTCTATTTGGTCCCGTCTTCCGTCTTCCGTCCTCCCATGGCCTTCCCGCCTTGGATCTTGCTGCTCCCCTTTGCTCCCGCGCACCGCCGCTACGCCGTCGCCACACCAGCACTCTTGGGCTCAGCAGAGTAATTGCCTGCCCGGGTACTCGCTCTACTATACCTTACTGTGTCGTACCGTCGACGGGTCTAATAAGGTGCCTGCTTAACCCACACGCTACCCGTTCTGACGTCCCTGTACTGACTTGCGTGACCCCTTCTTAGGCTGCGGCTCCTCCTCTTGAACCTGGCCTAACCACCTAGACCAAGAGCTACTAAGGTCATTGCCCGTCCACTTCGTCCTCCGCTGGAGAATCCCGAACCGCTTCGCTTCGTCAAACGCTAAACCACACCGATCCTCGCATATACAACCGCGTTGGTCTCCTCGTGGGTCCTCTGCGTTGTACGCACCGTTTCTTGGGCCTCATAACTATCCACCCCCTGAGACCTGACAAAGTCTCCCTGACACCAGTACTTCGACTTCCTCGGAAATCCTTGGGTGCGCACGAGCTTTTTGATCCAAGAAACCGACTGTATTGTACTGTCTGGACTTGTCTTTGACCGGGCCGTTCCACCCCGCGCTCGCATCCTTCCCGTCCTTGCGCCGCCGGCGAACCGTCCACGACCTTCGACCCCACGTTATCTTCTCGCGACTCTCCTACGACTCGACGACTGCTAAAGATACAACGACAATGGCCGAAAAGCCTTCGGTGTTGATCATTGGAGGGCTTGGCTATATCGGCCGCTTCCTGGCCCTCCACATCCACAAAAATGAACTCGCCTCCGAGGTGCGACTTGTCGACAAGGTGCTTCCCCAGCTCGCATGGCTGGCTCCCGAGTTCTCCGAGGCCTGTTCACAGGACAAGTTTATGCAAGCTGATGCCAGCCGACCTGGTAAGTCTCGCGCCACTTATCCTGCGGCCTGTACCCTTTGTAGTTGTCAAGTATGTTTGACCAGTGGCTAACGAGGGACCCTTCTGTCTTTTTGTAGAGGGACTAGCGAGAATCTTTGACCGTCCGGAAGGAAAGCAATGGGACTATGTCTTCAACTGTGGTGGCGAGACGAGACATTCGCAGGAGGACGAGGTTTACAAGCTGAGGTCGCTGAACCTCTCTATCGCGCTAGGCCAGGAGGCGGCCAAGAGAGGCGTCAAGGCCTTTATTGAGCTGAGCTCGGGTATGGTTTACAAGTCGGACTCGTCACCGAGCAAGGAAGGAGACAAGCTGAAGCCTTGGAACCGGATCGCCGTCTTCAAGCTGCAGGCGGAGGAGGCACTCTCCAAGATCGAAGGGTGAGTTGGCTCGTGAAGCTCATGAAGAGTACAAAATTGGGACGTCATTCGCTAACAGTTTGTGGCGTATAGCCTCAACCTCGTCATCGTACGCTTACCACACGTCTACGGGCCATATGCTTCCCAGTGGGTTGCGACAGCTTTGAGCATGGCCCGCACGTATCAACACCTGGAGGAAGAAATGAAGTGGTTATGGACCAAGGACTTGCGCACCAACACGGCACACATTGACGATGTTACTCGTGCCTTGTGGATGCTCGCGGACTGGTACGACGCGGGCAAGGCGGGTTGGGATGAGGGTAGCATGGGTAAGATTCCCATCTTTAACATCGTGGACGACGGCGCGACGAGTCAGGGCACCATCGCAACCATCATTGGGGAGATCTTCAAGATCGAGACGGGATTCCAGGGTCAGCTCATCAGCACGTTTGCGCGACTCAACCTTGACAGCGTTGTGGACGATGTCAATGATGAGCTTCTGGGACCTTGGGCGGATATTCTTGCCGACGCAGGGATTACGAGACCAGGACCGTTGACGCCGTTCATGGAAAAGGAATTGCTCAAGGACACAGACCTCAGCATGGAAGGAAGCCGACTCAAGACGTTGTTGGGTTTCGAGTACAGCAAGCCCAAGATGACCAAGGAACTGTTGGAAGAGGTGATTGAGAGTTATCGGAGGATGAACTGGTGGCCTTGATCAAGTGAGGGAGGGCTCAGTATACCCAGACTGCGAAAAGTGGGAAACGGGGATGACGACGTCGAGACATGTATGGATAACGGCGTGGATTTTTGACTTGTTTCTTGCATGGACTCGGCTTAGCGAAGAGTCCGCCTGGTGTTGGAAGAGACGATACCCCGGAGGATGAGGACAAAGGACCTGAAGAACAGCCGCGAGCAGACGAGGCCGAGGTAAGGCTGCGACTGGACAAGGGTGAAGGAGTTGCAGCCCATCGAGGGAGCGGTGCCCCGGGGTGGGGAGGGGGGACGAGAGGAGAGTGAAGGAGATGACGAGGATAGTGATGTATGACTGGAACATAAGAGTTCTAGGGGAGGCCAAGGCGCCCACATTGATGGGAGGCCAGTTAATAATATGGGCAAATAAATATACTACTATGTTGGATACAAGGCTCGAGAGGTTTACCTTGTAGTGTGATATTGTGGTGGTGGTGACGTGAAGGATACGAGAGGGGTCTGACGATGGATCGAACCGAATATTGGAGGCTGGAGAGACGGACAGAGGGGGGTGGACATGGAAGGTTGCGCAACGGATGAGCCGAGGTGGTTGTATAGACATGAGGCAGAGCAAGACAGACAGAGACATGTGGAAGTGAGAGGGACATGGCGTGGAGATTGCGAATCGCGGGGCCCCAGAATGTTTCGGCCGATTCTGTTGGTTGGGATCCAATGGATTTTGTTAGACCTCGGACGAGCAAGTCAGATCAGTCTTCAAGATGGATGGTTTCTGCAAGGGGCGGTTCGTGATGGATGGTTGCATCAGCGGGTGGGCGGCGCATCTGTTCCAAGCTCAGTTGAACGAAGGGATCCAATTTGGCTTGGCAATGAATGGATTGCGGTTGTGTCCGAGGCTTTTTGGGCTTGGCCTTGGCTGTCTAGGTGGCTGTGGTGAAGAGGAGTGGTGATGGTGTGGTGGTACCTTTGTGGTGTAGATGACCCTTGGATTTGGATATAATGGCAATTCTTTTTTAGTCTATGTAGTATTAGAGGCAGAGAAAGAGATAAAGATGGACAATTATAGAGATAGAGTAAGAGAGAAAGTTTGGTTGTACTCCATCTCTTCCGTCTACAACATCATGACATGGAGGATAAATCATGGGCCTCGTATATTCAGATGCCAGTCCAGTCACGACAATACCAATTCCTGTCCACTTGATCATAACCTAGAAAACACCTCCGCTTTCTTGGCAAGTGGCCCCTACCCATGTTAATCCCCAGTCAAAAAACGGCATCAGCTTCCCTATTCGAATCGAACCCCGTTGAGAGCTTGTTCCAGGCGTCGAACAAGTTTCCTCTTTCAGCCTCCGGTCCAAAAGACATTTCTGTGGGCCAATGTCTTTTCTACGTGTACCCCTGCCTAGAACAAGGGGCACCACCTGTTAGAGACAGCTGAAGCACGAGGGAAAAAAAGTCGAAAGATGAATGTGATTGTTGGCTCTTTTTTTTTCTTGTCCTGCGTCAGTTGACCTCGGCGGCTGCGTCACTTACTCGGCCTTTGCTTGTGATAGAGACACTGAAGCCTCGTCTTGGTTGACGCATATTAGATGCCTTCGCATCCCCCATCTGTCTAGGTATTACTCCAACAAGATCTCACAATTGACCATTCATCTCCAAGATCTGGTGCATTGGTTGTCAGCTTGTGGCTTGCGTGGTTGACCCTTTCAGCTGGGTACTTGCCTTGACTATCGATCGATTGGTTCCATTCAATATTCTTGATAGCGTCATCTCGGTCCACCAGAGCCAGCTCACCTCACCTCTACTTACTTCCTGCATACTTTCTTCTTCTTTACACTCTTCACCACAAACCTCTTTTTGTATTCTTCATATACCAAACACTGCAAACATGGCTGCTCCAGCTGAAAAGACCATCACCGACCTCAACGGTAAATGGCTACTCGTAAGTTAAAGCTCTTGATTAATTACTGCCCCTCCCCCACCTTGAACCAACAAGGCTTCATCCAGATCCAAAGCTGACCACGTCCACGCCCACAGAACAAGACTCTCTCGGATAGCTCTGAGCCCATCCTCGCTCTTCAGGGCATCGGCTACCTCACCCGCAAGGGCATCAACATTGCCACCATCACCCTCGACATCAACCAGTACACTGCCCCGCCCAAGCCTCCCAACACGTCGACCGACGTCTTCACCCACGTCGACATTGTGCAGTCAGCCTCTGGTCTGACGAGCACCAAGGAGAACCGGTGCCTGGACGAGACGTTCCGCGAGCACTCGGACTGGCTGTTTGGCAACGTCAAGGGCAACTCCAAGTTTGTCACGCTCGACGAGGTCGAAGACGACTTCCTCAAGCAAGGGTGGTTGCCCGACCAGCCCAAGTTCATCCGCAGCTACGTCGAGAGCCAGGGCAACGGATGGATCGCTACTCAGATCTGGGGATTTGAGGAGGTCAACGGTGAGAGGAGGTACGTGAGGCATGTGCTGGTGACCAAGGGCAGCGAGAGGGTCACTGCCAAGCTTGTGTACGACTACCTCCCGGAGCAGTAATTACCTCGATACCTACATAGACTTGCGACCTACCTAGAGCAGGAGCCTTGGGACTTGACAGGACACCTAGCAGGATGCCCTAGCTACGACATGAAGGACAATTGATGATCATGAACGACTGACTGTTCGACTGTATGCGTCCATCAAGGTGTATTGCCTCATAAGTACTGCGCTATGTTGAAAGCGGTCCTTTTTCCCAACTGGCTCGACCTTGAGCCTCAATACGATAATCCTCCTGATGTTTAGATCATTAAAAAACCCCCAAACGCCCATCATGATGCTTGAAAAAAAAAAGAGAATTCTGCCTTTGTCGTGTAATTGATTCGAAAAACGTTGCTTCTTTTGGTATGCCCATTTCCCTTTCGCCGTAGAGTGACTCTTACTCTGGTCTCCTCTTGACAAACTCCTCCAGATCCTGTACAGTAGCAACACCCAGGACAAACCTCCTCTTCTCATCGGTAATGACAGCAAACTCCTCCTTCCAAGGTCCGTCGGGTACGCCGGCGCGGAAAAAGTCCTCGAGCTCTTCAAGGGTTGTCTCCATGGTGATGACGCGGTAGGTACGGCCACGACGCTGGAAACGTGTCATGGCGGCCGAGAGCTGGTCGTTGGGCTGGACCTTGCCCGAGTCGAGAAGCGACTGGAGGTGGGGGATGGAGATGTAGCCGAGGAGGGCGCGCGTGTCGGCGTCGACGATGGTTAGGTGGGTGTAGTCGCGCTCAAAGGCCGAGACTAGGGCGAGCGAGATGGCGTCTGAAGGGTTGAGGGAGAGGGCGGCGGGAGGGTCTAGGTCCTCGACGGTGGCCTGTCTTTTGTTAGCTGGACTCTATGAAGGCTGTATGAGAACATACCCCGCGATATCGAGACGACCACTTGGTGACGAGGGGCTGCGTCGAGGTTGTAGCAGTGGCAGTAGCAGTAGCCATGTTGTAGGAGTTTTGTAAGACAAAGAGTCAATGGGGATGATGTAATGGACAAGTTATGCAGCTGATGAGCAACGTTGACAGGTCGGCGGCCGAAGTATGAAGGGATCGCGGGGCAGGCGTTAGGCGGTCACAGAAAAGGTGGTTTGAGTTGGTGGGGGTTGGAAGAAAAAAAAGTTGATGTCCTTTTTTTGGACTCTTTCTTCCACTGTCATGACCAAACAAGGAAGCCCCGCTAGCACGCCAGATGCACATCCACAGGACCCATTGTATGGATGTCAGTCAATTCAGTCAGTTAATTAATCCCTGGGTTAGATCGACCTGGTTTTGCATTGGCGTGTTGATTGCCTAGAAGAGTTACCGCTGTAGATTTAGGGCCTTGGAAGGTAGCATGTCTCGTGCCGTGTTTCATAGCTTCAGCTGTTGATTCATACCGTCCATGCCTGTGCCTAGGTAGGAGCAACCTACCTAAGCAACCAAGCTTGAAGCTCAAAACGACATGTGATGGCCAACTGCAACTGCGTGATGTCACCACCCTCACATCAGAGAAGTACACATACGTGCACCTCGTCCTCAAGCACTGATCTCAAAACCCCTTTGCAAAGAGCTGAAGCGCTCAAAACCAGTAACCCATCAACATGATATAAACAGCATGATTCAACCAAATCACCATCGGAATTCGGGCTGTCCACCTCATAATCTCTCTTCAAAAACATGGGATTCATACATGTCATGATTGAAATCCGTCCATGTACCGCTCACAACCAATCAGAGCTGCCCCCTGGGCGTCATCCCTCGGACTTGGACATCCAGGTCGATATCCAAATCCGTCACACGTCCTGCCTGTCCTTCCTTGTCTTTGATCCTGTTTTCCCATCGTCCATCCCCATCCTATGATAATCTTTCTGCCCGTGCGTGATTTCCCCTCATCATCTCTTTCAAAAGTGTACCCTGGGAGACTTCACAAGGTGACAAGAAACAACCGTTTTGGTCTCTGCGACACCCATCCCTTGTATCTCGAGACATCGTATCGGATATCAGGTACCTAGGTATTCAGGTAAGGTTTCATGTAATCAATCATAGGTCTTTCCTCCCGGGTCGCAGTGCACAAGTCCGGTAACTCCGGCTCATGTCTGCTCGACTCACCTTGTTACTTCACCTTTCCTTTTCCTTCTCCTCCATCACCTCTCCAAGCATCATCTCCTGCCCTGGAGATTGGCCAATTGCCCTGCCTCACCCTTCACCAGCCACTTACACGCGCTTACACCAGAGGCAGACAGAGAGCGGCCACAATGTCGCCGTTACATCCCTCCAGGGACGCCTTCCAGGGCAGCGTATACAGTCCCCTCTCAACCGCCTCGCGCACGCCCTATCAGGCCCGTCCCGAATTATACAGCGCCTACTCCATCGTCGACAATGCCAAGGACAAGGCAAAGCAATTGAGCGCCGAGGCCACCGCCGAATTCGAAAAGGCGAGCTCAAAGGCGAAGCCGAACGGGGGAAAGATTGAGCTGTACTCGGGCAAGTACTATGCCGCCTGCACCTTTGGTGGACTGCTCGCCTGTGTAAGTCTCATACAGCACCAATTGCTTTGTCTCGTCATCTAACAGTTTTCATTCCAGGGCCTCACTCATGCTGCCGTCACTCCCCTTGATCTCGTCAAGACCCGTCGCCAGGTCGACTCCAAGCTCTACACGAGCAACTTCCAGGCCTGGGGCAAGATCTACCGCGCCGAAGGTATCCGCGGCATCTTCACCGGCTGGAGTCCCACCCTCTTTGGATACTCGGCCCAGGGAGCTTTCAAATACGGCTGGTATGAATACTTCAAGAAGACATACTCGGACATGGCCGGCCCCGAGGCCGCTCACAAGTACAAGACGGGTCTGTACCTTGCCGCCTCCGCCTCCGCCGAGTTCCTTGCCGACATCGCCCTCTGCCCCTTTGAGGCTGTCAAGGTCCGTATGCAAGGCACCATTCCCAACCCCTACACCGGTACCTTCAACGGCATCAGCGCCGTCACGGCCAAGGAGGGCGCTGCCGGTCTGTACAAGGGTTTGTATCCTCTCTGGGGCCGTCAGATCCCCTATACCATGATGAAGTTTGCTTCGTTCGAGACCATCGTCGAGATGATCTATGACCGCCTGCCTGGTCAGAAGGAGGACTATGGCAAGGCTGCTCAGACCGGCGTGTCCTTCACTGGTGGCTACCTGGCTGGTATCCTGTGCGCCATCGTATCTCATCCTGCCGATGTCATGGTCAGCAAGCTCAACGCCAACCGCGCACCAGGAGAGGCCTTTGGCGGTGCCGTGAGCAGGATATACAAGGATATTGGCTTCGGCGGCCTCTGGAATGGCCTGCCTGTGCGAATCGTCATGATCGGTACCCTTACAGGACTCCAGTGGATGATCTATGTGAGTATTTCTCGTCACCTGGACCCCGGAAAAGCTTCAAGTCTCGAGTTTCGGCGCTGACACGAATAACAGGACTACTTCAAGATCTTCATGGGTTTCCCAACCACTGGCGGTGCTCCGCCGCCTGCCAAGAAGACGGAATAGACGTGTTAGAATTAGTCCTTTGGTTGTTACCTTGTCCTCAAGTAAACGATGGACTGTCGAGCAGTTGTCTCGGTTGTCCCCAGTTCTCATGTACACTATCAGGGGCCGATAATGACGGGTGAGGGAGAGCAGGGTTAGGGGTCCCATCAACAAGTCATTCCTAAGCAAATAGTTAAACCGCCGGGCGTCACACAATCGTTTCTAGAAGTGATTGCTCATCACGTTAGCCGGGCTCGGCTGTGTCTTGATCTCACTCAGTTGTGAGACTTGGCCACTTCCACAGTTGCCTGTCACGGGAAATAGCAGCGCCCCGCTCATCAGATCGAGAGACGGGGTGCCTTTTTCGTCCTCATTCCGTGCATAACACGAGTTGATCGGACGGGTATCTAGGAAACCTGCAGGGCGCAAGGCGTAATCGACAGTGCAGCGTCTTACTCCGAGCGGGAGCATCGGGATCGCACAAGGGAATATCCATGCGCTACTCGCAGTGCAGACAGGTTTCACCGTGGACCGAGCTCAGACAGGCAGGGATTCTTGCTCCTCTATCATGATCTAGCCATGCCGTGCTGACATGGTCCACTGATAGCAGAGCGTGGGGTGGCAGTTGTGAAGGTTAAGGATAGTGTCGCCTTGATACGACGGTCCCGAGGTGGGTTTTGCTTGACATGCCCTCTCGAGAGAACTGCCGTGCTTGCTTTTCGTGGTCGAGCATGGATCAGCTTGATGTTGGTTCTGAAAGTTCAGTTAGTTGCAGAGTGGTTAGCTGATGGGCGACATCCTGTCAAGCAGATGCATAGCACACAGTGCGACATGGACTCAGCGTGTAAGCGCCACACGGTCCTACGGTCGCCCAAAATGGACGCATTCCGTCATGGTACATGAAGTGGAAAGGATCAAATGGCGGGGAGAACGGCGCGGTTGCGTGTGCGTTGGAAAAGATGGGGACGGCAGCGCGCGATGCGATGGATGCGTGTGTGCGTGCGTGGTTGCGTTGCGAACCCACGCACCCGACGCTAGCGCCAGTGACGTTTGTTCCAGAACAATGCCACCGCAAAGCCGTCACACTGAGACCAGGGTCATGATGGAAAACTCCATCCAAAATTAGCGGCGCGAGGTCCGTTGGCTGCAGCATCACCCCCCCTCTCCAGCTCTGTCGAGCCGAGCCAAGCAAGAAACCGTCCAGAGATTGCTGCACACTCGCAGACGCGGGCCGTCGTAGAACGCCACAGCACGAGGGCCAAGCGGACTATTTCCGAATCGATCCATGTCTTGGAGTCGGTGTAATTCAAAGACCGAGATCGAGAACGAAAGTGCTTCTCTCGTGTTTGTTGGGCAGCAAACCCGAAAGTCGACAGGAACAGGACGTCCCGGATATACTCAGCATCATCGGTGCCGAATACACTGGTGAGACCCGGAATTCGAGGTAACCTTGGTGGAAAGACGCATCATCGGACTTGCGTGCAGTACTTTGGTGTTATGGTTGCACCAGACTCATCCAACGGTCAAGGGACCCTTTTCGAGACGAAAGGGAGGGCATATCGACAGCAACGGACCGACTGGTCGGCGATCAGGATGGGAAGAGAACCAAGGTGATAGGATACCATCGTCGCGGTTGGACACTCTGGGCCGAGTGATTGGTGATGGTTGTCAGTGGATACGGGGATGTGCCGCATGGCAACCCCACACTTGCTTCGTTCGCTTCCACCATCTTGATGCCTCGAATGAGGGGTCGAACAAGAGGACGGGTGATATCTCTAGCTCTGATCTCTTTGTGGCGAGCGGCTGGCAGCCTGGGTAGCGACCTGAGGTCTGCAATATGCCGACGACGCAAGTGTTGAAGGCATACCGGTGAAAACGACTCCAAACACGACCACTGAATCGAGTTGATGATTCCAAAGGGCTGTTTTGTTTGGCCATGTACCGAGCACGCAGGGACCAGGGGGACGATTCCTAGGCTTGCTTCACTGTGCCCTATCTCGTGGTTTTCTACCACCTTGCCCTGCTGTCCCTGGAACCCTTCAGTCGTCCAGTTGATCAAGGCACGTTACCTTGCAGGTGGCGAGACTGACCAAGCTGCACTTGTTCAAGACACGGCCGGTATGTGGAGGAACTGACATTTCCCACCAAGCAGCTCATCGCAAACCAACAACCGACCTGCGAGGGCTGGTAGACTTGCCTCAATATAGCTTTTGTTGGCTTGAAATCCTAGTTCCATCCTTCGTCTAGGTAGTAGTCCATCGAGGAGCTGTTGTTGGTGCCCGCGTCCTCTGTCAAGATTCAGGCGATGCCGTGGGCCGTGGGTCATACGTAGGCAGATTTCGGAACTGTGCCTCAGGCTCATCGATACCTAGGACAGTTTGTTCCTGGGACAAGTCATGCAGTCTAAACATAGGTTTTCTGTGGACACAGGGAGGACGAAGGCTGCTTTTGTCAGCACAACCGTCTTGTCCGAAAAGCTGTTTCCGACTTCTTGGCGGTCGTTGATCCGTCTCGGCGTCCGTTCATAACCAAGGGGAGGTCCGGCTAAAATCCCCCAACAACCCTCGGCAACGAGAAAACCAGCCATCCATCTCTCACCGCACACGATGCCATGATTTGCAGGCAGTCCTGCGCCAGGGGCCGGTAGCCGATGCGTCGTGGCGCCGTTGGCTAGCGCTTGTCGCTGTCATGTTGACTCGTGAGTTGCAGCTAGATTCCCTACTCGGGCTTAGAAATGTCGCCGGTTGGAACAACCATCCTTGGACGGTGGATTTTCCCGGAGGATCTGGACTCTCGAACCGGCGGAGAAGTGTTAAGAGGGCATGTACAGTAGTGCCAGTGCCGCAAAGAAAGCCGATGCTCTTGGTGAGCGTTTTGCGTGGCTTTTTTCCAACCACCTACTCATTGCCAATGTGGACTTTGAAGATGGAAAGAAGAAGAAAATTGGTCTCATTTGCTACCGTTCAGACGGTGTTTCACCCGTCCAGTACTAAGAAATCTGGATGGAACTCACTATCTGCGTCGGACCTGCCGTCGGTCACATCCTGAGATGCATGAGCTAAAGTAGGTACTTGCTTCCCCAAGCAAACCGCCTGGTTTGGGAGCATCCATTCAGGGCGCTGTCCTGTGTGCCTCTAAATCGACGACCCATCATTGATCTTGCACCTAACTTTTCATCAACTGCCATCCCCACAAACCATCGGGATCAGTCAGTGTCAAGCTCTCTATCCATCTTCCGTGCTTCTGAGCTCCGTGCCCACTTGCCTTGCTGCTGCTCATCCATCCTGGCCTCGATAACTGATCACGCCCGACATCTGCGTCTAGCACCCTTGTCGATACCTCGTGGCCCTGTCTTCTAGAGCTTTCATTGCCCTGTCGCAGCAACCAATAGGCCCCTCGCCCGCCTGGGCCTGTATGGGACCACCGTCCGGCGTCTCTCAGCCGCCCACACCACGCCAGCCGGGCCTCGTCCCCCTGGTCCCCTCCACGGATTATCCCCACTAGTCACCTAGTGACAGAGTCTCCTTGTGGTAGACACCGACTGCTTGGGCTAGGGATTACGTGGGTGACGAGCTGTGTACCTTGTGGCCTAACAGCCCAGGACTTTACTCTCCCCCTGCGTGTCCGGTTCTGGGGGTGGTCGCTAGGGGCCCACCAAGGCACCACCATCGAGGCTTGGAGGGGACCATTTGGGGGCTTCGGGGGTCTGGGCAAACTGGGGTCGCGCGACGCCCATTTCGTTCCTCGCTGCAGGAGACTGCAGCGGTTGCAGACCTACTGCGAGCTTGTGGTGGTGGTGCTGCAGCATCTCCGGGCGTCGGATGTTAACGTTTGGTGGATGTGGATGAAGGGCCAGTGAAGGACGGTTCCCCATGGCCAAGACGACCGCTCTCGCCGAGTCGATATATTGCGCATGAGGGGAATTCCGGACTCTAGCAGTTTCGTTGAGGACGTGATGCCTGATGCTGATGGCTGACCAAGACAGCATCCCACGGGTTATGGAATCCATTACCTAGGTACTTGTTGCGTAGCGGCCTGGTCCAGGTAACAACAGAACAGCCTGTTGGATCCAATCCAATCTTGCCTACCTGCCATCGACACCTTACAGCACCTACCTACTTGGGCACGGTACCTCCTCGCCTACTTACGCACCATCCAACGGGGAGTCACTTATCCTCCTCCACTATTCCCTCCCCCGGACATCCAGAAGCAGACCATCCTCCCGCCACCATCAGCCTCGAGGTACCTTACCTGTGCTCGGTTTGTTGGTCCCATCTCTGCCTCTCTTGTCCTCTGTCGGGTTTTCTGCTCCTCGATATCTCTGTCGACTATTACGCGCCTCGCCTCGCCCATCGGATCGTCCTCCCCCCAAGACAACATCCCCAAACGAAGCTTGCCTCGTTTCCAGATCGGCTCTGTCGCTCGCCCAGACCAGTAGTTCAACCCGGCGCTATCAGAGTCCACGCCACACACTCGCGCCTCGCTTTCCCCAGCCCAGCGCCCAGCGCCATCCCTCACCCACGACTCGGCAACTTCGAAATCGGCCCCAGCTTGCGATTCTCTATCCTTCCGCCTCGCGCGCTTCTCTTATCATCCTCTGGTAGTAGAAGCTCCTGCGCATGATCCTTGGCTTCAATTGTGTCTGTTGTCGTTGAGCTGCTGCCGCGCAGCTGAAGCGGTCGGCCGCTCGACCTCGTCCCTCGCTCGTTCGCTCGGCTCACCAAGCCCGCCGTCTGCTACTATTTAGCATCCACAACGACATCACAACGCCGCCATGGCGGGCTTTTTCAACAAGATCAAGGGCTCCAACACGGTACGTCGTCGGCTTGATAACTCCCGCCGTCCCCTTCGGCGTTGGACATATGGAGCTCTCCCACCAGCTTCAGCTATCCACGCGCCCTCCTACCTTGCGCCAAGACCTCCCATGACTGACAAAATGCCTCTCGGCTCATACCCATAGGCCTCTTCCTCCCCATCCCACAAAGATGCCGTCACGAAGAAGAAAGAGGAGCCCATTCTCGACCTCACTCCTCTGGAGAAGATGCTCCAGAATGCCGGGCCCTTACGAGACGATGGTACTGATCGATTCTTCGGCCTCGAGAACGTATGTCCCCGCCGTCTACTCCTACCACCGGACCCTCTTCCGTCTTTCACTCTGTCAAGCTACTTTCCGATTCACTAAGCTAATGTTTGGCACAGTTTGGAAACACATGGTATGCTATCGAGGCATCATCTAACCTAGCCGTGACGCTGACCTCGGAATAGCTATTGTAACTCGATTGTCCAAGCCCTCTTTTACTCCGAATCGTTTCGAAACAATGTCGTCAATTACCCCCCAAGCTCGCCCTCTGACACTCCGAACGGCACTCGGCCTAGAGTTCCCATCACCATCAGACCCCCACCTACCGACCCAGTGGTCAACCTCCCGAAACAAAAGGGGCTCAGCACATCACAAGTGATCAAGCAACGGCAAGCCATGAACCATCAACTGCCCGGGCAGGTTGGTGTTCGGCCCGAGGACAAGCCAGACACCCCCGAATATAAGAAGAAGCAAGCCATGATCAAGGGCCCTATCTTGGAGCTGGCCAAAGAAAACTCGGCCGCCTACGGCATGGACGAATGCACATTCACTGGACTCAAGGACATCTTCCTGGCCTTGCTGGAAAGCAACACACACACTGGCGTTCTCAGCCCGCAGCGATTTCTCGAGATTTTCAAACGCGACAACGAAATGTTCCGAAACTCAATGCATCAGGATGCCCATGAGTTCTACGGTTTGGTGCTGAATGATGTCATTAACAGTGTTGAGGCGACGGCCCGCAAAATGCACCTACAGGCTCCTGCTGACGGCCTCGACGGGCTGGCAAATTCGGTGGGCCATGCCCTTGGGTCTGCCATGGTTAACAACGCGTCAGGGGCTTCCTCCCCGGGAACAGGCTGGGTCCATGACATATTTGAGGGCGTTTTGACATCAGAAACCAAGTGCCTGACGTGCGAGACAGCATCGCAGCGGGATGAGACGTTTCTAGATCTGTCGATTGACCTGGAGGAGCATTCATCCGTCACCTCCTGCTTGCGCAAGTTTTCTGCCGAAGAGATGCTCTGCGAGAGAAACAAGTTCCATTGCGACCACTGTGGCGGTCTTCAGGAAGCTGAGAAGCGAATGAAGGTCAAGCGGTTACCCAAGATCCTGACGCTGCACCTGAAGCGGTTCAAGTACACGGAGGACTACAGCCGCCTGCAGAAACTGTTTCACCGTGTTGTGTATCCCTATCACCTACGCATGTTCAACACAACAGAAGATGCAGGGGACCCCGACCGCCTGTACGAGCTGTACGCTGTCGTGGTTCACATTGGCGGCAACGCCTATCATGGGCATTATGTGTCCATCATCAAGGTTCCTGGCCGAGGCTGGGTTCTTTTCGACGACGAAATGGTTGAGCCCGTGGACAAGAATTTTGTCCGCAACTTTTTTGGCGACAAGCCAGGGATGGCCACAGCATACGTCCTATTCTACCAAGAAACCACATTCGAAAAGGTTCGAGAAGAGATGGAAAAAGAAGGCATGGAAGAGGTCAAGCTTGCCAACGAAGCGGCCAGCCTAGCCCAGGAGAATGGCGAAAAGGCAGAGTCAACACCACTAAAGAGACAAGCCACACAGCCAGTGACTCCAGCTCCGGATCAGGAGGTGCTGGCGAAACTCGCACACTCGAGCACAGCGCCAGTGTTATCCTCGATAGCGCCTACAAAAACTCCAGACCCGACACCCGCGGCGGCTCCGGCAACACCCTTGACGAATGGCATAACCCACACGAACACAAATACCGAAGTCAAGACGAAGGAGGACAAGAAGCGAGAAAAGAAGGAGCGGGAGGCTGCGGAGAAGGCAGAAAAGCAAGCAGAAAAGGAGAGGGAGAAGCAGGCCAAACTTGAAGAGAAGAAACGACGAGAAGAGCAAACCAAGATGATACAAGCACGAAGAAACGAGCAAGACGAACTGCAAAAGGTGCTCGAGGCCAGCAAAAAGACTGCGACGCAGGAAGAGGCAGTGAGGAAGAAGGAGAATGGAACGGTGCTCAGCCACAATCTCCTTGATCGGACCAAACGAGGCAGCAAATCGATGTCGAGGAAGAGCTTCTCTCTCTTCCATCACAAGGATAAGGGCACTGCGCAGGCTCTTCAGGATGCGTCAAACGGCGACGGGAGCGAGAAGCACGACAAACTCAAGGATCGCCTCAGTTTCGGGCTCGGACGCAAGAAGAGCACAAACCTACTTTCACAATCATAAACACATTTACAGTACAGCGTACATATAGGGGGGTACTCGGGTGTTTTTGTCATTATGGTCTTTGGGGATTTGGACGGATGACAGGATACCCATGCACTTTTTGCAACGAAGCTGCCATTACATGGAAGAAAAGCACAAGGAAGGCACCAGAGGCATTGGGCAGTAATGGTTTTCTTCATTTCGACCGTCTCTCAGTGGTAGTCTTGGAGCCCAGCCGACGATGCTCTTGGAGGATTAGACCTGTTGCATGGCCTAGAGCCAGAAGAGGGAACGTGCCCAGGCATGAGCCTCGAGAAAAAGGAAGAAGGCAGGGCGGGGTTGTGGTGAGGAACTGTAGCGATGTTTTTTCTTTTCTGTTTCTGTTCTCGTGGGTAGTTGAAGGGTGTCAAGGTCAAACCTGCGACGCCGTCACCAACGGCTGTATCATATATACATACATATAGCGATAGCCCGGCTTGGACGTTTGTGCGTCTAGCAAGTTGGGTAAAGAAAGAAGAACAAGAAACTCGAGCAGAGCTCGAGCTGACACGGGAATTTTCAAGTACATGTCATAAGTATCATGGCAAAGTGAAGCAAGACAAAACTTTCATATCGAACTCGTGTCCAGTAGACATTATAGCTCCCACACACTCAACTCATACAAGGTTCGCCGTGAGTCGTACAAATATTAATAACTCCAGTTCCAAAGATTTCCCAGACTCCATTTATGCCTCCAGACGTCTACCGTGTCCTCTCGAATTCCACATGCCGGCCGTGTTTCCCCCCTTGGATTAACCCAGGACGAGCTCGTACAGGATAATGACAGAATTGACAAATATCAAGGGCACTAGGCACCGGGTCAGTTTCACGCGGTTTTACACACAAGACTTGACAGTAATGTTGGTTCGACACATGGGGCAGACGTACTCCTCATGATGGTTCGGACGCTGGCGATGAGGTGGATGATCTTGGCCTTGATGCTCGCGTCGGCACCAGAGCCGAATGCGGGATCGTACGAAGCGGGAGAGAGGTTGACTAGAAAATTCTGTTAAAAGAGTTGCTTGTATGCGCTCGAGGCGGGCGACGTACTTCGAGCGAGGAATCGATCTTCAGAAAGGACTGCGACGGCGTTGATGAGGAGGACGCAGACTGCGACAGGTCAGTACGGATGCGCCAGGACGTCACGAGCAAGGCAATCGAGTCTAACCGTAGAGGAAGCTTCCAAAGAACCACATTGTGGGCAGCTGAAGAGGGTGCAGAGGCAGTAGAGGTTGTCGGCGCAGAAACTGGAGGGGGAGGGAGTTGGCGATGATGTGTAACTATCTTAGGTACCTGGGTACCTTTGCCTACCTTGCGGTGCCTGGGTGCCTGGGTGCCACTGCCATGGTGGCTTGAACTCGAGCCTGGGGGAGAGGCTGCGGGGGATCAGTTGGGCCGATCCGACGACCCCCTGAGGTGGAGACCGGCCAATGGTGGCCCAAGCTTGCCCCTTCCTCATTGAGAGAGCTCCCTCTGTGTACTTACGCAAGTATCGTTGGCAACTCAACTTACACCTGGAATTTGAGATTTAACAAACTCGGCCTTGATCTATTCTAATGCTATTGTTGATGTGATATTGAACTAGAGCGCCTAAACAGGCACTTCCTGCTGTCTCTCCATCTGTTTCAAGTCGTTCCTTTCACGCTCGACAGACGTATCAACATTAGCCTTCACATAAGCCTTCACATAAAACCACCTTAAGATGAGGGCCCTTGGTTAGTATTGCATCCATTTCTTCCATACAATCTCCCCCTTCTTCTTCCTAGTGCACTCACCGACTCTTCTAGATATCTCTCTCACTGGTCTCCTCATCTTGGCCCCCTTGGTCCACCTCCTCACCTCTCCCTATACCAAGGTCGAGGAGTCGTTCAACCTGCAGGCAGTTCACGATATTCTCATCTACGGGACCCCAACTCAGGATGTTCACCAGCGTCTCTTGGACTCTTATGATCACTTCACCTTCCCCGGCGCCGTGCCTCGCACCTTCCTTGGTGCTGTGCTCCTCGCCGGCCTAGGCCAGCCCATCATCGCCCTCGTCGGCTTCCAGCATGCCCAGCTCGTTGTCCGCAGTATCCTCGCCGCAGCCAACGTCGCCGCCCTGTTGACTTTCAAGAATGCTCTCAGGAGAGCCTATGGACCTGGCGTGGCGGGGTGGTGGGCTCTCTTTATTGCCAGCCAGTTCCACATCAACTATTACCTCTCGCGGACTTTGCCAAACATGTATGCTTTTGGCCTAAGTAAGTCACCCCCTCTCAGTGATAGCTTTAGCTTCGGTTTGACTTACATGAATCAGCAACTCTTGCTTCGTCATTCCTTCTACCCCAGGCAAACCCGCAGATGGCTTCCATCCGCCAGAAGCAGGCCATTGCCCTCCTCGTCATCTCGGCCGCCATCTTCCGCTCCGAAGTTGCCATTCTCCTCATCACTACTGCCCTCTATCTCCTTGTCACCCATCGCATCTCATTACGCACCCTCATCGTTGTCTTCTTGGGCTCCTTCACCGCTGCACTTGTTGTTTCGGTACCCCTGGACTCTTACTTCTGGCAGAAGCCCCTCTGGCCCGAGCTATGGGGTTTCTACTTCAACGCCATTCTTGGATCTTCTTCAGAGTGGGGGGTTTCCCCCTGGTACTACTACTTCAGCTCGGCGCTGCCAAAGCTTCTGCTTAATCCTATGGTACCGCTGCTCGTGGTTTTGGCTCTTGTTCAGCCAGGTACCTCACGTGCTGCTCGAGACTTGTTGATCCCCAACCTACTCTTCGTTGCCATCTACTCTCTCCAGCCACACAAGGAGGCCCGTTTCATCTTCTACGTTGTTCCGTCTCTGACCGCTACTGCCGCACTTGGCGCCAATTTCATTGCCGTGCGTGCTGTCAAGTCCGCCTTTAACCAAGCGATACTCCTGGTTCTTGGCCTCTCCACCGTGGCTAGTTTCGGCGCCAGTCTTGTCATGCTCCTCTTCTCCTCGCTCAACTATCCCGGCGGCGACGCCTTGAAAGAGGTCTACGCCGTATCTCGCGACGATCCTTCCCCCATCGTCGATGTTCACGCTGACGTGCTGACCTGCATGACAGGGCTCACGCTCTTCGGGCAGAACCCCTCGGGCTACCCCATCGCGTATCCCATCAGCCCAGAACCTGAGGCGACTTCATCTGTGCTGCTGTTTGACAAGACGGAAAAGGGAGACCAGCTCCTTTGGCAATCCTTCTGGGAGCGCTTCGACTACGTTTTGGCCGAAGACCGAGACAAGGTGCTAGGTGAGTGGCAAGTTCTGGGAGTGATAATGGGCTATGATGGCATTGAGATCCTCAAGCCGGGGAGTTCAGCTACTGGAGAAGAGGAAGAAAGGGTCTTGGGCCAAGGTGCTCGTATCGCCGCCATCAGGGACTTTGTCAGAAAGTACACAGGTGGGTGGTGGATCGGACCCCGAATGTCGCCGCGGATCCGAATCTTGAACCAGGGCAAATAGATGCATCACATCATGAAGCTACAGTTATGGAATGGAGACTTGTAAGATATACTACACATCAATGCAAAGCTTTTTTGATACTTGCTATCGTTTCAGATAAAACCAAGGCATACGGCGCGGTTCGTAAAACTCCAAATGAGGCAATGCCTACAGTATAAATCTCACCAACAACCAGAACCAGACCTTGACCCAGACCCAGGTAGGTAGGCAACTCGACAGTTACAAAAAGGGGAGCCATGGCTTTCCCATCCACCAACGCCGTGCACTTCTTCTCCCTCGAATGCCTTTTCCATCCCAAAAACCCCATGAGTTTCTCCCAACACGCATCTGGACCCGAAAGAGCAACCCCCCCCAGAATAGGGGGGCCATGATTCCCATACACAAGCTCGCAACCCAGAAAACAAAAAACACTGCCCATCCATGCCAGGACCCCTTCTCGCCTTTCCCAACTTGAAGCTCCACCTCCCTCTCCTGAGCTCCCTTCCCGGCAAGTGACCTCCCGAGTAAACTATACAGTTGAAGCCTCCCAAGCTCGAAATGCCCATGTCGCGTCCAAGGTGATTATAGCATATATACAAGCGCGAGAAACGTCGCCACGTTGAGTCGGCCGCGAGGACTTACGACTCTTGCTCCGTGTCGCTGCCCTCATCCGTATCGTAGTCATCTTCGTCATCGTCGCTGCTTCCGGGGCTGGGCAGCTTGCCGTATCGCTTCTTGTACCGCTCCAGCTCCTTACGTTGAGCCGTCAGTTCGTCTAGGATATCAGACATGGGCCCTCGGAGCTCGTCGAGCTCCTTGATGACGCCACCGCCAATAGCAAGGTGGCGCATTGCCAATGTTGAGATACACGTCTATCGAGTGTCAGTTGGGCCGTGATGTATGTAGCTTCAGTTCCGACTCACCTCTATCCTGCTCACTTGATGTTCCATAAAGTTGATCAAGAATCGATCCGTCACCTCTCCTCCACGCTGTTTGATCCTTTCGAGCAACTCTGTCTCGGGAGATTGAAGGCCCCCAGGTGCTTCGTCTCGCGGCAGTTCCAACGAGCTGCAGAGCATCTCCAAGCGCAAGCTCACGCGCCATAGAGTCCAGATCATATCTGGGTCGAAGGTGAGCTCGGCTCCTGGAGCGAGGATCGCTGGTTTGTCGCCGCCGCCACCTCCCTCCCGTCTCTCGTGCTGCTGGTGGAACTCGATACGTCCAGCCAGCGCGTGGGGGTAGAGCGAGTAGACAACTTCGGGATTTTCCAGACCCTTCAGCTTCTTCTCGCCCAGCTCCTTAACTTCGAAGCCTTGAGAAGTGAGATGTTTCAGGTCCCTCCTGATGGCGGAGGCATACGTTTCGTCCTCAAACGAATCTTCAGCCTCAAGGGCGTTGCTCCGGTCTGTATCCTGGAAGTTCTCGAGACATCGCTGTATCTCCGAGATGAAATCAGTCGACACAGTGATCTGTCCTCCATCCGCGACAGCCGAGATTCGGGATGCTTTGTTGACCATGGGTCCGAAGTAGTCCATACGTCGGGTGACTGGGTCTGTTTCGCTCACGCAGTCTCCAAAATGGATACCCATTCGCACTGACAAACCCTTGAAGATGAGGCTGTTGTCTTTGTCATACGCCGGCTGGCAGGACACCGAGTTCAAGACTTCGGATGGCCAGGGCACATCGAGGAGCCCCGTCTGGACTGAAAATGTCCATAGCAAAGCAGATGTAGCTGTCGGGAACGACACCATGAAAGCATCACCTTCAGTCTTGACCTCGTATCCACCAATCTTTCTCAACTGTCGACGCATAAACTCGTTGTGGAGCTTGATGGCCGATCTCATGGCGCTAGGATACATCTCCCATAGAGTTGTCGAGTTCTTGATATCCGTAAAGACGATAGACACGTTGCCTGTGGGCGCCGGGATCTCGGCCTCGAGTCGGTTGAGCTGGGAGTCGAGAACATCTCCCTTGCCTCTACGGCCCCTTCTCGTCGAGAGAACTTGAGCCCCGTCGGGGATACCAGATGGATAAAGGGACATGCTGGTAGTTCCGCGATGATTCCTGGACCGCTCCATCCGCCGCTTGAGGTCAGCGACGCTAATCATCATGACCATGATTTTACCAGAGGCGCCATATGCAATGGCGAGGTCGCGGAGCTTCTGGGCCGCTCTCATGAGGTCACCACGCTCTGCTCTGGCAATGTCAGTGACCAGGCCAGGAGACAAGTACTCCCACAGCTCCCTGGTTGCTATCAGGATGATATCGTCCGTCTCCTTGAGAGTCATGTTGCTGACATACGGTGCCGCCTGCACGGCCGGCATCAGATCAACATAACCAAAGGCGCGTGACACCTGGAGAAGGTCGTTCAGCCTGCCATTGCGAGAAACCCACCCACCAGCTTCACGAATGCGGGATCGTTCGCTGGGCTCAGCAGGGTCATGCTTGCGAGTCAGCATCTTGTGGGTGCCATCAGTCTGGATCACCATGGCCTGGGCATCGCCCACGTTCGCAACGTATAGTTCTGTGCTCTGGAGATAGATGACGGTGGCAACACCACCCGAGTTGAGATCCTCCTTGGTCAGAATCACGGGCTGGCCAGAGCCCCTATGCACTTTGAGCGGCCGTTCTTCCGAGTGCTGAATAGCAATCGTGACCAGGTCCTTGTTGAGCGCGAGGAATGCACGCCGAAGAGCGTCAATCGGCGTCTCCTTGGTCTGTGACTTCAGTGACTTCAGCTCCAAGGCAAAAATGTGACCGAAATTCTCGTGGAGATACTTGGCAATCTTGGATCCTCCACTGGAGAGAGCCTGTCCGTCAAACAAACCCAGGAGCATCTCAGTCTCGGAAGCATTGAATCTGGGTACCACCAAGTCGACAGTGGACAGATGCTCATGTTTTCCCAGGGTATCGGCCATACCGTAAGGGAGGTGACCGGCCAGGGATCCTGAGGTGCGTACACGTCTGTCCTCACTCTGATCGGGGATGCTTGGTTGAGTAAGTGTAACATCCATAAGACCCAGGATGCGCAGGTTAAGCAGACGGCTGAAGTCTGTGTACTCCTCACGATCAACAACCCCGGGTCCACTAGGGCCGTATGTTGACTGCTTGATCTCCAGGCGCTTGTTGCCTGACAGGTTCAGGTACCGCAGGTTGGGGTTGAGGTTCCAGTTCCAGTCGTACGGCACGTTGGAAATGTTGTATTTCAAAAAGTTGTTGCCGCAATCAAGCACGGCAAGGTTCTTAGCCCGAGAAATGTCGGCAGGCAGGTTGGTGAACTTGTTGCCGTTGATGTACAGCGCCTGGAGCAGACTGGACTCCTCCAAGTCATCTGCCGGCAATGTTGTGAGTCCATTGCCAGACAGATAGAGCTCGATAAGCTGCGGCCACCTCTTCATTGACCTCTGTGGCATGTCGCTGATTTCATCATTGTATGAGAGGTTGAGCACCTTGAGCTCCGGGAGCAGGCTGATCTGCTCGAAAACATCATCGTCAAGACGGTTGTCGGCCAGGTAGAGATTTCGAAGAGATCCGGCAAAAGTGTTAGTAAACCTAGATGAGGAATCCTTTCTGGGGTTCGCAGTGGACATGGCCACTGACGGTGCAGTCGCTCTCGACACCACCGACGTCTTCCTGCCACCCTTCCCATAGACAGACACTACAGAACTCTTGCGGTCACCAGCCAGGGGAGACGGGCCGACACTGAGAAGTGTGCTCGAGTTTTGACTTGGCCTTCTCTCATCAGAGAGCTCCTCTGAGCTCGGCGTGGCCGACAGCGTCCCGAGAGGTGCGGCTCTCCCATTAACAGGGGGTTTCTCCGGCTGAGTTTCCTCGCCAGGCATCCGCGGCGCCCGGGAGGCCGGCGCGGGAAAGTGTTCGAGGACGTTTGAGGAGGCGTTGAAAGTCTCGAGCCTATTTGCCCACCAGAGCTCCATGGGGAGTTTAGAGATGTTGTTTCCTCGCACATTGAGCACTTTTAGCTCATTCAAACAACCGATCTGGGCCGGCAGTTCTCCCACCGAGTTGTTGGCAATGCTGAAATGCTCAAGTCTGCTAAGAGTGCCGATCTCTTGGGGTAAGGAGACGAAGTAATTTTTATCCAGGATCAAATGCTCAAGATTGATCATGTTTGCAAAGGAGGAATCAATACTGGCCAACTGCGCATTCGAGAGGTTCAGTATCTTGAGCGTTGGGACTGGTGCCGTGATCTCGAACTTGTTCAGAGGGTTCGAGTTCAGCTTCAGCTGGCGAATCGACTCAAACTGTCCCACGAAAGACGAGACGCAGTTGTGGTCGGCGGATAAGATCTCCAATTTCGGGAGTTCGGAGATGGTGTCGATGCTCGTTATGCCATTGTACTTGATGTCAAGCTCGCGCAAACTCGACAGGTTTCGGAACGAAACGGGCACGGCGTGTGTCAGTCTATTGTTGGTTATCAGCAGTTTCTCCAAGTTTTTCAGGCCGCTGATCTCGGGGGGGATCGTTGCAATGCCGTTGAAACTTAGGTCGAGGTCAACAAGGCTCGGGAGCTGGCACAGGAATAGGGGGAATTTGTCGAGGAAATTAGATGAAATGTTGAGAGAGCGAAGTGACATGTATGCTCCAAAGTAAGATGGTATGTGCTTGAGTCGGTTATTGGCGAGGTTCATCTTGAGTATCCCCGTCAAAATATGGAGTTCGGCATGTTCCAACTGCTCCAGACGATTATTGGCAACATCCAAGAAAGTGAGTTTGTTGGCCCGGCTCAAACTTGGCGGTAGCTTCCTCGCTTCGTTGTTGTTGAATTTGATGTCTCGAAGATGCTTGCAAGACTGGATAAAGTCTCGGGGAACATCAAGCGACAAGTTGCGCGAAAGGTTCAGCGAGATGATCTCCCCTGCCTTGGAGTATAACGATATAGGGATAGTGATGAGGTTGCGGCCAGAAAGGTCAACATAGTTGAGCTTCTGTGCTCGAGCTAGACCCATGTCAGTGGTCTTGGCGTGGAAGTCGCTCTCTCGTGCCGACAAGAACATGAAGCGGCAGAGGTAGCTGTTGTCCTCTCGACCAAGATCCTCAATCCTGTCCTTGTCCTCGTAACCAACTTGTTGCAGCAGACGCTTCTGCATCAGCAACGGCCTCTCAGGGGGCGTCAGCACCCGAATGAGATCATGCTTTTTCAAGATGATGTGGTAATTCTCCAAGCCATCAACCACATATGTCTTCTTGATGACCTGCGAGATGACGTCCGTGACGCTCGAGTCCAGAGACATGGAATGTGTTGAGAATGTCCCGTCTGAGCGAAAGATTCGGATGCAGTACGGCGCCGTCTTCTCCTCTGGCCGAGGGGGGCTTCCAATCTCGTCGAGATCAGGCCCGTGATATGAGTTGTCTTCGGTATTACGCCGCACCGCCCAACTGTCCGGGGCGTCCCATCGACCCTTGGGAGCTATCGATACCACCGAGTCGGTGCGATCTGCTTCGACATTGTTCACAAAGCTGATGTCCATGGGTGTGAGAGGCGGAGGCTTCGTCAAGATCCCCTCCATGTCGTTCAGATTCGTGTCAAGGTGGTAAATTTTTTCGGGATCATTTCGATCTGTCGGGCCAATCGATTCGTCGACATAATCGTGTGGCCGGTGAGATCGCCCCTTCTTGGAGAATGGGAACTTGTTGTTAAAGGTCGCAGCGCCCCGCGTCCCAGGTCGCGAATCTGGAACATCGCTCTGGTCTCCAGGGCCAAATGTCCCTGAGAGTGGTAATACTGAAGGTGATAGCTCTGGCCGGTAGAGATCGGGTTTTGAGGATTTAGGTTGCAAGGACTTTGTAGATTGGGGTAGATCGCGGAGCCTGGCGGTATCTTCCTTGTCCTTATGATGTCGTCGAAACCGACCAAGCAATCCACGTTTACCGTGGTGGCCAGGTGAGGTCTGTCCGTCCAACTGGCTAGATTTCGAACCCCATGTCATTCCTCCGCTCCTAGTACTGGGTGTAGGGCTCTGCCCTCTTGACCTCGTCGAATACATGGCAACGCTGCTGCCTCCTCGATCGCGCTGAAGTTGTGTGCCAATGGCTGTGTCGTCCCTGCTCAGAGTTGGTCGCAAAGTCCGGGGATCATCGTTACTCTTGTGGTGTCGGTGGTGGCCGGGCATATGCACTATGGAATGACCGGACCTCGACGACGAGGATGTCTTTGGAGGGACCTGTGAGGATCCGTCGTTTACGTATCGATCTCGATCGGGGCCAGTTAGGATATCTCGTACGGGAGCTTCGCCATATCGCGCAATGTCCTATTCGAGCGAGGTTAACCAGTCAACTCTGGCTAGCAGGAACGCTATCGGGAAAGCATCGGGATCTAGAAATGATGCGAAACAGGTCAAGGGAGGGAGATTGGAGAGGAATGAATCGATCGCGGACCAGGCCAGTGGGGGATATGAGTAGCTAGGGTGATGAGACAGGGAGGCGCATGGCGGACGTACAGTGTTGTCCTGATACAAGAACGGCACCACCTCTGGTGCTGGAACGGGTGTTCTTGGTCTCGATGATGACGGGGAACCATCTCTAGTATGATCAGTGGCATTGGAATAGTTGCGATCTCTGTGTGTGGGGCGACTGTGGCTGTATGAGCGCGACCGCTGGTCCCTGCCTACGAGCGAAGTGGGTAGGCTGCTCTCGGAGCTATCGCGCCCGGGGAATTCCTCGCCAAAGAAGCCCTGCAACTTACGCAAACCGCCACGGGTCACGCTGGTCTTGGAGCCTTGGCTGCTCGCGGTGAGGATGCTGGCGGCGGATGGACGCCTGCCATCAAAGTATGAGGCATCCGGGGGATCGTGAGGCGCGGCGACCTGGCGGTGGTTGGGAGGATGGCCTGGGGAGAGCTGGGAGGCGAGGGACAGATTGTCGCTAGAGTCGTTATAAAAGCTGGTCGGCATGGTGGAGGATGGTGTGGAGGAACCGTTGTGGTTCGTCCACGGAGCAATGTGAGGGTTGGGGCTTGCGGTGGGCGGATTGTGCTGAATCTGAGGTATTCGGGTCTCGAGAACGGCAAGCTCGCGTCGGTAATTGGTGAGGTCGCTCATGCGACGGTCGTTGGATGCGACATTGGCGATGCCGCGGGAGGCGAACGAGGTGGCAGTCGGGGAGACCTGATGCTCATCCTTGAGTGAGGACCTGAGAGACGCAGGAAGCCGTTAGCTGGCAGACGGGAGGCGGCGGGAGCGGGAGGCGAGATGAAGGTCAGACGAGCGCCGACGAACAGGGAGAACGGGGGACGAGGAGGGATGAACACGGGCACGGGAGGCGGCATGGCGGGACGGACGACTCACCACTGGTTCATCAAAGAAGCATTGTCGTCGGCGCTGGAGCGAGCAGGGTGAGAGTGCCAGCGAGATGTGGTGGGGAGGGCCCAGGTTGAAGTGGAAGCTGAGGGAGCTCCTGGAACAGCGGGAGCGGCAGCAGCGGAAGACGGAGCTGGAGTTGGAGTGGCAGTGGTAGTATGGTCCGGATTGGGAGTAGGCGAGTGAGTGGGAATGGGAGTGGAGGTGGCAGAGGCGGGAGCAGTGGATGAGGCGGCAGTGGCAGAAGCAGTGGTGGTGGTGGACGACGACAGCGACGACGAGGGCTTCACGGTGACGGCGGAGTGGGTGCTGCCGTCGGTGCTTGTGCTAGAGCTCGTGATGGAGCTGATGCGATTGCCGGCCTCATTCCTGGTCATGGTCGCCGGGGCGTAGATGGCGTTGATGGCAGGGCCCTAGGCCATAAGGTCCGGATGAGGACAGCACGGGGCAGCTGAGAGCATACGCGGTGGAGAGAGGGCGAGGGCCAAGGTTGGTGGACTGGATGCTGGATGGGGATTGGGATGGGATGGGTTCGGGGTGCGAGTCGAGTCGGCAAGGGCTGGCGGGCGGGGGGTGTCCAGATACGGAGGCAAAGGTAAATGATGCTTGGTTATAGGGCTGCCAGAGCGGAAATGAGAAGCGATGCCTGTTCAAGTCATGTCTTGAAGAGTGGCCAGGCCAAATGGAACGGGGACCGAAAGAGGGAACAGATGATGGTATCTCGAGTTATGCGGTGATAGAGACGGGGAGGCTGAGCTGAGGTTCACGGAGGAGGTAGGTTGTGGTCCTGTAGGTTGATGTGAGGTGAAGTGCGGAGGAAAGCAAGCTCACTTCAAACAAACGGCGGGATTGCAGCAGCCCAGGCAAACGCAAATGCAGCCAGCGAGCGCCTGCTGCTGCTAGGTCCATGGCCCAACATGGAATTAAGCGTCGACGATGCTGGCTGCTTTGGTCTTGGGGGCGCTAGCTAGTTGCTGTACGGCGCTGTACTGTACTGGACGGTGCAGCAAACCCAGCACCTACCACCGCCGCCCGGGGGATGGCGACCGGGGTGTGGGAAGAGAAAAATGATGGACGGGCATGACGATGATGGTTGGTTGGTTGGTCGAGATGGGATGGGATGGGGATCCACGAGGGAGACCTGGAGGGGAGAGGAGCCCAGAGAGTGAGGGGACCGCCCGGGAGGGGGGGCTTGCTTGACTGGTGCCGACAGAGGTACCGCCAGGTGACACCTGAGCAGAGATTCAGGTGTACCTGAGCGACCGAGGAATGGTGCCCCGTCTCTGGAAGCGATATTGTTGATCTTGATCTAAGGGGAGATGCGATGCGCGATGCGGGTTGCAGAGCTTAATTGCTAACCACGCGGCAGCCAGGGGAAGGGTAACTTTCCTCTGACTCGGTGCCGGTCGCCAGGAACGAACCCCAAGCAGCCCAGACAGACGTCGCGGCGCAAAAAGATGCACCGCTGCGAGGTCACAACATGTCGGGGTCAAAGTCAAAAGCATCGAATACCTCGGCTCAGGTATCGCCAAGTAGCGACCTTGCAATCGGGCGACACAGGCGCGGCATGGCACGTACCACTAACTCTGGTACCTTGGGTAGAGCTCCATCTCCATGCCTTGGTCATTGCCGGCAGTAAATTCCACATGGAAGAGAGAGACAGGCAATATGAAGTCTTGGACTATCATATGTTGAGGTCTATCTCTATGGGTAGATAATTGTCATTCTGACTCTCCCAATCTCGCTCGAAGTAGACCGAACCTCCAAGCCCCAGTGTACGAATCCCCCATGTCCACGCCAGCCAGGTACGAGATCAGAGAGAGAAAAATCCAAATTCCATCAAAAAAGACGGCCCAGCTAGCCCATTTGCAGGCTGGCACTGGCAGCGGGCTCCATATCATCATGCACCAAGAGGGGACGGCCCATGCTCCGCCCGGGCTCAGGGTCTCTAGTTGGGAGCTATCGTTGCTTTTTCCGGATAGGTTGGATCCCCATGGGATTTTCAACTTGAGGATTTCTCTCCTTCTTCACTTCCTCTACAGGGGTGTCTTGTCCTCCAGCCTCTTCATTGAGAGGACTCTCACGTGTGTCACAACCTCTGTGCCCCGGTCGGTGACGCTGTAACGTTGAGTCCTCCGTGACAAGGGGGATCCTTTCATGTGGGTAGGTTGTCATGTTAGTCGGCGGCATACCTCCTACAGTATGAAGCTGGTATGGGAATGGATGGACCGCGATAAAGTAGAAATATGCCTGCCTGCCTTGGTGAGCCATTATATGCAACTGGACAAGCGCAAACCCTCCTCCATCCAATCCATCCACATCCACTCTGACCGGGTCCCTCTGATCCCGTTGCAGTCAGCCAGCCCTGTCTGTCTGTGGGCACATCTAAGCACCGAGCCCAGCCCTATCTCCGCCCATCTGTCGAGGGAGAAACACAATGGCGCGACTGTATCGTGTCGTTTGTGTGTGTTTCGTAAGGGCAAGGCCCATCCTTTGATGTGACTCTGGTGGGACCTGGCACCGTCTGTCTCTTGACCCTTCTCCAGTCGTCTCTTCTCTCGTCCTACTGCTCCTCCTCCGCCTTCATGTTCGTCCGGTGCAACAGCTGCATATCCGTTGGTCGTACGGAGACACACCACAAGGTACGGAGTAATATTCGCGTCATGTCCCTTGGGCGATCTGTGCGTCCTCTTCTGCTGGCCCCAGACGGTCAACGGCAGATGGAGGGCTGGCAATACGGATATTCCGTATGTACATGATTGCACGGATCCCAGTGCGGCGTGCAGTAAGATCCTGCATTCGCAACCGGCAGATGGGTTTTATTATTATTAGACGAGCCGTTCAACGGAACGTGGCAGCGGGGGAGGCAATAGACGGGAGATCTGAATCACCTGTCAAAGCTTGCGGGAGGGATACTTGGTTCCGTCGAAAGAGGGTTTCATGTTACCTTGCTCCATATGAAGGGAATAGATGCTGCAGCCCTACCAATTATATACAGCTGGTGGTGGTGGTGGTGTTGTCGACACCGCCACTACAATACCTCAACCACAACTACAGTACATAGTACTCCATCCTAGCCTGCTTCATACGTGGCTTGAGGCCGACTTTGAATCGCTGGCGCATCATCAGCTTCAGGTTGTCGTTTTTGAAACCCGAAACCACGAATAACAATAATCGTGCCAGTCTGCTATATCTGAAGCGCACTGTGTGTTGGCCTAGAGGGCCTCGCTCTACATGAGACCTTGGTGCATTCTGCCCGTCTAATATTACCACACAGCCTCCACGGTCAGCAACTGCAAGCATGCGATAAGTTGATCACGAGAGACGGCTCGGGACCTCGCATAGCTAAGCTCCAATGAATGATTTCAACTTGTCTCTTTTCTGCGAGCAGCTACCGAACAATTTACCCTAGAGGGGCAGGTCGACCCATCGATCTGCATATATTCCCCGGGAAATACTCCGTGACACCCTATTAATTACCACGCAAGATGCCGCCGCTATCCTCCCTCACTCTCTCTCTGTCGTTCCACTGCGAGATACCTGCTGCGAACTCCTCACTGAGCGGGCGAGACGCCGTGTGACGAAGCCACCTCCACTAAGGAAACACCACGATTCCACGGACCCCGCAAGGTTGATGTCACCTGCAGAGGAATGATAAAGGAGCGCCAATTGCAAGTTGAATACCACGTCCTAGAACCAAAATATCAAAGCCAGAAACAAATCTAGATACTGGAATACCAGCAGCGTGTTCGTTTCTGAGTCGTGAGTATCAAGCCCCTTATCAATGGCCCCAACGCAGTAGCTGACGTCTTAACAGGCATATTTGCACGTTGAACAGGTATTTGCATGTTGAGCAAGAATATTTGCAACAAGAGCATCCTCAAACCATCAGACTGAGAACTTGATAAATCAAGACCCCAGCAATCATCATGGGCAGCTCAAACCAGAACCCCCGTGCTTGGTGGAAAGAGAGCTCGGTATACCAGATCTACCCTGCATCCTTCCAAGACTCGACGGGCACCGGAGTGGGTGATCTCAAAGGCATCATTTCCCGTGTCGATTACCTCAAGAACCTGGGCGTCGACATAGTATGGCTTTCACCAATCTTCAAAAGCCCCCAGGTCGACATGGTGCGTTGCTGTCTTGACCCCTGGATACCAATGATGCTAACAACAAAAATAAGGGATATGATGTTAGCGACTACGAGTCTATCGATCCCCCATACGGAGACATCTCGGATGTCGATGTCCTCAAAGATAAGCTACACGAGCGAGGAATGAAGCTAGTCCTCGACCTAGTCGTGAACCATACCAGCGACCAGCACGAATGGTTCAAGGAGTCTCGCAAGTCCAAGGACAACCCGTACCGTGATTGGTATGTCTGGCGACCTGCAAAGTATGATGCAGATGGGAATAGACTACCCCCGAACAACTGGCAGGGCCATTTCCAAGGTGAGGCCACAATATGCTTCGAATCCGCACCCCAAGCTCACATTTGCTCAAAGGAGACACATGGGAGTATGACGAGACAACAGACGAGTACTACCTGCACCTCTTCTGCAAGGAGCAGCCAGACCTCAACTGGGAGAACCCAGCAGTCCGAAAAAAGGTTCACGAGGTCATGCGCTTCTGGCTCGACCGCGGAGCCGACGGCTTCCGCATGGACGTCATCAACTTTGTTAGCAAGGACCAGGCCTTCCCCGACTCGGACCAGACCGTCCTCCGCGGTCACGAGTTCTACGCCTGCGGCCCGAGATGTCACGAGTACCTCAAGGAGATTGGCGAGATTCTGCAAGAATACGATGCCTTTAGCGTCGGCGAGATGCCATGCGTTCATGACGAGCGCGAGTTGATCAAGGCTGTGCGTGCTGACCGTGGGGAGCTGAGTATGATTTTCCACTTTGAGCTGTAAGTCAACACCACTATTCTGTACTATCAACTAGAGGAGCTAAACATGATATAGGATGGATCTCGACCACGGTCCAGGGGGCAAGTTCACACCCAGAACCTGGAAACTGTCAGAACTCAAGGCCACCACCCACAAGTGGCAGAAGTTCATGTACGACAACCAGGGCTGGAACGCCCTGTATCTGGAGAACCACGACCAGCCTCGATCCGTCAGCCGCTTCGTCCACGATGACCCTCAGAATCGTGTCGCAAGCGCCAAGCTGATTGCAGTCTTCCTCGGCTTCCAGTCCGGCACGCCATTCCTCTACCAGGGCCAGGAGATTGGCATGACCAATGTGCCCAAGGACTGGCCCCTGGAGGAGTACAAGGACATTGACTGCCTCAGCCATTGGAAGTAAGTGGAGGAACATAGACAAGAGGCAATTGCTAGCTAACGCTCAGTCAGCACCCACAAGGGCGACGCTAATGCGGCAACTATTGACTCCTACAAGGTCGAGTACCAGCTCAAGTCTCGCGACAACGCCCGAACCCCTATGCAATGGGACGCAACGCCCAACGCGGGCTTCACAGCAGCCGACGTTACGCCCTGGATGCGCGTCAACGACAACTACCGTGAGATCAATGCCGCCTCGCAGACGTCGGACCCGGACTCGGTGTACCACTGCTGGCGCCGAGTGCTCGAGAAGCGCAAGGAGCACGTCGACATCTTCGTCTACGGAGACTTCCAGCTGGTCGACGAGGCGCACGAAAAGGTGTTTGCGTACTCCCGCAAGGCCGACAACGGCGATGCTGCGCTCGTCGTGTGTAACTTTGCGGCCGAGACGGTCTCGTGGACTTTGCCCGCCAAGGCCAGGGAGGTGTTGATCAGTCCTACCGGTAGGACCTTGGAGGGTCTGAATGGCGGAGAGATCCAGCTTGCTCCTTGCGAGGCCTTTGCAGTTCTGCTGTAATTAGAACCTAGAGGAAGCATCAAGAGTAGTCTTGATCTCAAACAACCACTAGATAGTTCAGAAAATGAGCTTGGTATTCATGGAATCGACCACCACGGCTATATCTAGTGACATTAGAACCTCTAAAGCAATCATCGCTGGTGCCCAAGTGCAAACCAGAGTCCAAACCTTGCGCGCCATGCTACACCTCGGTGACAGTTGTTCCCTTACATCCGAAATCGCGTCATACCTCTTCATGTATCATCTCACCCACAGCTTTGCTCTCCTCCATGATCTCCCTCGCCTCTACGGCAGACACGTCCATGTCCTCCATGATCAGTTGAACAGCAAGCTCGGCAACCAATACAGACTGAATGAAAGCCGCCGATCCACGTCCGGCAATGACATGGTCACTCACGGCCTTTTCCATCAACAGCTCGCTAAACTCCTCCACAAGGTAATCCTGCATGAGCTTACCACCCCGCGGACCGTAGTACCCGGGATTCAGGTTGCCTTCCTTCTTGAGTGATCTTCCTTGGCCGGTTTCAATCTTTTCTGCCAGAATGTTACGGAAGTGTGACTTTTTGCCGTCAATGACCCTCGATAGGTAAGCTCGGTGGTCGCCAAAGCGGCGTTCCAGCATTTCCCAGTCAACATGGGGGTAGCCTCGCTCGCGCCATGTATCCATGGCCGTCTCCTTCTTGTGTCTCTCACAGAATCTCTTCTGCATCTGCACATTCAGCAGCTTCTTTCCCTTGGAGTATTCCTTCAGGGCTATTGCTGACACCAAATCTTGACACCATGGACACTTCGTTAGACCGCTTTCAAGAGCCTCTTCCTCCTGCACTGGCTCATCCTTGGCAGATTCCGTGTCACTGGAATCCGTATCCAGGAGAGTTCTTGTGCTTCCATATCCAATGGTGTCATCAATATCGATTGGTACGACGAACGTTGCACGCTCGATCTTGGGTGATGCTTCTTTGGCCTTCTTTCGCGCTTTATTCTCAATTGGTTTCCTACTCCAGATAGATTTCCTTTGTTGTGAGGAGGAAGATCTCTGGCTGAGATCGTCGTTCTGCGAGAGCCTGAGCACCCCGCCCTTTGTTGGCGAGGGAGAAGGCTCGTCTCTGGGAATAGGTTTCATCTTGTTTTCTTGCTCAGGAGAATCGAATGAGTCCCCCGGTGCAATCTTTAGCTTGGCCTTGCTCGATTTCTTTGGGGTACCGAGGGTGTCATCTGGTAGCGCCTTGAACTTGGTCTTGCTCGACTTCTCCGGGCTGCTCCATAGTCCAGAGTCGTCTACATCGCGAATCGTGTTTTTAGAAGCCTTTGTCGAGCCTGATTTCGAGTCAGTGGCATTGTGAAATGTGGTCATCGAGCGCCCAAACCTTTCTTTGCTTGAGTGTCCTGTGATCTCTTTGACACTTGAGATCCCTGGGATGCTTGCGAGCCCCTGCTCTTCGAACTATACGTCGCCCTGGACTTTCTGGTCTTGGTAAAACCGCATTCGTCCTGGAGAAAGCTGGCTGAGCTCGAGGGGCTTGTCTTCGCTGGGGCCGACTCTTTACTGGTGGCTAGCTTTCTTCGCTTGGTGCTGGAGGATGATGCTTCATCGGTATCTTCGCCCACTGGGTGTTTTAGGTCTTGCCGACTAGAGGCCTGCCTACTCTCTTTCCGTGATGTACTGGTTCTTTTGGGAAATTGTGTACGCTTCAAATCACCCCGTGCTGGCTCATCTGACTCAGAATCTTCAGCAGGAGACTGGCGACTGGTGCTTTTCGACACCAGCTTTAGTGAAGCAGCCTCGGGAATGTCATCTTCGTTGTCGGAAGCTAAAGGCGGAGCGGAAACATCTTCGATGACAGGTTCAGGTTTGGACCGGATTCTGCCTGCGACTTGACGGAGAAGTGGCTCAGGTTGTTGGTATTTGCTCAAGCCAACCATCCTGACGCCGGTCTCTCCTGAGCCGCCTTCTTGAGAAGGGCGATGCTTGTGGTGGGAGAAAGCAATGAAAGCTACTTTGGCGTTGCTGCGGCGGATGTGACACTCCTGCCTCGAGGAATGAAGCTGTCGACGTGGGAGTTGATTCTGCGAAATGCACGAGAAGAAATGCGCAGTCTAAAGTCCTTGCAGGAGAGCAAAGATGATATGGGAAAGAGCAAGGCAAGCAGGAAGCAAAGCGAACTGATGGGCGAAGACTTGAATTGCAGGGGGCTCATTCACTCATGGCGTTGAGGTGCATGGTTCATTGACAAGAGAGGTTCAAGTTGGTTTGCCGGCCAAACGCGTACACGCGCGGCCCAGGCAATTCAAACCCCCGCTCCGTACCCGGCAGGTTCCTGCCAGGTGTCAAACGATGAGAAGCTTGGGCACTGTAAGCACCCGCTGAGCAGCTGGCATTAGCGCTGTAGGTGCGCTAAAGCCGCTGGTGGTTTAGGGAGCGGGGAGCCCGCTTCTACAAGCCCGGACCCCGGCCGGGCAGCTCTCAATGATGCAGGTGCTCCAACCTGAAAGGGGGAATTTCCGGGCCGTTTCATTGCCCGTTCGTTGACTGCGCGACCTCCAGCACCTGGCCTTTGACATGACCCTTTGGACCTGGGTCGCATCTTGAAGAAACTGGTCTGCACACCTGTCTTGCCGACAGCTTTGAAGCTGAGAACGTCACTTACGCGCTTCATTCTCTGACAATGGCCTTGAACCGGAAGTATGCGGCCCTTCCAGATTTGGTGAGCTCCTAGACCTACCACCAGCTGCTTCGCTTTCTAACTGCTGGCTAGGATTCCGCTCCAGATATCTACGAAACCCCTGAGCTCACAGACGACAATTCTACGGTTCCCGTGAGCTCGCCCATCTTCTCCCCTGTCTGCTCTTGCCCTTACAAGCTTTAGACCACCGCCGCTCGAACCCACTCTGACGATGAATTCTATGATGTGGAAGACGATACCCCTGGCATCTCGCGATCCCGTTTACGAATAAACGAAGCCCGCTCCCGCTTTCTACCTGCAAACGTTGACGCCAACGGCGTGGACTTTTCGGACCGAGTTGATGGGAAACGAAAGTCATACAAGGCTTCCAGTCGAAGGCAGCGCATTCTCCAGGACGGCACCGAAGAGCTGGGCGACCTTTCCGATGATGATGATGACGAGAGCTTGGAACGGCGCATTGCTCGCCTCAAACGTGAAGTGGAGGAGGCAAAGGACGAATACGCGAAGCGAAAAGCGGGAGCTTCAGCGCAAGCAGATGACGATGCTGCCAAGGGCGACGATAGACTGGCCTCCCTGAGCCAAGTCTTGGATGAGATATCCAAACCTACAGGACGTCGAGTTACTGCCCAAGCCTCCAAGGCAGTTCCACCTACGAGCCAGGAAGAGAAGCCCGACCTACCAGCAGTAGACGACGCCACGTACACTGTGACATACGCACCGACATATGAGCAAAGCCACGCTCTGGCCAAGGCAGCCGACTTTGATCGTCGATTGTTGATGTTGGAAAAGGGCTTGGGGATTAACGCCTCGCTGATGCCAGAAGCTGACGTCAATGGACTTCCCCGAGCCATTCTGCCCACTCTGGACTCTATGAACAAGCAGATTTCTACACTTGCCGAGGCCTCTACAGCCAACCTCGACACTATAAGTCGACGAGTGCGCACCCTGGTTCAGGAACAAGACAAGCTCAACGACTCGAGGGAGAAGGCCAAATCACTAAGAGAAGAGCTTGGCCGGGGCGCCCCCACGGCTCCGGCCGAAGAATCCGAGCAAGAGGCCAAGATCAATGCCCTCTACGGCATCTTGCCCACGATTGAGAATCTAACCCCTATCCTGCCGCCCCTCCTGGACCGATTGCGATCCCTGAGAGCAATTCACGCGGATGCTGCGACAGCAAGTGATACGCTGAGCCGTATCGAACAACAGCAGACAGAGATGGCTGCTGAGTTGAAGCAGTGGAATGAGGGACTTGCCAAGATTGAGGCTGCCATGAAGGAGGGCAGCGTTTCCATTGAGACCAACAAGAAAGTCATGGAGGAGTGGGTGAAGGACCTTGAGGAGAGGATGGAGGATTTATGAATAATGATGCATTGGTCAGATACCCTATTAAACAATCTTGTGATAGATGAGCAGAGTCATATTAATGAAGTTCGTCTAACAATCGCCTAACAGCTGCCTGTGATACTGCGTGTTAACATGGATGTTTATCGTAGAGTCTGTGTAAGATGCTTGGATGCTCCAGAAGGCGGTCAACGCCACAGTGGCTGGTGCAATTGAGCTCAAAGCTCGGAGCTCTCGGATAATAGTTAGTCCCCGTCCCAGAGCCAACCGCTGGCCGCTTCGGCTGCTCTGGTGGGGTAAGGGCTTGAGCACACGAAAACCCTGACAAACTCACCAAAAAAGTTCACCCCCAATCAAGCCCCAATCTCCAGCTCACGTCCGCGACCACAGCCTATCCACCAAATTCCTCACAGTACGGCGACATACCCCCCCTTTCGATCCCACGCGAATCCCTTCAGCTCACATTTCTCCCCCCAGGTCGAAAAAATGGACGCCTCCAAGCAGCCCGTCAAGCTCGTCAAGGTTACCCGAGTCCTCGGCCGAACCGGTGCGTCCCCACGATCTCGAATTTGATGCCAAAAAGACACAACTTCGAAATATCTTACATCGACGGAACTCCCAATCTGACTTGCTGGCTAGGTTCTCGTGGTGGTGTGACTCAGGTCCGCGTCGAGTTCATGGACGACCAGTCCCGATCGATCATCCGAAACGTCAAGGGCCCAGGTACGATATACAACAAAGCACCCTTCTTCCCCGGATGAGGGCGACTTGGAGGAAAACCAGTGAACAGTGTGGTGCTGACATACAAAACCAGTCCGTGAGGACGACATCCTCTGCCTGCTCGAGTCCGAGCGTGAGGCCCGGCGGTTGCGATAAATGTGCGTTCTGGGGAGCAACAAGGGTGGTTTCTTGGACGGACACGACGGATGGATCATGGGTCTTTGCATGCTATGAGGCGGGCGCGCCTTGTACTGGGACATTGCCTGGGGCTGCGTCACCCGCACTCCAGTTTCATTTGTTAGAAGGAGTCACGGATCTGGCATCGCGAAATCCAGAGCAATTCTTCTGCAGCATGGAATCCGACTACTACGAAAAGTGAATTATTTTTGGGCTCTTTCAACGTCCCCGCCCCCCGTCCTCGAGACAAATCAGGCAGCACTTGGTCTTTTCAAATCGACACGTGTTACGACTACGTTTATCGCAATTGTTTCTTATGACTGTTGACATTACCATAGGAACTGCGTCTGCTCGTTATGGGGCCGACATCGTCATTCTTCAATTTCGCTTCACTGTGAGATCTGGTCACGTGAACATCTCCAACCTCAAATTGGGCGGGGCGGCCAAAACATTTTCTTTCTCTTCATCATTCTCAGGGAACGCAAACTTCTTTCTACAACTCCCACAACTCAACTGGTAAGTCAGCTTGTCTTCTTTCACATGCACACCTCTTTGGAATGATGCTTTAATAGCATGTATTACCTGAATACACATTGATGTACCTTTTATCACCAAGATCTCTGACCCAAACTCCTTCCACCCAAACCATTGTCGAACTTCATGCTTCTGACAGTCGGCTAACATATCCAAAGAGTACATAGGCACGCCAACTTCCACAATGGCATCGGCACCCAAGCCTCCGCCTGGCCACTTCAACGTCCTCTACTTTGCGACTGCCAGCTCCTTCACAGGAAAGGACTATGACGCGGTGCCCGCAGCCATGTCACTGAAGCAGCTCTTTGCAGAGCTGGAGTTGAGGTATCCCGGCATCAAGGCCAAGATCCTCGACTCGTGCCTCGTCACGGTCAACCTAGATTATGTAGAACTGTCCAGCGAGGAGGGCGTCGACGACACCGTGATCCAGGAAGCAGACGAAGTGGCCATCATCCCTCCCGTCAGCTCCGGTTGAAGGATATCATGCGCGTCAAATTGCATGGAAGCTCGCCCCGTGCACCCGTATCTGTGACGTGATGATCTGCCAAAGACTTTTGTAGCTGCACGGAAACTCGTCTCGCAGAAGCCATCTTCTAATGACTCTCCTCGCCTGAGTTCCCTGGCCAACTCCCTGGCAGCAAGGGCTCGTACTCGCCGTCTCTCAGTGTCATGATCCTGTACCAGCGATACCTGTGCAGCTGCCGCCACCATCTAGGATGCGTCTTGTGATAGTGGCGGTACCAGAGGACCCCCTTCACGATGAGAAAGACCAACAGGACAAAGACGAGAGTAGATGTGATGGAGACGATAGAGGTGATGCTCGTTATCGACGAGACTTGGCATCCCAAAGGTCGTGTCCGTAGCTCCCATCGCTCGGCCCAGTGTGGACACACATTCTCATCATACGCTGGGGCCAGGAGGGGGATTTTGTGAGAATTTGGAACACAAGACCATGTCTAACAACTTGATGAGTGAGGAGTTCCTGATAGGTCGCCTCGAGACAGACCGGATGAGAATGGAGGACCTACAAAGGGACACCAGCTGCACTGTGAGGCTGCGAGGCAATTGTGGCATGTCTGCTTGGACCAGCAGCGGCGGAAATGGCCATCCTGGTCCTCGGCCTGACTGAAATTGGCACGAAGAGCCTGGATTTCATCAGAGGATAGCCATGGCGCATTCATTTTCAGTCACTGTGATGAAGGATATCGAGCAAAGAAATCAGTTTCCAGGCAGAAATATCATCAGTATCAAGATAAGGCAGAGGTGTCATCGTGGCTGAGTTATCATGAAGGCTGACCTGGTGCGGGGAAGGCGTAAACCCAAACAACCAACCCCTGTAGAGCAGCTCATGGATTAACTAGGCTCAAAGGAAGCATTGCTTATTGATGTGAAGATGCATCATGGTCTATCATCATGATCTATCAAAGCATTGGCATAAAGTAATATACAAGAGTCGTCAACTAATTATACATGGTCAAGTCCTAGCACACGTAACAGCCTCAGCTCCATCGAGCCCACACATGTCCCTCTCTCTCAATTGTCGAGACATCCGTACTCGCCGCTTAGCCAACCTCAACTCTGCCTTTCGCCTTCTCGTCCGCTTTGCTTTGACTTCCCATAGCGGCTCATCGCCTAGGTTCTCGAGAGGCATCAAGTCAGCTAGAAAACGCCGAATGTGTAAGCCAGTTTGTTCGCGAATAAAGGCATCAATCTGCTCATTGCACGCCGCCGAAGCCGCAATATGAAGGCCTCTCAGAACATCACGATCAATAATTTCGCCTTGATCGTACCCCTGATTCGCCATACGGAGGCTTCGCATAGAGGATGTCCTCTGAGGCACGTTTGGTCGAGCAACCCTTTGACTAGCAAACTCCCGAGAGCACAGAGTGACATGGCTTGTGATGACTGGAGAATCGCCGTGCTTTTCCTGGGTTAGTGATGGGCTGGCACATTCCGCATTGGCTTGCCCTTTTGTTGCCTCTGCGAAAGCAGCCCCAACACGCAGCCTGCAGGCATCCCAGAAAGGCGCCAGAGATTCATCTGGTGATGGCAGATCAGGCAGGGGTTTGTATACTCCTGTCATCTGGGATGGCGGCGGTGCGAGAAGCGCAGGAGGAAAGCTTTGATAGCGCCTAGGAGAAGGGTGAACGAGCTTAGGCTGACTTGGCTCTTCAGGAAGTTGACCCATTAAAGGTTGAATCGGTCCAGCACTGGTGCCCTGGTCTTTGGCTAGTTGTTGTGGGAAAGGCTCGACTGGCTGGGCCTTGTTCTTTGGTCCTGAGAAAAAGGCCGGCCTCGGATGTAGCTTCTCCCTCACTGTTTGACCAGCCGCGCTGGTTGGCATCGTTGCCTGCACCCTAGCATTTTTTCGATACTTGAGCACCTTGTCATCTCGAGGTGCTATGCTGCGCCATTCTGGAAGAGCCTTTGCTTGAACCTTGGGCATCTTGGACTTGGGCCCAGTCAAGAGTGGCTGTGTCTTGTTGCTTTGAGCATGGTCCTCAGGCCGTGACTTCGGTTTTTGTGCAAGCTGAAAGCAATTCTAATCTCTCCACTGGCTGCTATCGTTCGGAAGGCAAGGGACACAAGGAGACTCAGGAACCTGCTCATCAGGGGAACTTATTTGTCCTTGCGGCGGAACCTGATCTATCAAAGCATATCTCCAGTCATCCATATTTGGAGCGGCAGTAAACGAGATTTCTGTGCTTGAACTCTGGCACCCTTCGTTCCTATCCAGTTGACCAGGATGCAGCCGCTGGGAGTGAAATCGCGACGGTGGAGTTTTGGCAGCTTGAGTTCTGCCCCTTTTGGTTGGAGAAGAAAACGGCCCCGCCTGGTCTTTGGACGTGACAGCGAGACTAGCAGCTGTGAACTCGGAACGAAAGGGAAGCAGGGCGGATACTGTATGAACCGTTGCACCAGAGTGAGGAGGTGTCGGTGTAAAGACCGGCAACTTGTTCTTGGCCCCAGACTGCTCGGCGTAACGATGAAGTTCCTGAGTGAAACGGTCAAGAGCCTCCCTTTGACTTGGAGTTCTGGACTCATTATCACAACCGTCTGAGACTGGCGACCCGGCTGTTTTCGAGTCATGCTGCTCAAGTTGGTCTTCGTTCTTGATTGATAACATCTGTAATTGCTGTGCAATGTTCCTCGAGATGGCTTCCACCAGCTGGTAGTTTATTTCGAATGGCCTTGGAGTTGAAGCTTCGCATGTTGCATCTCCAGTGGGAAGTTGGGCGGTATCTTTTTTCAGGGGTAACTTGGCGTGGAACTGGCTGTGCGGTTGGTCACTGAAGCTAGGATCGGACGTGTTCGGTTTAGGTGTTGCTGGTGCAGGAGTTGCCCGCTGCATGGGATTTGTAATGTTGGATATCTCTTTGAGCGGTGGGTCAGGTTTTGAAGAGGGTTTGAAAGTTGAAGGAGAGCATTGGACCGAGGAGGAGGTGTGGGAAGAGGGAGACTGATGTTGACGTTCAATGCCAGATTTGGCTATCGGATCGATATTCGAGTTCATGTTCTTCGTGGGTTTGCTAGAATCGTATTTGGATACAGCTTTTTGCATGGTCCCCACGCTTTCAGTGTTGCCATACTGATAAACCAAAGGGGGGATCTGATGAGTAGGCGCAGAGCTAGCTCGATGCCGATTTTGAGGGCCTCGTAGCTGTGTGTGTAGAGGACGCCGTGGTAGTCCTAACACATGAGCTTGAGAACTTGCCGTGTCTAGGGAGCCAAGTCTGAAAGCGCGAACAGCATGTGTACTGGAGGGCGATAAAGAGGTGTACGAGTTGTGGTTAGATGCTGACGTGACCATCTTGGAGCGAGCGGGATAATGTGTTCCAAGGGAGGGTATTCAAAATGGAAAAGAGTCGAAATAGAGTCGAATTTCTGTTTCATGATACAAGCGTGTAGTTGAAGAAGTTGGTGAGAGGAGGGGGAGGGGTGTGAAGCAATGGTTGAACGTGTTCCCGTAGACCTGCTCGGGAAGGTAGATAGAAGATTCCATGGCAGGAGCTTCCTTGCTGAGTCTAGCCACAGTTTCCTAAGTGGACAGGAAGGCGCTGCTTCCTTAAAGGTAGGTAGGTCGGTTAGACAGTTTACCTAACATCCTTGATGCCAGGAGAAGCGTAGACCTCGAGCTGACGTCTTCCCTTTCGCAAGAGAAACTCGATAGCGGCAAAGTCGCGCTTCTCGATTTTCAGATTCCGTTCAAATTCATTTCTAGCAATATTTTTAGACACCCATTGAATATGACTTAATAGAGGCATGGAGTAGACAAACCTGGCAAAGTTCTCGAAGTGTGGTCGAGTGGCCTGCGGCTTCTTGCGGCTCTCCCGGAGGCAGTTACGGTAGAGAGCCAGGACCTCCTTTTGCAATCCTGAGAGACGAGCCATTTGGAATGATTATATCAACTAAGAATTGGTGCACAATTGAAGCTGCCGGTCTTGCAGTTGTCAATGAAGAATGCTGATGTAATTGAGTCAAAGTAGAAAAGTTCCCCGGCCCGACGTTGAAATCATTCCCGTCCCGTCATTGTGGGACCGGGGACTTTCGGCCGAGCGTCAAGTTGCAGCATGTCCAATAGCTTTGCTCTACAACGACGAGAAAAGATATTCTACGGTAGAAACAATAAGGATCTAATAATATCATCAACTTTCAAATTTGGGCCCCAAGCCTAGGAACGGGTTAGGAGAGCGGAATTGGTGCAACGTTTGACGGAATACATAGATACCTCGTTATGGGTGCCATGAGCCCTGTAGAGTCAGTGTGGTGAGCCCCAGGTGCCTCCATTGTTAACCGCTAAACCTCGCTCCACAGGACACCCTCTGTCATCTCATCTTCTTCCATTTCCATCATCAGCACTGCCTCACACACCCGACGATCGCTTCAGACCACGCGCTCCCCCTGCTCGCGCTAGATACAGAGCTGAGACTCCGCCCCAGCTCGTGCCGCTTTGCCCGCTTGTGCGGGAGCTGTCCATGAATGACCAGGCAAATGTGGGCGTGCTACCACATGCGAGATGCCATTGGCCCAGTCCTACCCAGGCCTTGGCATCACACAGGACCAAGCTCCATCCCAAGGCATTCCAGCACCTCGCCGTCATGTCTAGGACATCGCCTCCGGGGCTGATTCTAGGCTTAACATGCTGCCTGGTGTGCTAGTCAACTGCTGTCTGCAGCGTCTCCTCCACTGTCAGGCCTTTGGAGACGCAGATCCGCCTGAGGCTTTGGTGCTCTTACACTGAAGCCAACCAACCTGAGCTCGACCAGACTCGATTTGGACGCCAACAGTCCTGCCAGCTTGACCGAAGGCCTGCAGGGCTAAGGCACTCTTCGACCTTTGCTTCTTTATATAGCTTCCTGTCGCATGAGCAGTTGTTGTTGACACATTTGGTCGCCTCGTACAAGTGGTGCTGTTCCTCCTTGTTATCAGCACCCGCAAACCCTCGCCTTTCTTCTCTATCGCCAAGGCATCCTCTTTGTATGCCTGCGGGGGCACCTCGGTGTTTGCCTCCTTGTGTTGTTGGCCAAACAGGCGCTGACAACCATGATCGGCCTGAGACGTGATCAACAGCTCATGCCAGGGTCCTTTGGGCCTGAAGACTATATTGACTTCTACGACAACCCTTTTGAAACACTTGACGAGATTCAAACTACTTGGAAGGATTGCGAACCGCCTGTTTCCTGGTCGGCAAAGAACCTCTCAGAGATCGACGTCGCTGATATCGTTTGGCATAAATACGACCCTCCAGCTGCACTCAGAAAGACCCCCAATATCACATCTCAAATTCTGCTTGATATTCTTTGGACGTCACTCGAGAATGTCAAGGCTAGTAACCTCGAAGAAGATCGCCAAAAGCAAGAAGCTGAGGAGCAGCGGAGGCTGGCCGAGGAAGACAAAGGCAAGGGCAGGGAGCCATATCTGCCCATCATTATTCCAGCCGACACTTCTGCTCAATCGGACACTCCTCCACTGGTCTCTAGCATATGTCAAAACGGCTCACCTGTGACCACAACCACACCCGAAGCCATCACGAAAGCAAAGGCCAACAAGAAGCGTCTGTTTGCGCTCCGTCGATTATTCCAACGGAGGCATGAGAAGGGTGAAAGCAGTGCCACTGGGGCAGCTCTCGGGACATTACGAGAGCAGGTTGAGTCGCCAGGGCCATTCTCTAGTCGATTCGGTCTCTTGACAAAGCCGAACCCTGAGGAAGAGGTGTAAGTTGGGAGTCTGGTTGTAGTGTCGTCATAACTAACATCCTCCAGCGAGTGCGTGTCCTGCCTCGACGACTTCTACCCCAAGGACGTCATCAGGGTTACATGTCACAGCTACTGCCATGATTGTTTTGTCCGGCTCATTACTGCTGCGTGCCAAAATGAGCAACAATGGCCTCCAAAGTGCTGCTTAAACGAGATCCCTTTCAAGACGATCCTGCGGTTCATCCCGGCCGACCTCAAGAAGACGTTTGACGACCGGTCCAAGGAGTGGGAAATCCCCGTCAGCGAACGTGTTTACTGCAGTAGCCCAAGCTGCAGCCTCTGGATCAGTCCCAAGCGTATCGATGCCGGTAGACGCCAAGGAGTCTGCGATAATTCTCATGTGACGTGCACGATATGCCGTGCTCCCGCTCACGGGGGAGAGGATTGCCCGCAGGACAATGACATGAACCTTACTAATCTCTTGGCCGAGGAGGAAGGCTGGAAAAGATGCTTCAACTGCAACGCCCTGGTAGAGCACAGGGAGGCTTGCCAACACATGACTTGCCGATGCGGTACTCAATTCTGCTATGTCTGCTGCCGGCGATGGCGGACATGCAGCTGCACGATGGAGCAACTCACTGCACACAAGGATGGTGCAGCGGCTCGGCGTGCTGAGAGAAGAGCCAAAGAATTGGCTGAAGCCGAAGAGTTGCGCCAAATTCTACTTCAGATTGAGGAGTTTGAACGAGAGGAAGCCCTCAAGGCCGAACTACTGCGTCAGGAGCAGGAGAGGCTGGAAGAAGAGCGTCGACAACGCGAACTTGAGGAAAGAGTCCGACAAGAGAGTATCCGCCGCAGGAATATTGAACTTAAGTATCAAGAGCTGCGTATTTTGCTTGATGACTTGCACGATTTGCAGCAAGTATTGGTTGATGTCGATCAAGAAAAGGAGGCCGAGGAATTGATCATCGAGACAAGAGCTGCAAAGGACGAGCTCTCAAAGAAGCACGAAGCCGAGCGTTCTGATTTGGAGTCCCTCATGAGAACAAAGATAGCTGAGAAGGAGTACACGCTCAACAAGGACTTTCAGATCCGAGCAGCCGAGGAGAGCAAGATTGAAGAGGCCTACCACGAGCGACTTCAAGAGTACTGGAAGGACAAGAAGGACGGAGAACAGGAGATCGAAGCTTCCATGCTAGCTCTGAAGAAGCGCATGGACCAGAAGCACCACTCGTGGCAGAAGTGGAAAGCTGGGGAGCTGAAGAAGTACGAGGCCTCACTCGAGGATAATAGGACGTTCCGCGAGGAGCTCATGTACAGCGCCAAGCACAGACTGAGCGATTCCTGTAAAGAGAAGGAAGCGGAGATGATGAGACGGATGGCAGCTGAGAAGAAGTGGCTCGAGGTTGTGATTTTGGAAAGGGAGAGGTTGCTGGGTGAGTGGGAGGTTCAGGAGGTTGAAGGGGATGCTGATAGCTTGTTTGGGAGGGAGTCTGAGGAGTTTGTGGATGCGCGTGAGGCTGTGGGCACAGCTTCGTGAACATGTTGAGATATATATGTAAAATAACAACCCTTATTTCATGAAGGTCTATGTTTTTGTTGTTGAAGTTGTGAATTGAACTATCTCTTCGTGAGCTCGTAGCTTATGGTCGATGGTTGGGTCCAATCACGTGGGCCCATTGCTCACAAAAAACCTCTACTTGGTGTGTATAATTCACTGTCCGTCTCAACTCGCCACACCACAAAGCGGGACTCAATAAACCTCATCTAAACAAACGCTTCTCACTACAAATAGCAACATTATACTAAAGTACATTCTTGCAAAATGTCCATAGGCGATGATATGGGGGTCTCTTCCCAGTGAGCTCACACAAAATCACTACATCCAGGGTATGCTTTGCTAATACCTCGACAGCCCCCTCAAGATATTCGATGTCACTCGGAAACAGGATCGTTTTCTATATGCTCTTGCGCCCATGGTACGGTACGGCAAGGTAGACTACAAACAATCACGTCTCTTCCCTCATATACTCACCAGAAATAGCTCGCCTTTAGACAGACGGTTCACAAGTATGGCGTCGACCTCTGCTGGACCCCCATGGTTCTGGCCAAGGAGTTTAACCGAAATAGCTTTGCTCGGGATAGCGGTAACTTTCAATCCACCACATATGGAGATGCGCAGAAGCTAACAAGTGAAACTAGACTTGACCATCTCCAGCAAACCAAACCAGCCTGCAACCATCGTGCAGTTCGGAGCCAACGTCCCCCTCGAGCTAGCTCGAGCATCTGCCCTCGTTGCGCCCGATGTCCAGGGCGTCGACCTTAACTGCGGATGTCCGCAGTCCTGGGCCTGTGCCGAGAAGTTAGGCGCCGCTCTGATGAACCATCGTGAGTTGGTCCGCGACATGGTCGTCGAGACTCGACAGCGTCTGGCTAGTGACGGATGGGGTGTTGGCCTCGAGGCAGATATGGAAAAACCCAAGGGTCGGAGCGTGAGTGTCAAGATTAGGATACATAAAGATCTGAGGCAAGTTCCCCTTTGTTGATACAATATTGTGACTCATATAGGTATAGGCAAACTATGGACTTTCTCGACACCGTGATAGGACATCCTCAGAACCGCTTAGTTGACTGGGTTACTATCCACCCAAGAACAAGATCAACGCCATCCACTGTCCCAATCAGAACCGAGGCCCTCGAGATCCTGACGGAGAAGTATGCTGGCACACTCCCAATCCTCCTGTCAGGAGACGTCTTTGATCTCAGCACGCTCCCTTTCCAACCCACAATCACCACCAACAACGACGCCCCCTTGCCATCCTTGGATAAGCTGGTCCTCAACGATACCAACTCTGCCGTCAACCTGCCAAAGCCAAGCAACACTCACCTCTCCGGCTTCATGTCCGCCCGTGGCCTACTCGCGAACCCAGCCATGTATGCCGGTCACGCAGCCTGCCCTTGGGAAGCCGTCGAGACCTTCATGTGCAACGTTGCCCGCGCCCCGCTCCCCTTCAAGCTGGTGCAGCACCACATCATGGAGATGACTGCACCTGGGATGGGTCCTGACAAGTCGTGCCTCCTGGAGAAAAAGGAGCGTGCGGAGCTCATGAAGTTGACGAATACATGCGAGATCATGGACTTTCTCGATGACAAGATTGATGAGAAGACGGGGAGAACTGGTGGCCTCAGACGAGACCTATGAAGATTCAGAAACGCCCTTCACTATCCTCATGAGTCATTCACGATGGACTGCATCTTTCAAACGACCAAGCATGGTATCTCATGAATGCTACATAAAAGCACACCCTCTACTACAAGGCCACATAGAGCTCCACCTCTTACACTCTCAAACCGACGCTCAAAGACCAGATAGCACGCCCTGGATAGCCACGGTCCCCGAGTCGTCACGCCTCTGGACAAAGGCTCGGAAGTCGGCCCTAGACAGCTTGCCCCTTGTGCCCACCGTGGCCAGCGTACGGTACTTTTCGCGGAGCGCCTCAGGTCCAACGATAAAGAGGGAACCGATCTCGGTGAGCATCTCGACAGTGGAGCCAACCTCCTTGGTCAGTGGCCACTCGCGCATCGTCGAGACGTACTTTGCAATATCCTGCGTCACCATTAGACCGCCAGTCGCGTTGACCTGGAACTTCTTGAAGTGCTCAAAGAGCAGCTTCAGGGTCACCAGGGCCAGCTCGCTAAAGAACTTTTCAGCGTTCTGGCCGTCGATGGCCTGACGGGCGAGCCGCTGAGCGCGGCCCAGGAATGTGCAGATGCTGAGGCAAGTCGCCGTCTGCAGAGAATCCAGCTCGCCGTCCCTGGGCCGGAAGTCCTGCTTCTTCTGGCCGCCCAGCGACTTGGTCACCCAGTTGGCCACGACGTCGATGGTGCCCTTCATGACATTGTTGGTCTTCTTTTCAATGTTATCAATCGCTACCTTCTTTTGCGCTTCCATACTCCTCCTGACTGTTGTGTTTGACTCGGCTAGGCGGATGAGAACCACTGTGATGAACCGATCCATGAGACTCGTGATGGTGACGGCCGGCTGTAGTCCTGGCAAGTAGGATAGGTCAGGCTCGGTCTTTGCGTACTCCAACACCGAAACCTGGTCGAGGGCAGCATCCAGTGCCGTCTCGATGTAGACCTGACCCATGCTGGTCAGGAGCAGGTTAAGGAGAACATTGACGTCCTTGGGAGTCTCGGTCTGGGAGCCAAGCTCCAGTGTGCGTTGGACGCTCTCGGCCAGCCACTTGAGCATACGCTTTGCGTTAGGGATACTCAGGGCACCGTCTTCCTCTGAGACCTCAATCTCATTCTTGTTGTCCTTGTCCTTGTCTTGTACGCCGGCAACACGCAGCATCATGCGCTTCTGTGTGGGCGTGAGCTCCGACGAGTCGAGACGCTCGAGGTAGGCGTCCTTTGCGGATGCAATCAGCTGCGTGCCCTGTTGGGCGAGCGAGGCCATGAAGCCAGTTGGCGCCTTCTTGCGCCGTGAGTGATAAATACTAAACTTGAACAGCAAAGAGCTGTACATTTCCTCGAGACTCTTCCTTTCGCGGTCGATATATGAGTTTCCAACCAGATATGGCACAAATAGTTCCTCCATCTGCTGGTCGAGTGTCTGTGATATTTGGGCCGAACAAGGCTCTGGATGCTCAGTCAAGCCGTGTGACTTGAGGTCCTCGACTAGAGATCCAATGTAACTCCTGGAGGAGTGCAATGCCCTCAGAAACGCCAAAGACGAGATCTTGTCAGTCTCATCCAGCACCATTTCGAGCCTCTGTTGGATTGACTGTTGAAATATTCGCTGGATGAACTTGATGAGAACTGTTTCGTAGTAGGGGAAGGCCAGCTTGATCTGGTTGGATTCGTCCTGCATCACAATCTTGACCTCATCCACCAGGTTCTGTAAGCTGGGCTCAACCGTCGGGGGTTCTGAGTCGGGGTCCGCAAGCTGCTCCCAAGTCTCGCCGTCCATGGCAACCTCATCTGCCAGGAGCTGGTCGCGGTCGAGGAAGAAGGCGTGTTGGTTGACAAAGGTTGCAATGACACTAGCGCCTCCGTTGAAGTCGTAGAGAACCTTTGCGCACTCCATCATGTCTTCGTAGTTGCCTCTCTTGCTGCTGTTCTCAAACTGCTGCAGAAGCTCCTGCTCCAGCGTCTCACAGAACTTCTCGAGAGCCTCCCTGGTATTGTGCGACCTGTTGTTTCCCACGACGCCATTGGTAACGCCGGTCCGGGGGCTGTGGCCGTTGGTCTGACCCCACGATGCCGTGTCGAGTCGCTGGCTGATGCGCATGAGCTGCCGCACGATGACTGCGCAGCGCACCTTGTTCTCGGAGCCGCCCTGCCTCTGCACATCTTGAAGCGAAGTCAACTTCCCAGTCTCACTGACCTCGGTCCAGCAGGTGATCAGGAACATGGCATCGTTGGCGCGTCGTCGCTTCTTGTCCAGATCCTCCAGCTTCTCTCCTATTTGGACGGCAATGTTACCTCCTGTATGACCCCTACCGCGGCGGTGGTCTTGACTGAGGGATAGATCAAGCTGTTCAAAGGCCCGCATGGACTCATCGAGCTTCCGACCTAGTGTGTCGAGGGTTGAATCGTGGGCGACTTCTGCACGGCGCACTTGTGACATGAGCTCCGACTCTTTGTCCTGGAGCTCAGCTCCAAGAGAGCCAAGTTGATCGAGGGCATCTGAGGCACCAGGTCAGCATGGCCGGTTCCCCGAAGACGTATATGTGTGACCCGGCGGCATCTTACTCTCGAATGTACGGATCAGGGGCTTGGGATCGAAAGGTGCCTGGGTGTTGCCGCCAGATCGACGGTTCGTAGGTACGGCGCTCTCCGCAAGGCTATCGACAAAGTCGCGGACGATGAATTCTTTACTGGAGAAGTCGTCGAGGGTGAAGTTCGGCCCCTTGGGGAAGAGACTCTTGGGGCCCGAAGCGGACCGCTCCATGGTGTGAACCTAAGCTGGTGACGCTGAACGAGGCAGAGGCGCTACATGTGGGGAGGGGCAATCGACCGTCGGTTTGTGAGCTCGGCCGAAGGAAGGAAAGGTCGTCGTGATCGCGAAGACGCGTGGTCAATGTCAAAAAAGTTGATCATGGAACATTCATGGTCATGGCGAATAGATGCTTGCCTCGTTGTCTTGAGTTGAGTTGAGCTTGCTTGGCTGGGGCTCATGCGCCAGGTACGTACCCGCCCCAGCCCCGCGCTGGTACTAAGCTCGTGCCTGCCTCCAAACGTTTGAGCTGAGCTGAGCCACAGGTACACCAAGCACATGCTACGACAGCCCTGCGTAATGTGGCTGAGGAACACGCCAAGGAGCTCGGCAAGTGGAGTCAATGCGTAACCCATGGCTGCACCGCCACAATCCATTTATTAATTCCCTGGCAGCTGGAGCTTTTTGATACCAAGACAGAGACACGTCTGCCCACACTCGTTCGCTCGCTCGTCCAAGCTCCTTTATAAGCGGCACCATCCCTCGGTCGCTTCGCAGTCGCAATCCTAGATCCTGAGCCTTTCCTACGACCTCTAGTTCTCTCGTCTATACCTGAGCCTCCAAACACCACAAGCCATCGCCAATCCCGTTAGACAGCCTCTCGAGGCTGCGCCGACTATACCATGCCCATGATGACCGCCCGCGATCGTCAGGCCTACAGGGCTGACGATCAGAAGGACCACACGCTCATGTCTGAGCAGGAGAGGCAGAGGATGCTCAAGGTATGCGCGGCACTTGCGCTCATATGTCTGGTTCTTGTGCTAACTAGACCTAGTCCTATCTCCCAACGCCAAACGATCCCCCGCCTACTATCTCTGCCGGTTCGCGAACACAACGCAGGTCTCGGTTAGGACTCCGTCGCTTTGTCCTTAACCAAATCCACATCCTCATCTTTGCCGTCATGCACGGAATCTTCTCCCTCTACATCAAGACCCGGCAGATGTGGAATGTGGTCTGCTACCAGACCTCGTCCGTTCTCAAGTACCACCACGGCACGCCCCAGTACATCAAGAAGGACGTCATGGCACTCAAGAAGATGCCCAAGCATCTGAGTGTTATTCTCAAGTTGGAGGAGAACCATCGGACAAAGGCCGATCTCGAACGACTCCTTGACGAAGTGGCCGAGATTGCGACGTGGTGCGCATGTGCTGAGATTCCCATGTTCTCAGTCTATGAGAAGACAGGTTTGTATTCACAATTCCAACTTCTCTTCATACATACTTACATTGCGCAGGAATCCTCAAGAAGCACATGCCCCGAGTATATGACGCCGTCAGCCAAAAGTTCACATTCTACTTTGGCCCTGAGCACCCCAGCCTCACTGTTACGTCACCTCACAAGGAAGACTTGCCGACCACTCTTGGCGAAAGCCCCAAGTCGCATCTGCGACTGCACCTCATCTCGCAGCAGGATGGACGCGAGTCCATGGTTGATCTCACCCGAACCCTAGCCGAGATGTCCCAGAAGGGAAAGCTCTCTCCAAGGGACATTTCGATGGAGCTGATCGACGCTGAGCTGTCCGAGGGCATCATGCCCGAACCGGATCTCCTAATCACCTTTGGACCTTACCTTGAGCTCTCGGGCTACCCTCCTTGGCAGATCAGATTGACCGAGATCTTCTGTCTACAGGATAACGAGAGGGTCGGCTACCAGGTGTTCCTCAAGGCGCTGCAACATTACGGCGGAGCCCAGATGCGCCGTGGTAAATAGAGGCTTGACAGTTCATGTTTATTTGTCGTTTTTTATCATAATACATCTTTCTTATTACAAACCAAGACTTATGCTTTCCATACCAGCATCTCGCGAGATTCCCCGTTCCATCTGTACACGGGTCCCGTTCCCACATTGTAGTTGTAGTAATTTTCTGTTCCACCTTTGACCATGGCTCTCCGAAAGGTAATATTGATCCTCCCTCCGTCCTGTTCATTCTTGCCCGTCCGTTTGGGTATCGAGTGCAACCAGTTGGACTGCGTCCTGCCTCTCATGAGCACCATGTCGCCACTACCCAGGGGTAGCTTCAGGGACTTTGCCTCCTGAGGAGGGGCGTCTGGACGCGGCGGCTTGTGCTTCATGAGAAAGTCTCGCCGGGCTCCCAGAGAAAAGGAGGCGATGGCGGGGTCGCGACCTAGGAACTGCTCGTCGTCACTGTGGAAGCTGATGCTGTCCGCGCCTGAGGCGTAGTAGTTGACAAGACAAAAGTTGTACTGACAGCCCGTAGCTGCCTCTGTGCGACGACGGAGCTCATCAAGGCACCCCGGTATAGGCCGAGGTGGATACTTGTCGTATCGCTTGTCCGACGCTCTCAAGCCAGTGCTGGCGTCGATTGGTTCACCCTTGTCGTTGAACTTTGATGTTTCGTCAATGCCAAAGACTGTTGTCCATCTTGAAATACATTAGTCAGTGCGATGTCTTGGGACGGAGGCTGACGCCGTCTTGTTACCTTGGTGTTCGTATTTGCGTCTCTATGCCACCGCGCTTAATCTTGTATTCAACTCTGTAAAACGGCAGTTCTGCGCGAAGGAACTCGAACAATTTCCTATAAATATGACCCGGGATAAACGGCTCAAAGTATAGTAGGTCCAGGTCAGGCTGGTCATTGATCTCCCGTCCGGGTTGAGTTGGTAGAGTGGCCAACTCGTTGCCTATGGAAGTTGGCAAGTTTTTGATGGGATGAGGATAGTGCCGATGTTTTGAGTAAGTGGCCTACCTCGTATGTTAGAACTGATCAATTTGAAATATGGCCTTGGATGTGCCTACTTCTTCGACAGTCTGCTCAATGCTGACATTGGGCTCATTCCGGGGCTTCTTGACTACAGGGCTGAAGAAGGCATCAAGGGTTCGTTTCTTCGACATTGTGCGTCTATGGGTGCAAACTTGAAATGTTGATTCTGCAGTACACGTAGAGCTTATACTTGAATCATCAAGTGACAGAATGGATGTAGTAAGGATACCCTCTTAATCGAATTGATCACACTGAAAGTCGTGACATCACTCCCAGCCTTGCGCCTGTCCATCAACAAATGTGGCGTTTCCTGTGGCGGTGCACAAACCCCCTTCCCCAAACCTAAGCCTTACCCAAGCCCTAAAACTCATCTCAGCCTCAGCACCCTTGTCTCAGTCAGTGCTTTTCGCCCAAACCCAACGATATATATCGATCATGGATGTTAGTACCAACAGAAAAAGCAATCTTTTTGTATAAACATGGCAAAGACTAATCATTTAACAGAAGAACTCGCAGCTGAGAGACATGAACTTGTTCAGAGCCCCCGCCGCACGTGCGGCAAAGACGCTAGACAGGTCGGTCTTTGCAAAGACTCTCAACGCCGCTGCAGCGTCCATCTCGGAGAACCGTCTGCTCTCCAAGTATCGCAAGGAGCTTGAAAAGACCCAAGAGGTCCTGTTCATGGAGAGGTTCAACCCTATCCTCCCTGATCCGGATCCGTCGCTTGCTTCTCAGGGGAGAAAGTGCATTGTGCTGTCTCCTCAGATCAAGCCTGCCTGTGAGTCGAGTTGAACTCCCCCATGTTGGGTGCGGTAACTTACAAGATGATACAGCACCAGAGACTTGGAGTCCGACTCTTCAAGAAGCTTCTAAGCTTGGAGAGCTCAAGGTTGTTCCCTACGATCTTGAGATTACCTATGATTTCTGGAATTACTGTATGTGACTCAGACCTGTGTCACTCAACGGCCAAAGGACTAACACGACAAACAAAGTTGATGTGGTAAAGTCTATCCTCCCAGAGGAACTTCACGGCGAGATTCCAAGTGGTTTTAATACGGTAGGACATGTTGGTAAGTTGATATCTTTCTCAAGGCGTCAAGTCATATCCTAACATCTATAGCGCATCTCAACATCCGGGATCAGTACCTACCGTACAAGAACATCATCGCCCAGGTACTTCTAGACAAGAATCCTCATATCAAGACCGTCATCAACAAGATCGATAATGTCGGCTCGGAGAATGAGTTTCGAACTTTTGCCTACGAGGTCCTCGGCGGGCCCGACAACATGAACGTCGAGGTGAGCGAGGCTGGCTGTATCTTCAGGTTCGACTACTCCAAGGTATACTGGAACAGCAAGCTTGATACAGAGCACAAGAGAATCACAAGCTTTTTCAAGCCTGGGGAGGTTGTGGCAGATGTCATGGCGGGCATTGGACCGTTCGCCGTGCCCGCTGGTAAGAAGGGTGTCTTCGTCTGGGCCAACGACAAGAACCCCGAGAGTCATCGCTATCTCGAAGATGCGATCCAGAAGAACAAGGTAGACACCCTTCCAGTCCTTCTCCCAGGCCTTGATAGTTGATTGCTGACACTTGTTTCCAGGTCTGGGAATTCGTCAAGCCCTTCAACCATGACGGGCATGACTTCATCCGCACATCCGCGGACCTAGTCCTTGAAGCATCCAAACGAGGCGATTGTGCCGTCATCAAGCCACCGAGGCCACCAAGGAAGTCTGCAGCGCCGCCCCCGGAGCCAGTCCGGGTGCCCGTGCCTCCGACCATCTCCCATTTCGTCATGAACCTCCCGGCGTCGGCCATCGAGTTCCTCCACAACTACCGGGGCCTGTACCACGGCCACGAGGACCTCTTTGAGCCTCACACCGAGACCAAGCTCCCTATTGTTCACGTCCATTGCTTCTCGGCCAAGATGGACGATGACACTCCGCTCAAGGACATTTGTGAGCGGATACACAAGGAGATCGGCGTCATGCTCAAGCCGGGCGATGCTGAGAAAGAAGGTGAGGTGCTTATCTACGACGTCCGCGACGTCGCGCCTGCGAAACGCATGTTTTGCGCATCGTTCCGGCTGCCGCGCGAGGTGGCCTTTGCCGCCAGGGCCTAGATAGCCCCGGTTGATCTCGGGTCCCGGCTGGCGGGCGGCCGGAGCGTTCTCGAGACGGTCTCTCCGTGCGTGGGATGAGATGAAACGACATTGAGAAGGGAGACAAAAAGAAA